GCAAACAATCCACGAGAAGAACCTCATCTACCGTGATATCAAGCCCGACAACTTCCTCATCGGTCGCCCGAGCACGAAAGCTGCCAACGTGATCCACGTCGTCGACTTTGGTATGGCCAAGCAATACCGGGATCCCAAAACCAAGCAGCATATTCCCTATCGTGAGCGAAAGTCGCTGTCTGGAACAGCCCGCTACATGAGTATCAACACCCACTTGGGACGGGAGCAGTCGCGACGAGATGACCTGGAGGCCTTGGGCCACGTTTTCCTCTACTTCCTGCGAGGCGGCCTACCGTGGCAAGGCCTGAAGGCTGCTACCAACAAGCAGAAATACGAGAAGATCGGAGAAAAGAAGCAAACGACCGCCATCAAGGACTTGTGCGAAGGATATCCAGGTACTTTAATTCACTACTCCCGAATAGTTCCTATAAATTGGTCTCGGTCGCACTAATCAACTAGGTCTAGAAGAATTTACGAAGTACCTAACCTATGTCCGCAACCTCGGATTCGAAGACACCCCCGACTACGATTACCTGAGAGATCTTCTCACGCAAGCTCTGAAAAATGCCGGCGAAGTCGAGGACGGCGAGTACGACTGGATGAAACTGAACAACGGGCGAGGATGGGAATACAAGTCGTATTCGTCCCAGCAGCATCTCCACAACAACGGACTCCCAAACACATCCGCCCGAGAGCTCCATGCGCAGCAACTTCGGGGCAGCCAGAGGCCTGGCGTCACGGCCGACCGTTTAAACGCCGCGCAGCCCCCGCCCCCTTCTCCTGCGAAAGCCGGAGCTGGGAAGACGCGCGAGCGACCAAACGTCGCCGGCGGGATGCCGAACAAGCGCCAGAGCGGGGGAATGGAAACAGCCACGCCCACGGCGTCGACGCAGGCTCAGTTCCAGAATTCGAACGCCAACATTCCGGGCCGCATCGGTAGTCCTACCAACCCGACGAGAAACAGTCAACAGGCGCAAGGTGCTCCGGGCAACAGCAACGAGCCGCAGCCCACTTTCGTCCAGAAGATGATGAAAGCGCTATGCTGCGGTAGGTGAAACAACTTTTTTTCTTTCTTTCTCCCAATTCAACAACATCGACCAAAAGAAAAGAAACCAACGCCCCATGTCTGGCCGTGTGCTTATTGCGAACTTTCCGTTTAGGTTGATTCCCTAAAGGCTCTATGTCCTCAGAAATACATTGTAATTCTACGACATCATTTTCTGGTCATGCTGGCTTTCCGACTTTCTTTTTCATTGTCTTTTTTGCCTTGGGCATTGGGGTGGAAGGTTTGAAAAGGAAACGACCTGTCAACATCTATAAGGTTATAACCTGGACAATTCCCACCTTTCTTTTTTCTTGAGTCGGGATTTGGACGGCTTTGCAGACCCTGCTGGCAGAGATGAGCATTATATGGGCTGGGGGCGGAGATGCTGTTCCTACTCCTTTTCCTTTTTCCTTTTCCTTGACTTCCATTTTCTTTTCCTATTTCCTTTCCCTATCTCAGTTATTTATGGATGTGGTTTGCGGTCCTTCAAACCACCTCACTCCGCCCGGTTTCGCTCATCTAGCAAGGCATTATAACGGACATCGAAGCGGAGCGGTCATGACTTGAGGGCGACGCTGTCGTCCCTTTTTACCTCCCTTTATTTACGTCTATCGTCATACTCGTCATCTTGAACGCTCCTTTTTATGGTGCTACGGCTCGGAACGGCGAATTTTTGAGATTTTTTCCATTTCCTTTTTTTTTTTCTTCATTTCCTTCCCTTTGCCCTCCTACAACCCTCCGCATTCTGGCATGAGAGCCAATTAATATTAGATTTCATATTGTGTCAGACTACATGAGCATTGCCCCTTTTCTTATCTTTTCTTCGAACCATGACCTCCGCCGCTTCGTTCTGTGTTTCTGCCTGTGCTCGTCTCGGTTTCTTGCGACTGGTTCTTCGATGGATAATCACTATTAATTCTGTGGCAGGAATGGCGTTTGGCATATCTGATGGCTCGTTGTCGTCCCTCTGGTGGCTAATACCAGGAAGCATGTTCGGCGGTTGGTCGAATGCAACGGAACTGCCGCGCGAGGGACAGATAAGTTCATCAGGTCAAGGAGTTCTTTTGTGTGGAAGCAGCCTGTGGCTCTTTTTGCTCTGTTGATTTTTGTTCTTGTTCATCTGCCGGGACTTTCTGACGGATGTAGCGCTTGAGTGTATGTTGCTGTTGGATGTGTACCTGCTACTGCGTTGTCTGGATGCCAGGCGAACATACATGGACCTAGGCACCAGACACCTTATGTTTGATATCTCTCTCTCCGTTTTCCCGGCTGGATTTGATTGCGTGCGCATGTGTTGTCCGTGTTAGTGTACATGTTTTGTTCTTGTTCTTTGTCAAGCAGCGAGTTCTCATTATGTTCGAGATAGCATCCTTGGTCTTGTTTTCTATACAACTTTGTGTACTGCAATAAACCGGAGATTGGCCTGGCCTGGCTGGGTTTGTTAGAAGATTGCTTGTTTTCTCTACTCTCAGGTATTCGTATGTCTCTAATTGGAAGATCGACAGGTCTCATGCAGTTGCAGTAACATTATCTGCAATGCGCATATGTAGGTACAATACATGTGCATAGTACAGCCTGTTATTGATTGGCAGGAGAGTTTGAATAGAATAGAGGCCGACACGGGCATGTCTGCCAAGTGCCAACCGTTCGAGGTTCTATATAGTTACTGTAGATCTCAGAGTCTCGTGGTCAACACAACAATCATTATTTCTTCCCTCCTCGACAACTGCTACCTGCTACTATGAACATGCTTAAGAATAACTATCGTAGACCTCTGTCTTAACGATCATGCTAACGTAAAAACTAACTTTCAAGGAGAATGAACGTTGACCTGGACCCATGGAATAAGTACATGTCGATCCCGATGTCCATCCGTGGTTATTATTGCGAGTCGAGAAAGTTTTTTTATTCGGCCCAAGGCACGGAAGGTGAATGAATTCCCTATACTATAACTGGACGAGGGTCAATAACACAGATTTACCCGTATGTGTTATGCTCGCTTGGGCTTGAGAAGTATGTACTGTAGGTATGTAATGCGTATATAGGCGATCCTAGGTCCTCTACACGCACCTCGTCTAGTTACAACATAACCCTATTCCAAAGACTGAGAGGTCTTGTCTATCATCGTTTTCACATACTACCTGGCCAGAAGTAGAGTATGCTACAGTTACAGTTACAGTTACAGTTACAGTTACATCTACATACATGTCTAACATCCATCTCACTCACTTGACCAAAGGAGATCAGTCGATGTCACTGTCTCGGCTGGACGCAGACATACGAAGTATGAAGTCTGAGTCTGAAAGTCAGTGTCTCTGTCTGCATCCGAGACAGAGGGATTAACTGACTGACTGACTGACTGACTGTACCTTGTAGACCACGATCTAGACCCGAAGTTTTTCTTTGTAGTGAGTCAAGTATTGAACTTTATATTCCTCTCTCTTTCTGTCATCGTTTTTTCATTTTCTAAAAAGCAAAAGGCGAGAAGAAAAGAAAACAAAGCCAATAACAGCACACATACTCTGTAGATTTGTACTCCGTACAGAGTCAAAGATTCTCCACTCACATACAGTTTCTAGGAGTTGGTGACAAGATCGGTAGACAGACCGGCAGATACAACCACCACCATAAACCTATACACCATATACTTTATACATGCATACCAGTGTCCAGTGTCCTAACTACCAAGTAGTTCTAGTCCAAAAGAAAGACCCATATAACAAGAAATATCCTCCATCGCTACCTCCCTCCTCCCAACATAAAAAACAAATAAAGAAAAAAAAACATGACCTAAACAAACAAACCGGATTCCTCTTCCACGCTAACCGAACATCCGACACCAAGTCTAGAAAGAAAACAAGCTCAACCTATCATCGATCGACGCGGCGCGAATCCTGTCGTCATTTGCTGTGGCTTCCCGCGTGGAGTAAGTAGTCAGAGAGAGTCAGAGAGAGTCTAGAGACGGGATGAATTATTCAATCATTGTCAAAGTGGAAGTGGACGTGTTTTGGAGGTGGGAGATGACGTTATTTCATTCATTTGTGATCGACTGTTTTTTTTTTTTTTTTAATCTGGATTTGATTCTTTTCTCTCGCAACGGTGGGATCCACCGGAAGATAGATGATACTTACTCCGACAGGGTATTGATAGATAGGGAATGAAATTGTATACTTCTAGTACTCCGGAGTAGACCTACAAGGTAGGTCTTGTCGGAGAGAGAAGTGCCGACAGGAGGCGAGCCCCGAAGACTTCCCAAGTTCCTCGTTTCAATCGGCGGATGGCACCACCAATCATCCACTTTCGGTCTCTCCACCGCAGTTCTAGACCTTGGCTCGGCCCCGTTCGTTTTCGGAAGGCGCAGGGTTTTTTTATCCTTCTTTTCTTTTTTCTTTTTATTTTATTGTTTTATTTATTTTATTCCATTTTATTATTTTTTTTCCCTCTTTTTTTTTTCCTTCAGTATGGGTATCTTATCTATTGAGTCAATGCTACCTAAACACTAATGAAACAGAGTTGAGTGTATAATGCTAACACACATGCAATCATCAGTCAAATCCAAACAATCAACGCCAAAGTAACATGGCCACTCCATCCTTTTGACCCGGGATTTGGTAATTGAAACATCTATATCTTGGTGGGAATCAAACAAAGGAAAATATGCTCACTCGCTCGCTCATCCGCAGAACGCCTGCTATGTAAATGCTTGTAGTCAAAAATAAAATATCAAACCATCCAATGCACCGTGCATTACACCGTCCACTCATGTTCAAACATGCGGTATGCAAAATGAGGTTGTGGTTTTTCAATGAGAAAAAATATTGAGGACCGAGTGTGTCGGTCGGTCGTAGAATGCTAGGAGTTCATTCGTGCCTGTCGTTGGATTCGTTCGCCCGTTTCCCGTGAGAGAAGCGGGCGCGTCGTCTCTGTGGGGGGGGTGTTCATCACCAGTCCCGATTCATTCCATGCCGGACATCTTCATGCTGCCCGAACTGCCGTTGCCCGATCGCTTCTTGAATCCCAGCTTCATGCCCATCTTCTTCCACGGGTTGTCGGTGCGGTTTTTGGGGCTGTGGGACAAGTGCATCGAGTTCGGCTCGCTCGACGGCGGCGTGGTGGGCGGCGTCATGGGCTCGCCGAGGCTCGTGTTCGATTGCAAACTCCCCGAGTCGTCGGTCAGCGTGCCCGACCCCGAGTCGTTGCTGGCGCTCGAGACCGGTGCCGAGCTGCGGTGGCTGGACTTGCCCATCGAAGTCATGGCGCTCAACGAGAAATTCGGGCGACTGTGGTGGCCGGACGACCCGAGCGAAATGGGGGATCCCAAATCCTTCGATGTCGGAGGGGATGGTCGGCGCCCCTTCGATCGGCCCCGCTTGACGGCGTGCTCCTCAAAGCTGGCGCCCGACACGACCGTCACTCCGTCATCCTGGCTAAACAGGGGCTCCGAGAGCGGCAAGACGTGGGTGGACGTGGAGTGAGCGTTGAGGAACGGGATAAAGATCGACTCCTCCATCAATTCGTGGACTAGCTTGACGGCGGCGTCGAGGATCTCGGGGGAAGGGGGGACCGGCGAATTGGCGTAGCGAAGGATGTCATCCCGAACATCGCTGGACACGTTGATTTCGCGGGGAGAGCCGGGGATGATATACGCCGTGAGGAGCCGCTGCCACAGCATACGCAGATGCTGGCTTTCGGGGCCATCGACGGCGATCGGCGACTGGTTCAGTTGGTGGCTAAGAGATAGGTAGGTGTCCCGGTAGCGCTTGGCTTCCAAGGTGAATTCCAAAGTTTCCAGGCAGTGATTCTGCGAGAGGTAGGCCATAAAGGCGCTCAAGGTGTAGGGCGGGGGTGCCGTGTTGGCCAGCACCTCGTCCAGGGTCGGCCGCATGGGACAGAACACGCCCGAAGGAACGGTCAGACTCAGCGGACGCGAACCAGCGGGCTCCATGTCCTCGTCCGACTCGCTATCCGACGACGAAGACGTTGGGGAAAGTTCAGGCGTCGCACTGGGAGTGTGGTTCCAGAAGAGTAAAGGCGGGTGCAGAGTCTTCTTCCGGAGCATCGCGTACAGCGTGCGTTCTTCCTCTTTAAAATAGATGAGAACGAAGTTCGTTATCGCACCCTAGAGCTTCCTGTATCCGAGAACATGCGAAATGTGCGAGAGACCGCCAGTTTTTCCCAGATCGAATCGTTTGGAGGAAAGGGGGAGAGGCGTTCAGTTTGAGTCAGAATACAGCCACTATCCGGTGAGTCGAGGATGTGAGAAGCCGTGTCTAAGAGGTGGAGACGTTGTAGTGAAAACACCGAAGACAGAGTTGAGGTTGATTCAGGTGGTAGACGGATAGTGGTGAGGTGGAGAGAGAAGATCTCAGTGAGCGAAGGGTGAGATCTGAAGGTAGACAAAGAACTGATTAGTTCGGTTTCCGCGGAAAGAGGACCGGAATGAAGATCCCGAAGAAAGGCAAGGCGGCAGAAAAAAAAAAAAAAGGAAGGCGATTAATAGTAAGACAAAGTGGACAAAGGAAGAATAAAAAATGATATATGAAAAGTAATTAACAAAAAAACAGCAGTGATGGATACAGTAGGGTATTAAAAGTCCCAAAAAAGAGAGAGCGATATGGGAGAAGGGGGTGGAGGGAATCTAATAAGAGGAAACAAGGCAGGAGGGAAGATAAGTGGAGAGGGGAGGGTGCAATGCTGATCAGAGAGAGAGAGGGAGAAAGAGAGTTCAAAATCCTGCACGGAAGCGTCGAGCAGCCGGGGGGGGATGGATTGGTTTGGTCCACAGGAACAGAGTGAACAGAAGCGCAGCAGAAGAGGGCGAGAAAGAGGGTCCAGAAGCGCGCCCCCCCCGAACAAACCACGCACGTTGGTTGGGTTGAAGGCCGACCCAAGGGAAAGCGTCCACTTCTGAGGATTCGCAGCACAAATCACAGCCCAGACTTCTTCCCGGTCGATCGTAGCCAGGAAGGGCACCACCTATCAGATGGGCCTCAGTGGGTCGGTCCAGAGACTGTAGACGCTGACAATGGGGCGATCACGTCACTCTGCGGGTGGAATTCATTCGGGATTTGGGCTTTCCAGAGGCTTTGTCCAGGGGAGATACCGTAGAGGAGACGAGACAGACAGGCAAGTACTGATAGAATATGAAGATGAAAGAAAAGAGAGAGAGAGAGAGAGAGACATCCAGCGGATCACGTCATGTCGCCTTAGGCACCGATAGGAAAGCCAGCAAAACAGGATCCGGAAGGTCTTTGGTGGGGAATGGGATGGATCTCCGTCCTGGAAGTCAATCCAGAAAGAGTGCGTGAGGGTGTGGATCCTGCATCACTGGTTCCACGCATTTTTTTTCTTTTTCTTCGTCATGAATAGTAATACACTGGGTAGTGTGTCACTGTGTATGCGTACACCGTGGGCCACTGTTCAAGGGATACTCTTGAGAAAGAAAAAAGGAACCTACCACGCAGATCCAATGCGACGTTCCGCAACAGAACGTCCAGAAGAAGATCAGATATGTACTCGGCGTATGTTCAATGACAATATGCAGATGTCGAGAATTAATAATGTTTGTCCAGGCAGCAGCAGAACCCGATCAGACAACCTTCCTCCATCTACTATACGGAGTATAGAGTAATGCAATGGAAGAAACGGTCGCTTTTGTAGAAGCACCTGATGCGAAGCTCTCGAGAAGTCTAGTGGGGTGGCGACAGCCATTAATTATGATGGTTATCTGTGCAGTATACAGTATACACAGTACAGTCCGTGGTTGGACCGACGTGGTGTCGTTTCCTACGGACACATGGCTTGTGAAGATGTCCATGCCTCTGCCACCGAAATCGAGACATCCTCCCCTCCCCTCCCTTCGGCGACGGCGCAAGACGGCCTGATGGCGGTCGTGCAGAGCGGATCCCGACTAGTCATTGGCTGGGAAACACCAGGATCTGCAGCTGGCCAAGAAGGCTGTGCAGCCACCGCGAGGCAAGGAGTCTGTCTGGGTGGGTTGCCTTCCAGACTCTAGGATACCTCGATGCAACTGCAGGGTTCTCGGGTGGTGTGAGCGAGAAAGTGACGTTGGTGGATCTACAGCCGGTCGGACTCTGAGTCTCTGGTACTGTTGACAAAGAAAGAGATTCATCTTGGGCGTTGGTATGATCCGGGATACAGAGGAGGAAAGGTAATTCCAAAAAGTCCAGTCGGTACGTCCGCAGTACCGCCGACCGTTGCGAGATAAAGCGACAGGCCCGAGTCACCAACAGGTAGCCTCTAGGGATGCATATCGACGTCGTAACACTACCCCATCTTAAAGGTCTGGGCGACTCTAGTCCGGACGTTGTTTGACAGACGGCGTGGTATTATTATTGCCATTCACCAGTACGGAGTAATGACCTTCCCCCCCTGGCCGGTTTGTCTGCAAGGGCCTGCAGACATGCAGGATCGTGTATGTGTCACGCTGTGGCTTGACTGTGCCACTGTGTTTTGTTATTATTATGAAGCACTCGGTCGTAGATTAATATTGAAAACCCCAGCAATTATTAGGGCTGAAGTGGGATTCTGAATGGAGTCCTCCGTGCTAGTCTACTGCCATATCCAGTATCTAGGATGGTGGAGGATAGGGTTTACTTTCCACGGCTACTACGTCTACTGTACAGTGTACATAACTCTGTTGTCAATGTCAGTTGTCAGCTTACCGTTCTCGGAAACTGATTTAGAGTCGGGAGGCAAAATAGGAATTTTCTTCTCTTTCTTTCCAGAAGACCAGAAGAACGGGTACGGAATTTTCGCCGAATGCTCCCAAGGTCGCCTCCCAGGCTTCCACCAGCCCACCCTTGCAGACGTGGCTCAAGCGGAGCAGTGAGTGTGCATAAGCCATAAGTTGGGTGGTGCGACCCTCCCTTTCCCCTCTTTCTTGGGTCCACTTTCTCTTTCACCCTCTCACACTGTGACTGGCACTGACTGCACTCTTTCTGTGTCGGTTGGCCCCGACAACGTGTTTCTCATTTGGGATTGGCTTTCCCCTCTCTCTCTCGCAGTCTCAGTCTCGGCACTCTGGGCTCTCCTCTTTTGCCTCGGATCCTCCACCTCTTCTTTGTTCTGGTCCTTGAAGCTTGATGTTGGTTTGCCTTACGGTCCTACCTGGTTTGTCTTGGCAGATGGCAGTTGGCACGCCATCCTAACTCCGTTAGGCAGGTGGCTTGAGAGTTGAGGGTACTCTGAGTAGGAGGAGTATATCAATTCTCGACCCTTCGGAGATGGTCTCCTGTGCAACGGTCCTTTCATCTCATTCCATTCATTCCATTCCATTCCATTCCTCTCTCCCTTTGTCGTCGTCGGCATGGAGTGAGTGGATCTCGGAATTGGAATTGAAATGGAATCAAAGGAATGCGTGATTTTAGATGTCCTCGGCTAGGGAGAATTTTCTTTTCTTTCTTCCTTCCATTTCTTCCTTTTCATCCCTTCCTTTCTCCAGTTCACGTTGCACAACAGGCTAAGACTCGAGGGATGGGAGACAAGATCTTCGCTTTCACGTAGTACTCCGATTGCTGGCTCTTCCCCCGCCTTTCTCTTTCTCTTCGGAGAGAGTTTGCTTGTTTGTGTTGCATACAGACAGACAGACAATCGACATCTACAGGCCATCAGGCTACAATATTTGTAGGACAGATTGAGACCAAGACTGCAGTGGACGTCCTACCATGTACTCCAATACTGTCGTTATGATGTACCTCCGGACTCCGTACATATACTACCTACATACATACTCAGTACTGAGTACTCCGTACATACCCCATAATCTGTGCACCACCGGAATGCTCTCCTCCTTGGAATGTACTCTAGATCAGTGTAGGTCAGACCACACCGGTGACGATAACCGACTACGTACGGCGTACGAAGTAAACACTAAAAGGTCAAACACCCCTGGCCCTGCAGATCGTCGATCATCCTCAACCATCAACCAGACTTGAGAAGTCTTCAACTTCGGTACCCCGGTACGGAGTAGCGTAGCGTAAGTATTAACACATCATGATGATATATGACCCCAGGGTTATCGTCATATCAATGCTTAGTTAGACTTTAGGGATATCTTTTTCTCCCCATGGAGCACCGTATGATCTACGCATATGGTTTCTTATGATTTAACTCGGTGATCGACATGGACTACTCGCTAACTTAACTTACCTTACACCGTACATTATCTTTAGGATTCTATGATTTTATGCTACTTGCGTGCGCGCAATGAGATAATCGCCGTGGTGATTGGCACCGATTCACAGTAATACAGTGTACGCACAGGGCATGGAGGCAGGGCGATTCGCCGCCTGCGAGGAAGGTTCGAATATTTTTCGGTAGGAGGATTACACAGTAAATTCTCTTTTTTTTTTTTTTTTTTTTTTATCTAAAATCAATTTAATAATGATTGACTGTTTCTCTATCATCAGATCACAATCACCGCATAACAAGAATAGAAATAAAATAAAAACAAACAAGAAAACCCGGCAGCCGAGACAAACGAGTCAGATGCAATGAAAATTTTTGGCTTCTAGAACGTCTCTGGAAGCTTTTTTTCCTCTTCTTTTTCCGCCCGACGCCACCGAAGGATTTTCGCTGGATCGATCGGGTCTTTTTTTTTTTTTTTTTTTTTTGGCTGATAGCCTGATATTAATATCAGACTTTCTTAGGCTAGAATGTAGAGAAAACCATCTGACTGATTATTATTCTGATGATTATTCCGTTTTATTGATTAGCCTTTGTTGTTTTTGGGATTCTTTTACGAAACTCAGTCCTGTGTACTCCGTAGAAAATTAAAAAAAAAAAAAAAAAAATAGGAAAGGATCCCTCGGGAAACTACGGGGAGGCTCCTACTCTCTCCGATCCTATCGCATCGATCGCCCCCCCATCTTGTTCATTGGGATTTTGATATTGCCTAGCGGCCCAGCATCGCGATCTGAGTCTGAATCTGACCCTCCCCGTGGATCCCCTGCCTGACTCTGAAATAAAAGAGAAAAGTCATGGTCATGCTTATGGTTCACCGGCGGCTGGATGAAGCGATTGCGCCAGAGCATCATTCTTATTAGGTGATGAGTTTGTTGCCCGATAGGATTTCCCTATCATCACTAGACCGATTCTCGGAGATCCACCTCAAGCTCGCGCCAAACCTTGACCTGCAGTACAATTGAGTCCTCCGATGCAGATGGCATACCGTGTGCTCTGTAGTTTGTCCTCCGGGCGTGGCCTCCGGATGAATTTGTGCGGCTACCTCGCCAATTGTTTCATGCCGTGCGTATGTAGCAAACTAGTAGTTTCTGTAACGTGGAGGCCGTCGATGCATCCTACCGGTTGAGAGTATTACCTGTCATATCGCTTCGAGAGCCCTGTTGTGACCTTCTCGGTCTAGCCTGGATGCGCCGCATTGGCGCTAATCGTGAACTAAACCACCTGCATGCTGTAGAGTACAGAGCATTAGTCCCCCTGGAAGTACACAGTAGTGTCTTGCGTTTTCCGGCCCCAAATCCGAGCGAGACCGTGAGACACATCGTTTGTTATGCCTCTCTATCTCTAACGGCCATTCCCTTGTGCCAACATTGGGGGCCCATGATCTGCGTCGTTAGCAAATGCAGCTGCCTCCTAGAACCGTTCTCGTCGCATCGTTTCGACGGCGCCCCAAGGTGGGAAGAACGAAGGAGTACCGAAGACTAGACAGATGCACCTTGCAGAGTGCTAACCACAAAGCTCACCAATCCGATAGATCGGCATCTTACTTCTTTTCTTTTCCCCAATCAACGCAGCCGGTCAGGACAGGGGTCACAAACATCCCCATCGACGGGATGCTGGGCTTTTCCGGTCCAAACCGCGGCCGAGCTTCACATATGTTATGTACAAGATCGTGACACCAGATTTTTCGAACTGCTTCGCCTGCCACCCAAAAAGGGGCCTAGCACTCTTTGCATGTGGCACTCAACCCCAAATGCCCCAGCAAACATAGCGTGTTCTCGAGGTCAATGCCCCCGCTGGAGCGATAACTGACCAATGATTGGATAATGCTAATGCAGTGTGGCTTGTTGGTTTCTAGCCGGCAACTGGGAGCTGCCTGTGCTTCCCCATTAGCTTTCCACTCGCCCCAAGATGGAGACAAAGAATCTTCTGTTTCCGAGGTAGGGCTGGATGGCAGGCGTACGTGGCACACCGTCCTTGGTGACTATGTTCCACGCCCCGTCGTGGACGACGATATGGCGTTGATCTAAGCGATCAAAGCAATATGTGATTCAGGACGTCTAGCTTCGGCGACCAGCTCAGAGAATCGATGGCACAGCACCAACACGCGCCAACGCGGGGTTCTTGCAACCAATCGGGGATTTCACGGTCCATCTCAGAAAAACAATAGCGTTGGAACTGAGACTTCCAAAAGCTCGCTTTGAACATTATGCTGGCAAGAGCTCCAAGACCCATGGCTGGCGGCTAATGGAACATGGCGGTCAAGCTCGCCTTCGGCCGAACCGGACATGAGAAACATGTGCGAGATCGACTGTTTTCCTCATCCAGGAACTGTTGCCAAGCCTGCTCTTTGATCTCCCCTAAATACTCGGCGCTACGTTGGTGATTCCCATTGAATGGCGCTTCGTTTCGCTAAGCGCCCTGCCGATCGTAATATTGTCGAGTTTCTGGGAGGGCGCCAGGTACTATCTTTTCCATCCTCTGTATGGACCAAGATATTCGTTCAGCGCTTATACGATTGATAGAAGATGGGAGCTGTTCTTATTTTGGAGTAGTACCCTCTAATTTTAGACCACCGTTGAGAAGACACCAAGCGTTCATCCGCCGGAAACGAAGTCGAAACGCAGTATGCTTCAGCCTCCGAATATCTCTGGGCTAGAGGCACGCGATTTGTTGGGAACAGAAACCAATGGCTGTTAGGCGTCAGTGCCATGGATGCTCTTGGCTGGCGCTCTGGACACAAGGGCAAATTGATTCTCATTGATCACCCTCCGTCCCGGCTTTGTCTCCAAGGCACCAAGGTTCACATCCCATCCCACATGCGTCAAGGCTTGAAGATACTGCTCGAACCGTCCGTTATCGTTGAGAAAGTTCAATGTTGTCGATAGAATATTGAGAACCCTGTCGATAGAAATCGCGGTGCCCCCTTTCAGGGACGTAGACAAAACTCGCACAGCAAGTAGAGCATGTGCCCAGGCCTTCAGCTGTGCCTGGACGGTGCTCGTATTCTTTAAAAGGATATCCGCATAGCATGTTTGATTGGTGTAGCGGAGCATGAGCATATAAGATTCTTCCCTGAAGAGGGACGAAAGCTGAGATACCGGGAGATGGGTTTTCAATGAGCCAGAGGATGCATATGAGGATGAAGAGGCTAGAAACTGTTGAAATGATAATCCAATGCGACAGAACCCTATCCTTGATGTCGATGGAGACCTAATCGAGCTCCATCTGAGAATTCCATCCGTCTCGAAGATTCGTTCTTGCTTGGTCACCTCAGCAGGAGACAGCTTGAGCCAGCTGGTTTGATCGAAGCTCCTGCCTTTCTGTCTTTCCTTCACCTGGTGACTATCGCCGAAGCTCTTGATGTTGACATCAGGGTCTGACTCAAACAAAGTTGAAAATACGATATTCGTCCGTTGTCTGTTGAGGCTGGTCATTTGTACTGAGCGCACCGCGGCATAGTTAAGGCTTAGATGAACTGTAAGAAGCAAAACCAAGGAAATCCACGTCGCGGTGTAGCTTGTCACGCGGGACACCACAAAAGATCCAACCTGTTCTTCGTAAGCTTTCTAGGATGAGAATGGCCGGAGTACAGAACATACAAGCATCCCTATCAGTGAGATTATGGTTTCTTGCGAGGAGTCTTTCTGTAGCCAGAGGTGTCAGTCACACTAGCTTTTCTGGTTTCAAACATGGGCCTAATTGAACATACTGCATTGACTTCAGCGAGATTACCCCATTTAGAAAAATGCGCGCTCAAACTTGCTTTGGAGCTTCCTCCTGCAACTCCACACAAGGCCCGAAGAACGCCAGCTGTGCTGAGAACAGTGACTCGGCCAACCCCTGCAGGGATCATTGGGGAGAGACAATCTAGCACCATCGCCACATCATTGAACACATCGGCCGCTAGCCGATACATTTTACACTCCGGTTCAAGAGCTGTACCAACTCGATGTGCAAAAAGAATTGTGGCGACTCGGCCTGACGAATCCTGAAGGATATGAAGGAGAAGGGCAGATGTCGGGGACGCATCGGCATTGCCCACTCCAACTCCTGCGTTTACAGGACAGTCAGCTTCTCTTTGAACATGTTGGACTTCGGAGCAAATAGTTCACCTTGCAATACAGCTCTTGAAGAGAGAAGACCGGCGATCGAGCTACTGAAAGCTTGAAGGGAGTCCTTCAAACGGAGATATACGTTAGCGAGTTCCCAGTCTAGACCAGCAGCCGGTGCCATTGTGACACTGAGCTGAGCGCATATGGATGGAATTGGAACTCACAAATATTTGGTATCTAAGGTGTTTGTTAGCTTGCAGTCACGATCGATTGACCGGGGTTCAACATACGAGGTATAATCGTCGCTGACACTATGAGGGTATCCAGCAGGGAGAAAAATATCGATGAGGAGATCCCAAAGCGATCTTAAAGACCATGACGATGGAATGGTAGAAGAAGGATGCTAGAGTTCTAGTTAATGGGATGAACGTGTTGTCATGATGCAATGGCTGATCACGGGGTTCGCAGCGAAATAGACGTAGCGTCGCAGGGATAGCAAGAAGGCAGAACGCAGAAGGCAAATAGGAAAGGAAAAAGCGGGATGGAAGATACCGTAACATCAACACGTCCTATAATGACCGCATCTTCGTTAAGGGGGTGTTGGAGAGGAGCTGAGGATTCGGAGTAGATATAAGTCGCTGTGGGATGATCGACCTCGTCTACTTCAGTGAAAGTTATGCGGTTGACTGGGGAAGAAGAGGCCATTATGTGGTGATTTTCTATTGAGATTAACAATGACCGATTGACTGCAAGCTGGACAAAATCACTGAGTTGACAGGTGGGGTCCAAACATAACATTTGTCTCGAAGCAGGAGGTTGTTGTCTAGAAGAAGCTGCGTGGCAGGAATGCAATCTGCTTAGCCGCGAGCACGTGGGAAAAGCCGCGTTCCAAGACTGTCATCGCCTGGCAAGTAACGCAAACCTCGACATTCAATAATGATGATGGGATGATTGACAAATTACAGGGGTTGATTTGTTTGACTGGAAACATTGTGAATTCTAACCTGTAGTAATGATACCGTCCTGTGCTCGGCGGACAAGCAATGAGCATAGCAGAAACTCAAGCCAGGCTTCCAGTGTAATAATAGTCCAATAGTCTAGCAGACTTTTTTGAATCAACTCGAATCAAGCATATGCATGACGGGTTATGACGCCGAACATTCCGCGAACAAATATAGCCGTGAAAAATGTAAGGGGAAGAAGAAAAAGCAAAGAAAACCAAATCCCACACAGTGCGCGCCCAGAGAATTCGAAAGATATAGAACCGCTAAGTATGAATGACTTGCAACCACCAGCGCCTTGATACAAAGCAATCAGGATAACAAAAGAAATGTGAAAAAAGAGCCGTGGACCGGAGACGTGCCGGGATCCGAGGTGTTCCGAAGAGAATCCATGACCGAAGATTAGACAACGGAATCGTCTATAGCCAAGGATTGGTTGGGACGCTTAGCTTCGCGATGAAGCGAGGTTCTCCGGTCTCACGGCTCTTGCCCAAGCACCTACGGGACACCCGTTGAAGAGATATTCCCGTCGTAGTTTCGGTCGGAAACGACCACCCCCTTTCTTAGGAATGTATGCCATTCCATGCATCGTGCTCATCCTCCGGACGTATTCATTGCATCATCCCTCATGGGTACACGGAGAATCTAAGCATAGAGACTGGCACCACCGGTCTCAATGGCTTCGATCTCAGCCTCGCTCCAAGGAAGGCGGTGGAAACGAGAGGGAAGCTCGACGCGGTCGAAGAACTCGCCCTGCTTGGGCTGAACGGGCCCCAGAGAAGCGCCCGGGGTACGACCGATGGCACCCTGAGTGAAAGAAGCACGACCGAGGGGGCCGTGCTGCTGAGCCTTGATGCGGTAGGCGGCGAAAGAGTCGGGAAGAATTCCAGAGGGAGAAGCGGGGTGAGGACGAGGAGTGTGATCAATGGATTCTACATAGAGAAAAACGCGTTAATGGAGTCAATTTGCGAGATACGACGAAGGAGAAGACATACGAGGCACGGAACGGCGGCCAAGGAACCGAATGAGAGGAGTGCGGGCAGCGTTTCCGAGAGCGACGGTGGCACGCATTTTGAATTGAAGAGATTAAGAGGATAAAAAGGTTGGAAATGAGATTTGTCGGTGGGTGAAGGTGAAGGAAGAGAAGATTGAGTGATCCGCACGAATTTGACGCGACGAAAAAACCCAGTGATCCGTTGGCGTCCGAAGCGACCGAGGTAAGCGATTAATTAGGGCAGACAGGAAGCTAGTAGCTCAGCAGAACCCGGCGAAGGATATATACAGCGATTGATTAATAGGGATGGCAATGGCGAAGAGACTGACTGAAGAGAGCGATGAAGGAGGAGAAGGAGAAGAAGAAGGAAGATGAAGAACAGGAGGAGGGAAAGAGAGAAGGACGGAGAGCGAGAGGTGGGGGGGGGAGATAACTACAGAAAAAGGGAATGGAGACGGACGGGGAGGGGAGGAAGTCGGAGCGGAAGCGAGCCGATCTAGTCCCCATCCGTCGTACTGATAAGCCGGCATTCGCGGTGTTAGTGGAAGCAATTAGTCGTCGTGTATTGTGGTACACGGCGTGTACCCGCAGCGGTGCCGGACTCCGGGCACTGCGGACTCTTGGCCAGGTATGTTACGCGTATGGTACGACACCCAGGATCGGAGGAGCTCCCCAAGAAATCATAAGGTTCATGCGTGATCAATAATCATCAGATTCCTCCTCCGTTACCTTCTCTTCCCTCCCCCTCCCTTCCACTCTCACCCTCTCTTCTTACCCCCGTCGGCCCCGATCTTTTTCCCATTCCCGCATTCCCGGTGAAGCTGCCACATTGACACTTCGTCCAATCTAAATTCACAGGGAAATTCCAACGCCCTTCGGATTCCATCCCCCGCATCGCCTTAACCCAAACAAGCATCCCCCCTTCGTCTTCCCCCGGCTTTCTCTAGTTAATCCTTATCTTGTCCCTTTTCCTCTTTCAGAATAATTTCCCGTGCCTGGGCCTGTGCATGTGACTCCCGGTTTCCTTGTTCCGTTCCTCGTACTTTGTTGGCATCTCAGAATCGGCCTAAGGTAAACAGACATCCAAAAAGGGAATTTTAACCGTTGAACGTGAATAAAAGCTCGGACCAACTTTCCGACCCGGATTTTTCCGCGGGTTGCCACTTTCCCGCCCACCAGCAGATCTCGGATTTCGAGCTTCCGGAATACGTTCCCCGCCGCCCTTCAAGCAGCCAGTTGGTAGTGAACTGTCGCCGTTGCTGTTCTTGTGATCATGCATGAACTGTTACTCTTCGCCTCGGTTCCCGCTCATCAACATCATGAGCTGCTCCAACAGCTGGCCGGGTTGACGGCCATGCAACCGCGTCACCGCTTAGAACGGCGTTTGGTCTTCAAGGCCTTTCGAAAGCCGGGACTGGTCAATACCCATGTCGGAGCCACTCAGGACGTACAAGGCCCCGATATGCAGCGTCTGAATAAAATGCTGAACGGAGGCATGTTCTATACTCAGGTGATCGGACCTGTTTCCGAGGCGGACTTGGGTGCTAACCCTCCACCAACCTCGCTCGGAGATACTGACGCGTCCATGGCCGGCACGGACGAGGACGGTGGACATCGTTACAGCTACGACCATCAGACCTGGAGGCTAGAGTTTAGAGATATCCCCGAGGCCGGGACTCGTTCGGCCGTCACCACCCGACTGACGGCCAGTGCCGGTCTGCCCAAAGGTGATATCGTAACCCCCATGAATGCCTGGGGCTATAGGTGAGTAAGCGAGTTGTATCCTGCGACGCGGACGCGGATGAATAAGCGAATCGTATGATCGCTCGTCTTTCGGTTGGTTTGCTGATGCGAGTTCGGATAGTTATGTCACCGAATATATGGTGGAGGGCGATATCTTCATTCTGAACGACATCGTCATCTTTCTCCATCGCGTCCTACAATACCCCAGCGAGGGCCAAGAACCACATGAACCTCGGCGCCAACTGCCTCCTCTCCAGCAGATGACTTCCCTGGACAGAACCGGGAGCTACGTGCTGCAAGCATCCATTACAGTCCAGGATGGCGGCAACCAAGAAATGATGAAGACTGCCTCGCAGCATCTGTTTGGCCTTCGGGAACAGTTGAAGTCGGCTGTCCGGCTGGAACAGGCGGATCGACTCTCTCTGGACACGCGAGCCAAATAGGCTGGCCGAATTGTCCTCTTGTTCTTTGCACATGTTCGATACCCTGGAGCAAATGGATCTTGATAGACTTAGTAGATAATAATTGATTAAAATTTTTACGTATCTAATTTTGCGTCGCTGATGGTATTTAGGGAGGAGGTCTTGCGTACGTATGCTCGCGGGAATGTATGTTGTTATCGCCGCGATACAAATAATACATGATAGATATTCCATGCAGCTAATAGACCGACATTCTCATTGTCAAGGGTTGCTTGCTGCCCCTCTTCAGTGTTGGTTGTTCATTGTCGGGTATACGAGACATGTGACCTCGTGAAGCTGAACGCGCGTGTCGGCGCGTCAACGTCCGCCCAACTCAGAATATTTTCCACGGAGATCATCACGACGACAACCATCACAACTCGGTCTCTCCATCGACGGAAGAGTCCCTTTCAACTCATCTCAACATTTCTTTCATACTCCTTAGATTAAGGATGGTCGGCGCCGGGGGCACGAAACGGGCACCGTCCCCGAACGGCGCTATATCTCCGCCTCCGCTGAAACGGAAAGTCGAGCCAACGGTGACCAGTAAGTCATTCATCAGGATGATCCATAGATATATCTAATCAAAGCCGCTCGTTTTGCTCGTTTCAGAGAAAGCCATGTCCTCGTTCTTCACGCCAACGTCTCAGAAAAAACCCGAGCAAATCACCTGGCGGATTGTGAAGGATAGTCTAATCATTGGCAAATATGCCAAAGAATCAGGGCCTAAGAAAGAACCCTCAGACAAGCCAAAGATTGCTGCATTCGACTTTGTAAGTCAAGGCCCACTCACCCATCGATCCGTCGACGGATGTACACGAGAGTGCCTGTAGCTGATGGCCGGGGGAAGGACTCGACTTTGGTTTCAACTGCCTCAGGCAACACATTTCCAAGAAACTCCTCAGATTGGAAGTGGTGGCATTCTTCCGTACCTTCTCGTCTCAAAGAGCTGGAAGCTGATGGGTATGTCATTACGGCGCCTGCTATCGCGACGCAACTGATCGATCACGTAAACTCCTGTCCAGACCAGAGACCGAGAACTAATTCCTTTAACTAGATACCAAGTGATCATTGTTTCCAACCAAAAGAAGATTAGTCTGAAAAAAGAGATCAAAGCCGGAAAGGGCGATTCTAAAAGCTTGACGAATTTCAAAGAAAGGATCACGGCCGTTATGAAACAGCTAGATCTCCCTATGAGTGTTTACGCTGCTACAGAGGATGATGAGTATCGGAAACCGAGGAGTGGGATGTGGAACGAGTTCTTAGATGACTATGACTTCGACGTGGCTGGAGTCGACCTGTCAGGGTCCGTTTTTGTTGGAGATGCCGCCGGCCGGCCGCAGGACCATTCTCAGGTAGACCGGTAAGTTTAATTCGAGCGAAAGGAAGACGTGCAGACTGATCATGACCTTTCATGGCCCAGTGGATTCGCAGCGAATATCGGGCTTCCATTCAAGACGCCCGAGGAGTTCTTCCTCGACGCTGACCCAGAGCCACTTGTGGAACCTTTCAATCCATCTTTGTATCTTCAAAATGACGACGACGATGGTAAGTGATAGTGGGAACATGGTTTCGCATAATCATGGACTCCGCCAAACACCAGACCCACGCCGCAGAAGGCTAGTCAAGCTACAGATTAATAACCTTGTTTCAGCAGCGCCTGCCCCTTTCACACGCCAAAATCCCCTCGAACTTGTCATCTTCTGTGGTAGCCCCGGAGCGGGAAAATCGACATTTTACTGGAATTACCTCGAACCATTGGGTTATGAACGAGTGAACCAGGACATTCTCAAATCGGTGCGTCTGCCACAGTCTACAACAATATAAGGGGAGGACAAAAGGACCTGCAGGATCAAGCTAACCAAGGAGAATCTCAGCGACCAAAATGCATCAAAGTAGCCAAGGAGCACCTTGCGGCCAAAAAGTCCGTGGTAGTTGGTATGTGCTGCGTAACCCTTGCATCTAGCTCCATGTTCTACGACAGACCGGACCAGGCCAGACCCGTCCTTCCTACCTTCTCTAACTCCCTGCTTTCCTAACTTCCCCCCACCCAACAAAAGACCGTTTGGAAATTCAACGATCAGGACCACATTCCTCTACAGACTTTGCTAACTCACTGCTTGCCGAAAACAATTCCCCGACGCGAGTCGGAGAGTTGGGCATCAAAACGCACATAGACAATACCAATGCAGACCCAGAAACCCGAGCCCACTGGATTGAAGTCGCAAAGGAATTTGAAGTCCCAATTCGTTGCGTGTATTTCTCCGCGTCGCCCGACCTCTGTCGGCATAACAATGCTGTTCGAGCAGCAAACCAAGACCTGGTATGTTCAACTTTCTCCTTGAAGCTTTATGACATTGTACTCGCCACTGCCCTTTTTTTACTCTTCTGCCTACCTGCCCTGCACCTGCGGGATGGAGAATGGACCCTTTGGTGGCTTGCATAAATATCCGCTCGCCCCCTCTCGGTATCTTTCTGATTCCTTTGTGTTCCCCTGCGGGTGAACCCAAGAAAGGACACATACATACACAGAAGGGAACCAAGGTTGAGTGGATCCGTGCTCTACCTGCATCTGGGACTCGAACCAATCTACGCTCGCTCATCTTGCGTTGTGCATCACGCCTCCGCCGGTGATCGTGCCCGTGCGCGAGTTTATCATGCTTTTTCTTGTACCATCTATGCCGAACCCGTTCTCCACCGTTCGTTGTTCACTGAAGATGGCGTCTTTCTTGTTCTTTTCTTTTTCTGACCCCACTCGCTCGTGTTGCTCATCCGTCTGTCTACCTCTAGAACCCGGAATCTCGCACATCACTACCAGGAATCGCCTTTGGGGATTTCCTTCGCCGATTCAAGGAACCGGCTTTATCGGAGGGTCTCACCGATATTGTACGTGTTGACTTTCGCTTCCGAGGAACCGCCGACGCGAAACGCGTCTGGAGCCAGTACTGGATCTGATCTGATCTGGGCGGAAGGGGGGCAAAGGTGCATCGGGGATGAACCGGGGAGTGGGGTTTGAACCTTGAATGTTTCATATGTGCGCCGCGGAAATGCAGACGGCTGAAGTTTCGCATACACAGGAGGACTAAACCGTATCTTCCGGCCCCGGGGGGAAGGGGATCACCAGTTCGTTTCGGCTGGCTCGGCTGATTTATTCTCCTGCTTGCGCTTTGGACCATGTGCAGGTATCGAGCTGCTGCAATATGCATTTCGCCGTACATGCATCGCTGCAAGGGGCTTCAAGAAGAATGCGGGAAGTAAAGATTTAAAAGAGCTCAGTAAGAAATATCTATTCGGAAATTTATCGTTATGAGATTATCAGGTAGAGTGATTATTTGTTATATATACATGTACAAAAACACAGAATAAATGTGGCTTTTTTTTTTGTGAAACACCTGAACATTTCTATGGGATACAGCGGGTCATAAAATCATTCACGCTTGAAGGGTATAAAACGGGGGATAGAATAGATGAGGAACACCGATCATTATCACAGCAAAGCCCCCGCTTTCGTTCCTCTTGAGTTGGACCTGCAAATCTTCTTCCACATTCCAGCCGGGCAGGATCCAGTCGCATTAATGCATGGAGAGTACATCGCTCGCAGAACAAACGGAAAGCAGATGCGCCTGGTAGCACACCGAGGTACTGTTACATGTGGATGCAGAAAAAGTGGTCCGTCATGGAATCACAAGTAGAAAGGTCCGGAAGAACAAAGGAAAATGCAATGCACCGTGCGTAAAAGAATGGATGGCACTCTGCGAGTCAGTAGTCGCAGGCACACAAGTCGTAAAGTCATCAATGTCAAATCACAAACCAGAGTCGATGATAAAGAACAAGAGATAAGAAAGAAAAGACATTAGTCATCACAGGCTTCAAAGGTCGTCCATGAGGCATTAGAGATCATTAGATGTTATACATCATCAGAGCCTCGCACAATAATTCTATCGTCGCTAGAGATAAGAAAACTGAGAATGAATCGAGAAAAAGGTCCTGTCTGTGGAGCGAGAACCCGCAGACGGAGAAGGTCTAGGACCGAGACACAAGGTCCTGGAAGAACTTGAGAAAATTGCGTTTCAAGGATTGAGTGCGACACAGTCCAGAGTCGGTCGACGGCGGTGCGATTTTCATGGGGCCGACGATTTCGCCGTCACCCAGCTCGGGGAACTTGTCGTCATGCAGGCGAGGGATCTTGAACTGCTCATACGGATCGCAGTGAGAATTGACTAGACGTAGGTGGGGTCCTTCGGTGGCCTCGAGTTGGGAGAGCATGGCTTCGTGCTGACGTCTCCATTCGTTGTTGATCGACTCCCACTTCTCCTCCGTCAGCTTGTAGATGTTGGACGTGATCCCGTAATGTTCGCCCGTCCGGACCAGATGTTTCGCAAAATTGCATTGGGCGAGATCCCACTGGGCGCGCAGTAATCGGAAGGACTCCAGGTCGTAAACCTCGGGCATGTACGGCTCGGGCTGAATGTTGAAGTTGGCATGTCCCAGCCTATTCGCCCACTCGTCCTTTGGGTCCGATAGAATAAACGGAGGTGCCTCACCCGACACGGTTCGTGCCGTGCCAGCTCGAGGTCGGTTGAAGGATGCGACAGATGGCTTGGAGGACAGCGATGGTGATGGGAGCGTTGCGAGGCGTGGGTCCTGGAGTACATTGGCATCGGGGACATCCTCCGACATGTCGGCCACGGAAGGCGACTGCAGTGGCGAATGAACCCGGGATGTGGTCGGATAAACAGGTTCGTCTCCCATGAAGGGCGGCAGGAGCGGAGTGGTCGCCTGGGGTGCCGATTCCTCCGGGTCATGACGATTAGCTTTGGCGATGTCGATGGGTTGCGCTCCCGATTCGCTAATCCGCTCCTCGAAGATCGTTCTTGCCGGCGAGGGAGGCACCGTAAAAGATTCAACGCGGCTGATAGAACCCACTGTCGGGCTGACCAAGACGGAACTGGCTGAGTTGGTACGGGATCGCAGCGAGGTTGAGAACGTATCCACACCGTCCGGTCCACCGGATGCACGTCGAGATTTCCAGCGCGAGGAGATGGTCGAGATTTGAGAACTGATGCGCGAAAGGCCTTTGATCGAAATGCTGTCGGAGCGTCTCTTCTTCGGAGAATGGGAGATGTCCATACCGGCATCAGTGAGGTCGTAGCCGTCCGAGTAATCAACGGAGGAGAAGTATGAATCTTCCACTTCCGACAAGCCTTGGTCGAAGTGCTCTACTAGCGGGTCAGCAAGAATTGGAGAAAGAAAAAAGCATAACGATTTATCGGAAAAAATCCCGGCACGGGGGCTGGGAGCAAGGGCGACATACGGAAGTATTCCTCCTCAAGATCCCTCGCGTGGGCCCCACAAGAATACTCTTCCTTCACTCCTGTCAAGGGATTTTTGGAGGCGCTTTCCATCGAATTCCCGTGGCCGGGGGATGAAACCAAGGAGGACACGGAACTGGAGAAGCGCGCATGTCCTTTGGCAGAAAACAGTGAAACCGCGGGTGAGACAGGCGTTGACGAAGTAGTGGTCATCGGGGATTGAGGCGACTGCCGCGACGGGTCAACCATAGCGTCGGAACTGTCACGCCTTTTGGCGTCTAAAAGATGCGGAAGTTTGAGCATGTTGGAAATTGGTGTTGGCCGAGGTGATGGGGGAGATTTTTTTCTTCTCTTCGCCTTTCTCCTTTGCTGCAGGTGTAAAGCAGAGAAAGAACAAACGCGACACGCAGAGAAAAAACAAATCGGAGGGTTCGGTTTCAGCTCTTTATGTCGAAGACATCATCCACTGATTTTGTCTGCGTAATGTTTTGTTTTTAGAAAAAAAGAAATAAATGAAGAGATTACTTTGTATTGCTTTTTCGGTTCTTCTTTTCTTATTCCGTCCAAATGAGAAACGAGGAAAGAAAGGGAAAAAGGAAGGAAAAAGCAAGAAAGGAGGAAAGAAAGCCAAAGAGAACAATGACTGTTTTAAGATGCTCAACAACCCAAGTCAGACGTGGCGTGGCGGTGAAAGACAGCCCGAGAGAAGGAGCGAGAGACAAGGACAAGACCAGCAGCGAGGGAAATGATGCGAGGCCCCCGGATAGGACAATTGATTCTGAGACGACGCGAGCCAGAAGCCACGAGCGAGTGACTGGCCGAGGCGGGGAGAAAAATGGCAGGCGGCAGGGCCGACAAGAAGACGTGGAGCACGTCAGTGGATGCAGGCGGACGAACAGCTGGCCGGAGGAGAAAGATGAGGGTGTTCGTAAGGCCCAAAAGGCAGGCTGACAGCTCAGTGGGCCGCAGTTGCTTTACACTCGACGGGCGTTGACGTTTGGCGAAGGAAAGAAGGATGAGAGAGGAAGAGAGAAGGAAAAGAGGAAGAGGAGGCGGAAGAGGAGGAAGAAGAGAGGGGAGCACAGACGTAACCAGAGAATGTCTTCTTTCCCTTCACCTCTCGACAGTCTCGCTCCAGATCACCATCGATAAATCATTAATTAGTTTAATCGTGAGGGGCAAAGAGAAAAAGCAAAAAAATCGAATATCGGCTTCTTTTTCTCTATACGGAGCGTACTTTGCCTTTGTTTTCTTCCTATCTATCCTCTCTCGATCTCCCGGTCTCTTTTCTCTCTTTACCTCTCTATCTATCAAATTCTGTTCTTATTTTCGCCTTCGTCTGCCAAGCATCTAATTTTGATCTTTTATTTTTATTTTTATTTTTTTTTTCTCTGGGTATGATTTAATAACAGAAAGTAAGAATGGATGATCCTCGGGGAATTCGCCAGACCAGAGTAGGCGCTCCGCTCAGTTCCGTGGATCCCAGCATTTCCTTGCCACGGTCGCTGCTTCTTTTTTTTTTTTTTTTCTCACTTTGGTCTCCGGCGGATATGAGAAGCGGTACTTTCTTGCGGTCGCATGGCTTTCCAACCTTCGCTACCTTTATAAGTTTATCGCCAGAAGGGAAGCGAAGAATCCGTCTTTTAACCTTTTCGAGAAGATCAAAAGAAGCCGGTCGCGGAATATCGTGAAGAGGCACCGTTCCGTCTGCCCGTCGGGGGAATTCCAACGGTCTCGCGTCATCGTCAATCCACCTTGGGTCTTGGTCTTGGAAAGACACTCCCCAAGCGAGTCAAGGGACCCATCGTGAGCGCGGGAGAGAACGAAACAAAAGACGAAGGATGACAATCTAGACTCCGACCGACTCGACTGGTCTAACACAGAACTCCATCGGATTGACATAGCTCCAGTGGCTGGTGGGCTATTCTTTCCCTGACAAGTGAACACTGTGCGACCGTCAGTATTGCCATTCTTCCTGGAGGACAAAGATGCGAGAATTGTCAACGCGCTGCATTTCCCCCTCTTCCCCGAAAGTACCATGACCTATCGTCTTCGCATCGGACGACTCCCGACGAAGCAGCTCGCATGCGTACGGTGTAGTAATCTCTGACAGAGTGGTCGGTCCTCCATGCGTCTTCCTTTCCTCTTGCCTGCCGGTGTGTCGTAAAGACCCCTTCTGTCTCGGTCGCTGCAGGTTGCGACCGCTGTGTCATCCATCGCTTCCCTACTGGCTGTCTTCTTCGGTCTGTCTCTCCTCCAACGCGTTTGTTTTGTGAGGGTTTTCGCGCGCTGTCTTAGACTTCACTTGTTCAAGTAACTGACTGGCCGATCACCCGGTGGACCCTTTTTTTTGTCGTCCTTTCCCCAAGACATGTGAGCAGCGACTTGCGTTCCAACAGTTCCACTGTTCTCGCATTCCAACCTTGAACTCAAAACTCTGGTGCCGACGTCAGATCCACATGGAAAGAGCCAGCCGGATAGTTCCCTAAATTCCATCAGAGTTTGGGACTAGAAGAAGACAGAACGGAAGTGGAAGAACCCTACGCCAATTCCGTGGGTCGCGACCTGGTCGGCATTTGGTCTGTAAGTCGTACTTTAGTAATCATCTCTATCATGAGCGACTGATCAATTGATGGTCAACATGGGAAGGGATACGTCGGAGTGATAGATAGTCGATCATCGATCCGATCTGATCCAGACTCAGATCCATTGATAACAATGTGAACTATAACTAGATCAGAATCTAGTTAACGTAATCAACCACCGAGCGGCGGATACCATCGAGCGGCGGATTTTCACTCCAACCACCTCAAGCATCATTTAACGCGTCATTTCTTCGCATCAGTCATATAAAATGCCACTTTCTCAAGAAGCTCGCCTTCAGATGGCTATACAGGCCTATAAAGGTCGAAAAATCAAATCAATTTTAAAGGCTGCTGAAGTCTACGCGGTACCTGAAAAGACCTTACACGCGCGTGTTAAAGGAAGGAAATCACGCACAGAAACACGCGCAAATGGTCATAAACTGACCGAATTTGAAGAGGAATTGCTTTTAAAGCAATTATTAGACGCAAATATGCGAGGATTTCCAATTCGACCTGAATTCCTACGTGGAATGGCTCAAACATTGCTTTGCAATCAATTACGAGATTCAACGGCAGCTCTCGGAATCAACTGGCCTTATAAGTTCGTTAAACGCCATTCTAAACTGCATACGCGATATATAAGACGGATTACCTATCAGCGCGCAAAGCAGGAAGATCCAAAGGTTATAAAACCATGGTTTGAGACTGTATAAGCGACTATTCAGGAACACGGCATACACAAAAACAATATCTAGAATTTCGATGAAACTGGCTTTGCAATGAGACTTTGTTCTACTTCAAAAGTGATTACTGCAGTTGAACGAAATGAACGACCGCGTAGAGTCATTCAGGGCAATCGCAAATGAGTTATAGTCATTGAGACAATTGGGTCAAAAGGCGTATATCTATCGCCAGTCATTATATTAAAAGCAAGCGTCCAACAGGCTGCCTGGTTCCAAGAACCTAAGCTTCCTCGCAACTGGTGGATTTCTACTAGTTAGAATGGCTGGACGACTGATGAAATAGGCCTTCTCTAGTTGAAAAATGTCTTTGAACCGCTTTCTAAGCGTTATATGACTGGTGTTAAGCGATTGCTTATTTTTGACGGTTATAGTAGCCATTTTACTGCTGAATTCGATGATTTCTGCAAACAGCATGCAATAATCTGTTTCTGCATGCCTGCTCATGCTTTGCATCTTCTTCAACCGCTTGATGTGGGTGTCTTTAGCCCGCTTAAAAAGACGTACGGAAAGCTTCTTGAATATCGTATGAAAGTCGGCAATAATCATATCGATAAAGAAGACTTTTTATTGCTATATCCGGATGCACACAAGGAAGACTTTACTTCATCTAATATTTACAGCGGTTTTAAAGGAACAGGACTTAAGCTGTTTAATCCAGAACATGTTCTCTCTACGCTTACCTTTCAACTACGTACGCCTACGCCATCATTAATTGAAGGCTCAATTTCCTCTGCTTTTCAAACCCCGCAAAATACTCGCCAGCTAGATCGAAAGGTTAGAAGCCTGCAAAACAGCTTTAATAAAAAACGGCAGCTTTCTAGCAGTCCTATTGCTCATATTCAACATTTTGAGAAAGCGGCGCAAATGGCAATGCAAACCCAGCTACTCTTAAAGCAAGAAATCAGGGCTATACGCGCTGAAAATGAGCGACAACGTCAAAGAAAGGCAAGAAAGCGTGCTGAACTAGGAAATAACCGTCTTCTTAATGTGCAAGAAGGCGAAAATCGGGTTCAACAGCTTAATATGCAATTTAATGAGCAATCTGAAGAATCTACTCTGATGCCTCGCCGACAAGCTCCGCAACGCTGCAATGGCTGTGAAACAGTAGGACATACAATTCGAAATTGCCCTAGTAAATAGCTATCATTTCATATATTTATCTAGTTAATTTAAATGGCGTTGGTGGTGATAAAGCTTCGAATAGTAATGATTGCGGTGAAAATCCGCCGCTCGATGGTATCCGCCGCTCGGTGGTTGATTACGTTAACTAGTGAGTGTTAGTTAACTAGAACTGGCGGCGAGGATGACGTGAGCCCCTGGTCTGTGCACGTGACATCACGATGCTGACTTCGACCTCGTCAGCATCGGATGGACTGCACCACCTTGCGTTCCCTCCAGCGAGCTCTTCATCTTCTCCAGCCTCATGAAGTTCGCGTCCTCCCGTCTGCTCGGCATTGCTGCCCTGGCAGCTGTTTCTCCGGCCCTCGCATCCCCGCAGAGCCCATTGAAACCCGTCTCCTCGTCGCCGTCCACCGGCGGCTCCCTAGACGATGTCATCAATGACTCACCCTTCCTGTCTTTCCACCGCGACCTTGTGCAGATCGAGTCCCTCTCTGGGAATGAGAGCTACGTCGGTGAATTTGTGGCGGAATTCTTGGAGGCGCACAACTTCACCGTTGTCAAGCAACCCGTGACGGGTGGGGATGGACCGGCTCGCTTCAACGTCTTCGCCCACCGGGCGTCTGGTTCCCCCCAGGTCCTACTCACCAGCCACATTGATACCGTGCCCCCGTTCATCCCCTACTCCCTCGAGCGCGTCGCCTCCAATTCCTCGGCCTCCAGCATCCGCATCTCTGGTCGAGGCTCCGTCGACGCCAAGGCCAGCGTGGCAGCCCAGGTCTTTGCGGCGCTTGAGGTGCTGGATGAGGACCCCGACGCTCCGCTAGGGTTCCTCTTCGTCGTCGACGAGGAGGTCGGCGGGAAAGGCATGGGTGTCTTCTCCGAATCCTCCCTGAACCCGGACCCCTCCCCCTTCAACGCCGTCATCTTCGGCGAGCCAACTGATCTTGCCCTCGTCGCCGGCCACAAGGGTATGCTGGTCTTCGACGTGGTCGCCACCGGTCGCGCCGCTCACTCAGGATATCCCTGGCTCGGATCAAGCGCCATCTCGGCCATTCTACCGGCCCTGTCGCGCGTCGACCAGCTGGGGGACATCCCCGCCGAGGAGGGCGGCCTGCCCTCCAGTCCCAAGTTCGGCCGCACCACTGTGAACATCGGTCGTGTGGATGCCGGTGTGGCGATTAACGTGGTACCCGCGGCTGCGCGGGCAGGCGTTGCCGTACGCCTGGCGGCAGGTACTCCGGACGAGGGACGCGAGATCGTGCGGCGCGCCGTGCACAATGCCACCAACGGCAACGAAGCCGTGTACGCTGACTTCTCGTCACACCCAGAAGGCTACCCACCGCCGGACCTGGATACGGACGTGGACGGGTTCGAGGTGACGACGGTGAACTACGGCACCGACGTGCCAAACCTGCAGCTTCATGATCGCGAGGACGGCGGCCGCGTGCGTCGCTACCTCTACGGCCCCGGTAGTATTCATGTGGCGCACAGCGACGACGAGGCTCTCACCGTGGCGGATCTGCAGGAGGCCGTGCGTGGATACCGGAAGTTGATCGAGGCGGCATTGGATCGGGATGAGTGAGTCCGGGCTTATCTTTTTTCGCCCTCGTATAAAGTATGTATATAGGTGGGCTAGGGACGCTTCTTTCATTCTATTTACGTCCCTTGTTCTTGCGTGAAGTTTGATGAATTGAACGATCAGCATCATTGATAGCTTGGAAATCGCGGTTGTATATATTGACATTCTTTTGATACAAGTTCCCGATACAGTCAAAGCGATATTGATCGCAATGCGAACTCCTTGAGAAATACATCTATATCTACACATCTGTATAATAATTTGTGGTCTACTCTACTTTTGTACCTTCGGGTCGAATTCACCGCTTGCCCCTACACGCACGTCTGGGAGCCCAATTGCCACGCTCTGCACGTCATTTCAACCTTGAGCTATTCGTATCCGAACATTCTTGAACTATTAGATCGATCTGCTATCCCAGCCAGGCAATTGCTAACCTGATACAAAACGACATAAAAGTCTTCGAATGTCAGACTTGTTTCTACCTCTACCTCATATCTCAGTGGAGTTGGCACTACACCTTCTGATGATATAACTTCATCCCGTGAACTTGACCCCTCCAAGCAGAGCATCATGTGAGTCAATCCCCAACGGGCCTCCACGGAGCGCAAACGCAAGAAGGCTCTCTCTTGTGATCCTTGCCGACAGCGAAAAGTGAAGTGTGACCGTGCCTCTCCCTGTGGCCAATGTGTCCGTCAGAAGACTACGGACATGTGCCCTTACGCTACAAGGGTACCGAATCGCACGACTGCCAGTGATTCTGGACCAGTATCAACTCGATCAGACCAGAAATCACCATTTCAAGTCGAAGAGGCCCCTTTACATCCGACATCGATGGCTAGGTTGATGCACCTTGTGCATCTGATCATGATGGGCAGACAACATGTCGTATGGTTCGCACGACGGCTCCGCTAGCTCTGTGGGCATAGCATCGGCGGTTCAATGACTCGGACAGTCATCGTTCCAGGGTTCTGACGGGAAGACTCGTTATTTCGGGCGAAGTCATTGGGCATTGACGATCGACATGGTCTAGCCGAGCTCTGCGCGACGGGGTACAATGGACATTTGCTGACTTGCGCATAGTTCCCTGATTTGAGAGGGCACCCTTGTTGGCTTGTATTTTTCATCGTTCGAGCTTACGTTCCGCATCCTACAACATGTTCAGTTCCTGGGGGAATACGATCGCTTCTGGGATCCCGGAGACAGGGGCACTTGGAGCGACTGGGCTCATGAGACGTTCTCGGCAAAGCTGTTGGCTCTGATGGCATGTGGTAGTTGCTTTGCAAGTAATGAAAGTGGCACCGACTAGAGAAGTATCCACGTACTGAGCAATACGGCGAAGGATTGGATTCAAAGCTGTGGTATCTTGGGTCAAACTTCTCACAAATCGTGCCAGGCTGAGTTTGGACGTCCTCCAAATCAAAAGTCTGCTGCTCCTTGCTCAGCAGGCCGTCGGACACGACGGTGATTATAGCTGGCTGGAGGGAGGCTCTCTTGTGCGAGACGCCATCATGATCGGACTTCATCGAGATCCCTCTCTTTGTAAGAGCATGTCGCCATATTGGGCGGAGATCCGTCGAAGACTGTGGGCGACAACTCTCGAGCTAGACCTTCAAGCGGCTCTAAGTCTCGGCACGCCGGTATCAATATCTCAGAGCGAATATGACTGCCGTCCACCGTCCAAATTCGACGATGAAGATCTCCAGCCCAATGCGTCTAACACCACAGCCACGCACTGTCTTGACAAGGACGTCGCTCCTGCCCAATTTTGCCGAGACCTTTATCAGTCGGGTACAAATTGGTCATTTAGTCAACAGTGTTCGCCTAGCGGGCAATTATCAAGATGTACTACGACTCAGTGATATTCTCACTAATCAAATTTCAAGCCTGCCTCCGGCTCTCCTAAAAGCCGGTGATGAAGACGCCGCCGGCAGTTCGGCTCTCCGCAAGTCTCTTCTGCTGTATTTTTATCTATCGATCCCTTCTTGCTCTTCATCGGCCCTATTTCCTCAGCTTGACCGAGACCAGTAACAAGGCATATAGTTACTCTCAAAAATTTTGTGTTCAAGCAAGCCTGGCAATGTTGTCCCCAATTGCCTATTTCTTGGAGATCTCCCAGGGAAGGTACTACCACCTGCATTTCAAGGGGGGGGGGGGGGGGGGTATGTTCCGTGATGAGCTCTTCCACGCGGCCGCGACCTTGTGCTTCGAAATTCGACTACAGTCAAAAAACAACGTGGTTCTTCCGTTCCTGGGGTCTGATACCGGAATGAGCGAACAGTACGGACAAAGCAACCCAGATGGCTTGTTTCGAACAGTCGAAAATTACATCGCCTACTTTGAATCCAAAGTGCAAAAAGAGAAGCAGGCGTCCAAGTCACTTACGCTTCTTCGAATGTGCTACGCCTCGGCCAAACACGCATTTCTCTACTAAAGCGACAGTTCTCCATCTAATAGCGAAACAAGAATCTGTACCGAGCTCATCACCACCCCAACAACGTCTGGGCCCTGCAGGGTTACCATGAGTGTCTGACGCGAATGGGACGAGATCTTGAAGCGAGATTTATCGAACCCCAGCTGAAGATCGTCCTCGCAGTGGCAGACGTTCCGGTCAAATCCTCATGCTTCTCTAGATTGAACACGGCTGGTGCCCCGGATATGTGTGTGCCACCCTCGTGCTGCAAGTGATGGCGGTTTGAATGAATGAGGATCCGGCGTTCACCGAGTTTCACTATACATGGCAATGTCCTAGTCTCCTCTAACGTTGCTTGGTCTCTCAAACTAAGCCTCTAGTGCTATTTAGCATCAGTAAGATAATACTAGTACGTGCGTTCTTTGAAGGGCGACTAAGCCAGCAGAAATCCTAGCTTGATACCGTGTATCATCTTAATAATGCAATAATAGTAGCAATCATGTCTATCCAGCGTAAATTGATCTTGAATCTGAAAGCCCATGAATCTCCCATATCTTCTTTCAAGTTGTTAAATTGGCTCAACGAAGAAAACGCTTCAGCTTGGCAGTTACACTCTAGGCATCTAGAACGCCTACAGATATCTTAATCAAGTTCATAGGATAAAGATGCAATAGGAATGATCAGGAAAATTCCGAAGTTGATAAGGTACTAAAAGTGTTGCGCTTCGCCCAGTTCTAGGGAAAACATACTACTTTGCATCCCTTAGCTATGGCATAACTCTTTGTGTGAGATTTTTCTAGACAAACACGAAGTTCAAGCAATGAAGACACTCGTAATTAGACAATATAAACACCCCTAACCTTGGGGATCAAACAACAACCAGAACTCAAAAGTAAACCAACCGCCAGATACATGCAGTAGATGATCATCACCGTTTATACAGATTTGGAGACACCCGCTCGTCCTTGTGTCCATGTTCAATTCTTGGCAGATCCGGCAATGCAAGCGGCGGTAAGAGCACCGAGCAGGCTGGTGCCGGGTCCAATGCCCATCGATCGGTACATCGGACGAGGAAACATCACGGCAGCGAATGCGATCGAGGAGCGCACGAAATCATTCCCGGCAAACGTCGAGGCAGTAAACTGCGGGTACGCCGCTGGCAGATAGGCAAAGATCGACTGCACAAGCAAGAACATGCCAACCGTCAACAAGAAGATGCCGATGACGCCGACAATCCAATGGGTGTGTCCGTTGCCGGTCCAAGCGAACATGAACAGGCCGGCCGGCAGAAGGAAGGACGAGAACAAAGCTGGGATGAGTCTCGATACTCGGGAATATCAGGTGCACAGGACCTGATGGCTGGGCCCACGACGAAGTAGAGGTAGACATAGTACATGGCAATGAATGCCGGCCAGCGAGGCGGCGCCCGTGGCAAGAGCGAAGAAGCCCTGGAAGAACCGCAGGACTAGTAGGCCGCCAATGTTGTCGACGAGAGCGGTGGGCACACAAATAATGGCAAAGATTATCATGGTCACGATATATGGCCAGTTTCGACCGATGGCAGGGATTTCGCTCAGGGGCGAGAAGATCAAAGGGCCCATGCCGTAAGCTACAACGTAGAGGGAGAGACCAAGCGCCGCGACTTCTTGCGATACGGCTAAATACTCTGACACCGGTCTCGGACGGGGTATCAATGGCTGATCCCATGTAAACTGCTAGGGTACACATGCAAATTTGGAAAGCGACGAAAGCTTTGCGCCAGCCAGACCAGTTCTGGTGTTCTAATGGTCATTGTCGTTGTACAAGTAAACCAGATATGGAGACGGAGCTATCTTTTCTCCTCTTTGCTCGGAAGCCCTGGCTTCAATGTCGTGGGCGGAAGGCGTCAGGGATATCCATTGCCATATCTTCAATGCTGATGTTGATGTCGATGCTGTAGTGATTGTAGGAGCAATCCATGGATAGGCCGCGTAGTAAACCTTTTCTCCGGCAGGAGCTTAATGCTTCCGAAGATCTCCGAAAAACCCGAAATATCAGGGATTTAGGCAATCAAGATCACTGTTGGTCATTGTTATAATCATCAGGAATCCCTTGGTCCCAAGAAACGCGCCACTTAACGTTGAACGTAGACAATATGGGCCAAGAAAAAAAAAAAAAGGAACCGTTCTATTCCCTTCATGTATATAGTCCTGGAAATAATCGCAGCCAGCAGTAAATAACATAACGCAATCAAATCAAACCAAGTCAGATCCAAAAAGTCCTCACGAATCTCGCGGTTTCCGCGTCCACCCCGTTTTCAAATCGCCACTCGGTTTGAACCGGGGCATCGGATGCGCCTCGGTGTTGAAAACGTTCTCTTCGAGAGGAAGGAACTCTCGATCGGAGAACAAGAGATAGAAGTACTTGAGGGTTTCGGCCATCCAGAAACTCTCCGTGTTGTCTCTGCGACCTGGCGGTAGGATGTTGGCGTTGGATAGAGAGGTGAAGCCAACGATGCGAGACTTGCCCTGGGCCTCATTCTTGACACCGTCGGCGTTGACGTTAGCTTCGCCCTCGACCACAGAGTCGGCGGAAGGCGCATCGTGCTCAACGACGGCCGTGTGGCGCACAAAAGACTTGAACATCTCCCATCCCCAGTGACGGTAGGTTTCGTCCTCGGTGATCCGGTACATGTAGAGGAGGGATTCGACGGTCTCGGGCCGTTGCAGGTTGTGTCGGTCCTGTTTATGGATGTTGATGTCCTCACGCCAGTTGGAGGTTTCGTCGTCCAGTGGATAGAGGGGTTTCGATTTAAGGGGTAGGTCTTCTTGCTTCGACTTGCGGTTGCCCGTGGCCATGGTGGAGTCTGGATACATGTCGCTCAACATCACGGGAGGGTCGTCCGTGAGGAAGTAGGTGATTTCAGGGGCAAGACCGGTGGAGGTGGCGAGATACGTCGCCCAGCAGGTCTTCATCAGCTCTTTGGCAATCAGAATCTCCTCGTCATGCCGCTGGCTCCAAGTCGGGAGCTTTTTAGCCTGCGAAAGGGGCAACCCGCCAGTCGCAGCCAATGCAATCGTGCCCGGCAAGAAACATACCAGATGATCCATCTTAGGCGAAAGGGCCTCGCGGAGTCCCGTAGGTCGTTCGCCCAAGATCATCAACTGGGCGTTTTTCGTGTACGCGATCAAGTGCTTGCGCATGCCCATGAGGGCCTCATCCCACATCTCCTTGTACACGGGCTCTTGGTCGAAGGTCTGGTGATACTGTTTGATGAGGTACTCTAGTAAAGCGTTGAGCGTTAGTGATCGTGGTGGTCATGTAGAAGCCACCAAAAGGACAATGAGAGACGTACCATAGTAGGAGTCACCTCGACTGCCGAGACGTATGTTATTTCCCCTGAATTTGCCAGAGTCTGGATAAAGGTAGATCGGAAGGAGGCCATCCTCCATCTTTTGGTCGTCCACGATTTCCATTACCTTCTCGACAATGCGCCAGTACTCAGCCTCACCGGTCAGCTTCGCCAGATATTTGAACTCTAGCTGCACGGAGGTGGCTTCAGCAGTGGACGAAGCGCCCCCGTCGGAGTGTGATGGGATGCCCTTGGACGTGTTGAGGTTCACACTGGCGTAGGGTATCCCTGACGAGGACTCGAAGGCGCCCGCCAGTCGATCCGCCAAATCGGTTGCCTTCTCGATGTACAGATCTTCTCCCGGGGAGCCCACGTCGTCGTCGGCGACCGGGGCGAGTTGGGGATAGGTCGTAGAGAGGTAGTGCGCAGAGAGAAGGCCTCCCAGCATACGAATGGTTGTCTCAAAGGTGCTCACGTCGTGGTTCTGGTCGTACCGCAGGGAGTAGTGAATCCAACTACGGGCATGCTGCACCCGCGAGGTGAGATTCATGATCATCATTGTGTCCAGCGCATCGACGATCATCCACCCCATGCCACCGTCCACCATGGTTCTGCCATCCTTGGAAATAGGGCGGAATACATCCAGTCCTACCCAGGATAAGAGACTGCATTAGCAATGCTGACCTGCAAACTTGCTCGGCGAATCGATCGACGGAAGTGAGAGAGTCCTCCGGAACATACCCCATGCATACTTCTCGTAGCCATCCCAGCTGACAACGAACGTATCTCTGACCTTCTCCCGGCGTGCGGTCCAATCAACGGGTTTCGGTTCGCCGCCGTTGTAGACCGGGTCCGTGTCATCTAAGCTCTGCACCCAGGCCCAGAGTTCCTCTCCTTTGGCCGAGTCCGGCGTGCTCAAAGCAGGTTGGCTCCAGTCACTCGGTCTAGCCACGTAGTACCAGACGAGCCCCAGAAACACCAGCAAGATCCCGCCTTTTATAATCTTTCCCCGCCTGTGTCGTGGCCCCGTGCGCCGCGGCGCGAAATACGGCTTGTCTTTGTACATAGGGAGGGTGCGATCTCCACCGAAGATGTTGTTCAGGTTGTTGGCTACCCCCGCGGACTGCGAAATACCATAACCTGGTAGCCCACCGGTACCGGGGCTCCGACTCGCAGCTCGCCAATTGTGGCTCTCGAACGGTCGCTGAGGGGAGGGAGAAAGCGACGGATTGTTTGGTGGATACTGAAAAGACATGACCACCGGGCTGCGTCTACAATACTCCCTCGTCGAACGCGGAGGACAGGCCGGAGAGAAAGATTTGCTCGAACGAGAGGCGTTGTACAATTATCGGCATCAGACACGGTCACCTTGTCGATTGTTTACCACGAATTATCACCAACGGACCGTTTGGTTGACCACGAACAACTCGATTACCGCGCGGAGGATTAGAGTACGAGGAAAGAAGCTGAAAAAGAAGACAAATGTCGAGTTAGTAAGATAGCCCTTGAAGGAATAAGCCGAAATAGCGCCTGTAGATCGGAGGACGACCACGGCACAGTAGCGTAAACAACTGACCCAAGCATTCAATGATGGTTGGCGAAGATCTCAGCTTCGCCTTCGTGCAAGCAGCATTCAGAGGGCTGATCTCATGAAGACATACGCAAGCTCGTCCAGCGATGCGACAAAGCACGAGACAATGGCGAGTAAGAAATACCGACAAGGCCACCTGTTGCGGTTTGGCGCCCCGACCCATTGGTGGAGATTGTCGGGGAAGGCCTTGGCGAGGGCCTTCACGAGCGAGCTGTTCTTGACGACGTTGAATACGTCGAAGATGAAGACTTAATCTCTGCTCCAAGACTTTCTAGGATTTCGGAAATTATAATAAGCTTGCCGGGATTGTGACAAGCGTGGCGTTACTGGGGGTTCAGAGACTCCCTTCCCCTTGGCGCGTAGCAAAGAATAGCTTCACGCGACCATTCTACAGGATCCGGAAAACATTAAAGGGCTCATTAAAAGGGCGATTTCTCTAGACACGTGGCTAATATTTGAAAAATGCTGATCATTCATACAAGAAAGAATGACCCCATCAATTACAGTTTCTGGTACTCCAGCTTGCCTTCCAGCTTCTTCGACTCCGCCACCTTACGAACCGCCCGGTTGAAGTCGTCCTGGTTGATTGCATCCCGGTAGTCCTTGATGGTAAATAGACCCCTGCATTAGAAGTGTTAGCCTAGATCTGAACTTCCAATCCTGGCGAAGACGAAAGGGATAATAAGAACATCATATAAGAGGGGCAGAAAACGTACGCTTCCGTGACAACGTTACGGAGATCCGCTCCGTTAAGACCATCGCTCATCTTGACCACGCTCTCGAAATCAATGTCACCATCCAGTTGCACAGTACTCGTGTGGATCTTGAGGATTTCCAGGCGGCCAACCTCGTTGGGCAGAGGAATCTCAATCTTTCGGTCCAATCGACCGGCTCGTAGCAGGGCGGGGTCGAGGGTATCGGGTCGGTTCGTGGCCATGATGATCTTGGTCTTTCCGAGGTAGTCAAATCCGTCAAGCTGGTTGAGAAGCTCCATCAACGTCCGTTGAATTTCTCGATCGGCGGAGGTACCCTCGGAGAATCGTCGACCACCGATAGCGTCGATTTCGTCCATGAAGATGATGCAAGGCTCATGTTCCTTGGCGTAGCCGAACATCTCTCGAATTAACCGTGCCGATTCACCAATGTACTTGTCAACAATAGCAGAGGAAACAACTAGAGACGTGTCAGCATTTCCCCGTTCCCCGTCACGTCAGGGTTATAGGTTGGACTACCTTTCAAGAAGTTGGTTTCGATCGAACTGGCCACGGCTCGCGCCAAGAGTGTCTTTCCTGTACCGGGAGGACCGTAAAGTAATACACCCTTGGGCGACTTGATGCCCACTCGGTGGAACAATTCCGGATTCTTCAGCGGCAACTCGATCACCTCCCTTAGTTCACGAATTTGATCATTCAGACCACCAATGCCCGCAAAGTTGACTTGGCCGGGGTCTTCCAAAGACATATTGTACACCAAGGGGTCGACCTCCCGGGGGAGCATTCGCATAATAGTCAGGGTGGTCATATCCAGGGCGACACGGGTGCCTTGTTTCAACTTCGACCTGTCGACCTTGGAGCGACAGCCGACAACATATCGAGGACCGGACGATGCCTTGACAATGACTACTTGGGGTCAGCGCTCAAATGACGTAAATCGGTTCGTCCCTTCACAGGGAGAGAAAAACCATCTAGGCAAAGCCCGACCAACGATAGATGGAAGAAACGGAAGCCGGGTGCAAGGAATCGGAGTAGGCGGCGATCTACTTACATCTCTCTTCGTCCAGCTGCTTCAGCACTTCACCGATGATCTGGCCTACACTTTGCAGGGCCTTGATGTTCTCTTCGGAGATATCAAACTCCCTCTGCAGATCCTTGATCCCCATGCGAAGCGACTTGAGCTTCGCCTCCCATTCTCGAAGCTCCAAGAGGCTCTTTTTGTAATCTTCGAGGGCCTGGTCCCTCTCGGGGTCGCCGGCGCCGTTCATAACGACAAAGGGCTCGTGGGGCAGTTTAGAGAGAAATGAAATGAAATTGCAAGTGTAGGCAAATCGTCGATGATGGTGAGGTTCACGCGGCCGTTCGAAATGGCAGAAGTATGGATGAGAAGATGGCTTGGATGAGGATGTCTGAACTCCGTCACTGCCAGCCAGCTCGGCGAGCTGTCGAGCTTACGGGAGCAACCAAGCGCGACAAACCACGTGACCTGCCGACTCAAGTCTCACGTGAAAATATCTGGCGGCCCGAGTTCTTAGGCAGCAGTATCTTTTATCCGGCACCCGATCAGGCATCAAGGTGTCTACATGTGTTTTCGTCATTACGCAATGAGCAGATGGAAGTTTCTGGCAGCGTTGACGACGGGGATATCACGACGAGATGAGTCGCAATTGGTGACCAGAATGCTCAATGAGTAGAGTAAGATTGTTTTGTGCAGCAATTACATACTAATACTGCTAGAGTATGTAGGGCTAACGAAGTATGTCGAGAGTGCCTAGCAAGGTGTCCAGCATCTTGTGCCAGACAGCTCCTTGTACCTCAGGTGTGCCTTCCTGCAGAGCAGAAATCAGAACCCAATAATGAATCCGATGTCGTAATGCGAAAGCAGCGCATATGGGGAAAGCCTCTTCAACCCGCCTTACCCCGAGGGAATCCGGGAGATCTCGCGTCCGGCGAGACCTTCAGGAGGAAAGAGCGAGGGGCAGCCCCACCATCTCGCTGGGATCCAGCCTCATACAAGAACCGCCCGTTGCTCTCCTTTCCTTCTCTTCTTGATTCTTTCGTTATTCATCTTTCCCTGTCCTGCTGGTGAGTTGTGCATCCCTCTTCCCTACCTTCCTGCCTATCCTGCTCCTGCCTGGCTATCATGTCAAACTACCCCACCATCCCACTCTGTTTACACTTGACCCCTCCCTCTTGAGCATAAAGTGCACGGAAGTTTGATGCTTCCTGCACATCGTACTATGCTCGAGATATCTGCCATTCAGTGCATGCATCCCCACTGGTCACCGCCCCGTATTTCTCCCCCTCAAGCTCGGTCAATTGACTGATCGGAGCTCTCCTCCACCACCATCGGCGGTGATCTCCTCGTCATCGAATCATCCGGCTCTCTCTTTTCGGGTCGTCGGTGAACACCATCCCACCCCGCTGCTAGTCTCGTCCCAACAGCCATCCAGAGCGCAGTTGTTTTATTTTTTTTGCCCCCCCTGGTCCTTTCCCCCCTTTCTATTTATTGACTATCCCTCCCGCCTTTTTTCCATCTCTTCTCCAAAACTTTTCTGGTCTCCCTAGTTCAGTTGACTGATCAATCCAGACCGTCAAAATGCCCATCTCCAAGATCCACGCCCGCTCCGTCTACGACTCTCGTGGCAACCCCACCGTCGAGGTTGACGTTGTCACCGAGACTGGCTTGCACCGTGCTATCGTTCCCTCCGGAGCTTCCACTGGTCGGTACCTCCCTCAGGTTCTCTTAGGCCGAAGTGTGTTATCTTTGTATACTGACAGAACCCAACTACAGGCCAGCACGAGGCTCACGAGCTCCGTGACGGTGACAAGACCAAGTGGGGTGGAAAGGGTATGTTTGCAATACATCTCCTAAACAACGATACGTGCGATTGCGATTAGAATCTAACATGATCGGCGGATGAATAGGTGTGCTCAAGGCCGTCAAGAACGTCAACGAGACCATCGGCCCCGCTCTCATCAAGGAGAACCTCGACGTGAAGGACCAGTCCAAGGTCGATGAGTTCCTCAACAAGCTTGACGGCACCGCCAACAAGGCCAACCTCGGTGCCAACGCCATCCTCGGTGTCAGCTTGGCCATCGCTAAGGCCGGTGCTGCCGAGAAGGGCGTTCCCCTCTATGCTCACATCTCCGACCTGGCCGGTACCAAGAAGCCTTACGTCCTTCCCGTCCCCTTCCAGAACGTCCTGAACGGTGGATCCCACGCCGGTGGCCGTCTGGCCTTCCAGGAGTTCATGATCGTCCCCGAGTAAGTGCCTTGCCCGGCCCCGTCTGTCGATTGATCGTTGGTCAATCATCATACTGACCCCGTTATCAGCAACGCTCCCTCTTTCTCCGAGGGTCTCCGCCAGGGTGCCGAGGTCTACCAGAAGCTCAAGGCTCTGGCCAAGAAGAAGTACGGCCAGTCTGCCGGTAACGTCGGTGACGAGGGTGGTGTTGCCCCCGATATCCAGACCGCCGAGGAGGCTCTCGACCTGATCACCGAGGCCATTGAGCAGGCCGGCTACACCGGCAAGATCAACATCGCCATGGATGTTGCCTCGAGCGAGTTCTACAAGACCGACGCCAAGAAGTACGACCTCGACTTCAAGAACCCCGACAGCGACCCCACCAAGTGGCTCACCTACGAGCAGCTGGCCGACCTGTACAAGTCGCTGGCTAGCAAGTACCCCATCGTCAGCATTGAGGACCCCTTCGCTGAGGATGACTGGGAGGCCTGGAGCTACTTCTACAAGACCTCTGACTTCCAGATTGTTGGGTACGTTAATCAGATTTCTTTTCCGTCGAGTAACGCCGACGCTAACCGGACTTCACAGTGATGACCTGACTGTCACCAACCCTCTCCGTATCAAGAAGGCCATCGAGCTCAAGTCTTGCAACGCCCTCCTCCTCAAGGTCAACCAGATCGGTACTCTCACCGAGTCCATCCAGGCCGCCAAGGACTCCTACGCCGACAACTGGGGCGTCATGGTGTCCCACCGTTCCGGTGAGACCGAGGACGTTACCATTGCCGACATTGCCGTCGGTCTGCGCTCCGGCCAAATCAAGACCGGTGCTCCTGCCCGTTCCGAGCGTCTGGCTAAGCTCAACCAGATCCTCCGTATCGAGGAGGAGCTGGGTGAGAACGCCATCTACGCCGGCCAGAAGTTCCGTAACTCTGTCAACCTGTAAATGTAGCCAGGGATCTTGCGGACCACACCCTTTCCTTCCCGGGACCAACCGAGTGTATTCCCCCCGGGCTGTTTCATACTTCACAATTTTGACTGCTAGGCAGCTTTGTTGGGTTGGAACAAACTGCAAAAGTACCATCGCAGATGACTATTTGATCAAGATTTATGATGACGAATTGATAAGCCAACTCTACAGGCTATATAATGAAGAAAAGAAATTGCAGTTAAAACTCTGGCGGAATTGTGTGTAGGAGTGTAGATTGTTGTAGATTTAGATTTACATAACACAGTACGGACTTGCGCAGGATGACAGTGTTGAGGGCGGGACTGAAATATCGGGCATCAACATCTGCCGATTGGCACGTGACTTGCCCCACTACCCGATCGGGTCGAGGTCAACTTGGGCCTTTCGTTCGCGATAGAATCGTTCCTTTCTCCCTCCGATCGAAATTTCCTTGCGCCTGCGCTTTCGTCCACGACCGTTTTCTGGGGACACACGGTTCGTACCTCTGTCCTTTCCGCTCGCAATCTCAAGACCCGTGTGGAACTACCTTTCGTTTTCGTCAATTTTTGATATTTCTACCCACCATGGCACCTTCGAAGTGGGGTAAGTTTTTGGGTGGTTGGATACGGTCTTGTTCTATTGTGCATATGAAGAGAGATTAGTCTGCTAACATGATTATTACCTTATAGATGATGAGGAGGAGAGCTCTTCCCCCCCTCCCCCTCCTGTGGCTGCCCGCCGCAAGTTCGATGATGAGGAAGAGGATGAAGTGCGTATTCAAGCCCCTCCGCCCCTCCATTTTCTTCTTCTTCTGTTTCAATTCATATGTTTATTACTTGCAGGCCTAGACTTGTCTAGCTCCTGCAAAACCATCCGCCATGTTGCCACGCACGAATCATTGCTGATCAATTCTGCCATTTGAATTAGGTTCTCGACTCCTGGGACGCCGCCGAAGATTCCGAAGTAGAGAGGGAGAAGGAGGCCAAGGCGAAGGAGGCCAAGGCCAAGGCCGAGGCCGAAGCGGCCGCAAAGAAGAAGAGCAAGGCGCAGCGGATACAGGAGCACAAGGAAACCCGGCGACAGGCGCAGGACGAGGCCGAGGACTCTGAGAGTGACGAGGACGAGGCCGAAAAGCGCGCTCGTCTGCGCCGCACCGAGAAGGATGCCGACCTCAAGCACGCCGAGGACCTCTTCGGCGACATCGACCTGAACCGCAAGCGTGGCGCCCCCAAGGCCGTGGTGATCAGCGACTCCGCCGACCCCACGCAGGCCATCGACCTGTCGGCCATGCCGCTCTTCAAGCCCGTCACCAAGGACCAGTTCACTCGGTTGACGGCCACCCTGGTCCCGCTGCTGACGCCGCAGTCGAAGAAGCCCCAGTACGCGCTGTGGGCTCAGGATTTCACCAAGCAGCTGGTCAAGGATCTGTCCAGTGGCGACATCAAGAAGATCGCCAGTTCGCTGACCACCCTGAGCAACGAGAAGATGAAGGAGGAGCGCGCCGCTGATAAGGGCAACAAGAAGACTAAGGCGGCCAAGACTAAGGTCTCGCTGGTGGCCTCGAGAGATAACAAAATCGATGAGTCCTACGATGATGATGGATTGGGCGACGACGACTTCATGTGAATGACTTGAAATATATCGGATTCTACTGTTATTTTTTTTTTCTGTCTTATTTTGCTCTATTTCTCCCCTTCTCATTTCATCCCTAGTTGCCAGTCACATCGTCAATTTGTCCCTTCCTGCCAACTTCGCTGATGCCTTGCGTTGTATTTGCTTCGTTAAGGCACGCGAGCTCCCCATTTGCCCCCTACTGCTAGGTTGTCATAATACAATAGAATTGGCGTCATCGCTTTGAGTTTTTAACCACTGTCTTAATCCTTCAAAGATGTACGTGGATGAGTATGCTCGGGCCTAGATCATGTGAGCATTTCGGATTTCGAAGGTACTCCCTAGAGGACCTAGCAAATCGCTATACTAAAAGGTGTTTCGGGACGTTACTACTGGAACTCGCGTATGTGTCGTGGATGGGTGTACGAGAGACCGACAAGGCGCAGAAATCGGATGAATGTGAAACAGAAAGAAAAAAAAAAAAGTGGAATAACACATTGTATCTGACTCTGGGGTGGGAATAAGACACTAAAAGAGAGATAAATTCCACTCAGCCCCCTTTCCACCCTCCAAATATCAAACTCCGCCGGCCGACCCGACCCACACGATTGCGAACAAGTGGAAGTTAAAAGGTGCCAGTCCAATCCAGTCACGCAGCTAAATCAGGCCTTCATAAAACTCTTCCAGGGGGGAGAATTCGAACGTCCAAAGAGGCACGCCGAGCGCACAACGCATATTTTAATACAACAAAGAAAACAGTACCGTCCCAGTGCTCTAAGACTCGGCGGCGGGGGCAGGCTTGGACTCCTCACCCTTGTCCTCAGCGGCCGGCGCCTCCTCCTCGGGCTTGTCCTCCTTGGAAGCACCCTCGGCCTCGTTTCCATCGGAAGAGGTCCACAGGGTCAGGTTGTCACGCAGCAACTGCATGATCAAGGTGCTGTCACGGTAGCTTTCCTCCGAGAGCGAGTCAAGCTCCGCAATAGCGTCATCGAAGGCCTGCTTCGCAAGGTGGCAGGCACGATCAGGGGAGTTCAGAATCTCGTAGTAGAAAACGGAGAAGTTCAGGGCGAGACCCAAGCGGATGGGGTGGGTGGGGGTAAGGTCAGTCTGGGCGACATCGGTGGCGTTCTAATCCCGGTGGTCAGTAGGGGTTGACTGGGGACTTCGACAGAGGCGGTTCTGGACCGCACATACCTTGTAGGCCTCGTGGGCGGCGGTAGCAGCGACCTTGCGCTTGTTACCAGAGGCAAACTCGGCCAGGTAACGGTGGTAATCACCCTTCCTGTTCATCACATGCTCGTCAGTCATCGCGCAACCCACACGCTTCTTGCCGGACCCAAATTGCGCTTACATCTTGTAGTAGAAGACCTTGGACTCGCCAGTCTCGGCCTTGGGGATGAGAGACTCGTCCAGGACGTCGAGGACATCCTGGCAGACTCTCTCCAGCTCGTTCTCGATCTTCTGGCGGTAGTCACGGATGATGGTGACGTGCTGTTCAGAGCCCTTGGACTCCTCCTTCTGCTCAATGGAGGAGATGATACGCCAGGAAGCACGGCGGGTACCAACGACGTTCTTGTAGGCAACGGAGAGAAGGTTACGCTCATCGACGGTAAGTTCGCCTCCAATCTGATGCGGGGTCAGTCATCATGAAGGAGGAATAGGAGTGCGGGGAAGCAGCGCCAAAAAGTGGCTGGGCGAAGGGGATGATGCATACGTTGGCAACTTCCTGGAAGAAGAGTTAGCGATCGCGTCCTGAGTGACTAATGTAGTATGGATAGAGGTCGCTCCTTACCTTCATATAGGTGACCATCTCTGTAGAAAGAAGGGAAGGGATCAGCGTCAGGGACAACCACGTCACGGGCGTGACACTTGACTGAGGCTCTTACCATCGTAGCGCTCGGCCTGCTCACAGAGCCGAGCGAGGAAAGTCTTGCTGAAAGCAGGGAAAAGAACATGTCAGTGGTCTGCGATCGGCTAGGACGATCTGGACCCTTACCTCTCACGCTGCCCAAGATGTTAGTATGGTTCACATGGATCGCATCAGGACAGGATAAGACGAGACAGCGGGTTGTCGCAGGTTTGATGCATGCATCAAAACTACCGCAACCAAAATCCGGGAGAGTCAAACAAGGACGACATACCTCAGAAGTCATGGTGGAGGAATGGATACAGGTGACGGGGTTTCCAAGAAGGGGTTAGGTAGTTTTGGAGTTGGAAGCAGGGGGTAAGAGAAGAGATAAGATGCAGATAGAAAGCGAAAGAGAGAGGAACAGATTGGAAGACAAGCACAGGGAAGAGGAGACGAAACAGAAAACAAAGCTGATGAATTCACGAGAGAGTTGGCGGATGCGATCCTCACAGCAACGAGAGATGAACCGGTGAGGTGACGGCCAGCAGGCGCCCTCATGAATAGTCAGCTTTAGCGAGAGGGCGGGTTGTTTGTCCTGTTTGTCTGATGCTGATGCCTGGGGCAGCCACTCACCCTCATGGCGAAGCGGTGTGTCCGTGTGTCCTCCATCTGCCATCTGGTACAGTAACAGAGTATCCAGTCCAGAGGGCAGAGAGAGAAGCAGAGGTCAAATCATATTCATCGGCAAACTCACCAATTCGACGCAGTGGGTTGAGGAAATCTGCTGTTTGCATTCTAAATATCGGATGCCTTTGAACTCGGTCCCAGGATGATAAGAGTTGAACGGTCCAGAGCACTACCCCAGGTCAAGTGACACCGTCTCCATCTCTTTAAGATCCTTTGCTACGTCGCTGCTCCAAATCCAGTAAAGGGCTTACGAGTCCCTGCATTTTAGGACTAGGACAATTGAACCACTCTTCTCGGTGTCACCCTCACGGCGGTGATAAAGGCTCCACGCGAAGAGATCTATTCACTTTTAAAGAAGCGTTATCCCGTACGAGTCCATTCCTAATCTGCTCCATTTGACATTTACGCAGCACCTGCAGGCCGATCCATCGGCCACGCAATATTCGTTCTTGCGGTATGGGTTGTTGTGGCGGTCTATACAAACAGATTACCCCCGTTTGGTAAACCGGATCAAATGGCATCGAAGGAAACGAACGAGGGTTAAGGGGGGTCTGACATCAAGGTGAAGTTGCCCCAAGAAAGATGAGAAAGAGCCACACATACTGAGTAGTTATGTCATTGAGAATCGAGTGGCCAGGAAGAGAATTCTCGTTTCCGAGAGCGAGGGAGCATAACGAATCATAACAGATCCTCGCGTACATCCTTGCCCTTGTTCATCGTCATGCTGCCCTATGATGAAGAACGGGGCGTCCAGGGTGGCTCAAGAAACATGGTACTGAATCGCTCGGATGGGTCTTGGAGACAAGGCATCACCATTTCTTGGGTGGAGTCCGGTATCCGCATGTAATAAATGGACAATGCACGAAGGCTGAGAAATCGTCCATGCTTTCAGCACGACACCAAGGGGAGAATACTCGAAAACCCCGTTCAAGTCAAAGGAGAGGGCCGATGGATTTCTACCAACCGGACACAAAAAGAAATTCTTGGAAGGTTGATCAAGAGGAGGCATACGTGGTCGGAGTGAAGACATTGGACCGACAGCCCCAGGAACGGACTCCATCCACGGAACGGTTACGGTACGGTTCAGCCCTGTGGCTTTGGTTGCCGGCATGGAAAGAACACGTTTAGTTAGTTCGATTTGGTCCTGTAGTTATAGAAGAGAACGACGACGACGACGAAGAAGAGAAGAAAGGTTGACCGACAGGGTTCACAAACAAAGAATCAATATTATGCAAATTAATCTTTTCAAAGACAAGGTCGCTGATTCCATTCTCTATATTGTATCAGAATAACTATTCTAATAATTATTAATAACCCGGCCCTCTCGCTTCTAGGCACTTCTCCGGACTGACTGACGGGACTACAGCGGCCACTTGGCGTTCCAATGTTCACGTCTTAATCTGGGTATCTCCGGACCGCCCTGCCCCATACTTTCCTTTTCTTTCTTTCCCTCGTCGGACTCTCTCTCGCTTCCTTTTTCTTTCTTTCTCTTCCTCTCCCTCCTCTCTCTCCCCTCCCTTCTTTTCTTTTCTTTTTCTTTTCCCTTTTCCTTCCTGTGTTTGTCTGCTCCTTCCACTCTCGTCACTCTTCTCTCGTTGCTGTGGCGGACATGGAGCAATCCTACCTGTCCTCCCCAGCGGAGGCACTGGGGCATTTCAATGTCTCACAGCACGCTGGTCTATCGCAAGACCAGGTCTCGAAATCGAGGCAGAAGTATGGTCCGAATGGTTAGTCGCCTAGTTAACACCAACCCGTTCCCCTTCCCTTCACTCCAAAACCTTGAGACCAATCGCTAACTGGACGCTGCGGTGATTTAGCTCTTGCGGAAGAACCCCCGACTCCTCTCTGGGAGCTGGTGCTGGAACAATTCAAGGATCAGATGGTTCTCATTCTTCTGGGCTCCGCTGCTGTGTCTTTCGTCTTGGCCCTCTTTGAAGAGGAGGGCGATTGGACTGCGTTCGTTGACCCTGCCGTGGTATGTTATCCGACCCAAAACCTCGTCCTGTCTCGCGCGTTTCGAAGCCGCTGACCGCATGCGACGATAACAGATCTTGACTATCTTAATCCTCAACTCGATCGTTGGTGTTACCCAGGAGAGCAGTGCTGAAAAGGCTATTGCGGCTCTGCAACAATATTCGGCAAACGAAGCTACGGTGGTTCGCGATGGCAAAACCCAGCGTGTCAAAGCAGAGGACTTGGTTCCCGGCGACGTGATTCACGTCGCCGTCGGTGATTGTGTACCCGCGGACTGTCGTCTGATTGCTATCCACAGCAACAGTTTCCGAGTCGACCAGGCCATCCTGACGGGTGAGAGTGAGAGCGTCGCCAAAGACACCCGACTGGTATCCGACAAGCAGGCGGTCAAGCAGGATCAAATCAACATGCTCTTCTCGGGAACTACGGTGGTCAATGGGCACGCAACGGCTCTGGTCGTCCTGACTGGAGGATCGACCGCCATTGGTGATATCCATGAGAGCATCACGTCCCAAATCTCGGAACCGACTCCCTTGAAGCAGAAACTCAACGACTTTGGCGACATGCTTGCTAAGGTGATCACGGTTATTTGTGTCTTGGTCTGGGTGATTAACATCGAGCACTTCAACGACCCATCCCACGGTGGTTGGACTAAGGGCGCGATCTATTACCTCAAGATCGCTGTCTCCCTGGGCGTCGCGGCCATCCCGGAAGGCTTGGCGGTGGTAATCACTACTTGTCTCGCTCTCGGTACCCGCAAGATGGCCCAGAAGAACGCCGTCGTCCGATCTCTTCCCTCTGTGGAAACCCTGGGTAGCTGCAGTGTAATTTGCTCTGACAAGACGGGAACCCTTACCACCAACCAGATGAGCGCGGAGAAGATGGTCTATCTGAACAAGGCTGGTAACGGCGTGGAGGAGATCGATGTGGAAGGTACTACTTTCGCGCCTGAGGGCAAGCTGTCGCAGAGCGGCAAACCTGTGCAAAATCTCGCGGTCTCTTCGTCGACGGTGCGACAAATGGCTGAAGTCATGGCCCGTTGTAACAGTGCGACTCTCGCTCACGACGCCAAGAGCGGCGTGTTCTCGTGTATTGGTGAACCCACCGAAGGCGCTCTGCGGGCCTTGGTTGAAAAGGTTGGAACCGATGATGCTGCTACGAACGCCAAACTGTTCGGTTTGCCGACTTCCCAGAGGCTCCATGCCTCGAGTGCTTACTATGAATCCCGCCTGCCATTGAAAGCAACCTATGAATTCTCCCGCGATCGTAAGAGTATGTCGGTTCTCATCGGCAGCGACAAGCAGCAAAGGCTCCTGGTCAAGGGTGCCCCCGAGTCCATTCTCGAGCGTTGCTCCCATGTGGTTCTGGGATCTGACGGACCTCGCGTGCCTATCTCCAAAGATCACGTCAAGCTGCTCTCCGAGGAAATCGTGGAATACGGAAACCGTGGTCTCCGCGTGATGGCCCTGGCTAACGTGGACGATCTCCCGGCCAATCCCCTCCTCCAGAAGGCTCAAACCCCCGATGAATATCTTCAACTGGAGCAGAACATGACTCTTGTTGGTCTCGTTGCTATGTTGGATCCCCCCCGCGTTGAAGTGGCCGACTCGATCGAGAAGTGCCGGGAAGCAGGCATCCGGGTGATTGTCATTACTGGTGACAGCCGAAACACCGCCGAGTCCGTGTGCCGCCAGATTGGTGTATTCGCCGAGGGTGAGGATCTGACTGGCAAGAGCTACACGGGCAGAGAGTTCGACGGACTTTCGGAAGGTGAGAAACTTGAGGCCGTCAAACGTGCATCCCTGTTTTCGCGCACCGAGCCTAGTCACAAATCTAGACTCGTTGATCTCCTTCAGTCTCTGGGCCACGTGGTTGCGATGACTGGTGACGGTGTGAACGATGCTCCTGCTTTGAAGAAATCGGATATTGGCGTTGCTATGGGCACGGGAACCGACGTGGCCAAGCTCGCCGCCGATATGGTTTTGGCCGATGACAACTTCGCTACCATCACCATCGCCGTCGAGGAGGGTCGGTCGATTTACAGCAACACCCAGCAGTTTATCCGTTATTTGATCTCGTCCAACATCGGTGAAGTTGTTTCTATCTTCTTGACTGCTGCCTTGGGCATGCCCGAAGCTCTGGTCCCCGTCCAGCTCCTCTGGGTCAATTTGGTCACCGATGGTCTTCCCGCCACAGCTCTGTCGTTCAACCCTCCCGACCATGATGTGATGAGACGCCCTCCTCGCAAACGCGACGAGCCCCTGGTTGGCGGCTGGTTACTGTTCAGATATTTGGTCATCGGTACCTATGTCGGTGCCGCTACGGTCTTTGGCTACGTGTGGTGGTTCCTGTACAACCCCGAGGGACCTCAGATTACTTTCTCGCAGCTGGTAGGTTTCCAGATTCTTTCCGCCTCTGGTTTTTGTCCATTTTACTAACCCATGTTTCACAGTCTCACTTCCACAACTGCTCCGCCCAGTTCCCTGAAATCGGTTGTGAGATGTTCTCGAACGACATGTCCCGCTCTGCCTCCACCGTGTCGTTGTCAATCCTGGTCGTGATCGAGATGCTGAACGCCATGAATGCGCTCTCATCCAGCGAATCCCTTCTGACCTTTGCTCTCTGGAACAATCTGATGCTAGTCTATGCCATCATTCTCTCGATGGCTTTGCACTTTGCTATTCTGTACATTCCGTTCCTACAGGGACTGTTCGCAATCCTCCCCTTGGATTGGATCGAGTGGAAGGCCGTGCTAGCCATTAGCGCCCCCGTGATGTGAGTTCTCCCTGGCTACATACCCTTGCTCTCTGGGTCATCTACCGGTTCTTGACACTAACGAATTCAAAAGCATCATTGACGAAGCTCTCAAGTTCGTTGAGCGCCGCTTGTATAAAGTCCCTGCGAAGGCTGGTGGACACCAAAACGGTGCCGCCTCTAAGCCCAAGAGGGCGTAAATTTTGGTTGATGAAGAGATGATTTCGTATATCCCAATGGGGATGTTCATGATAGATATAGACATGGACCCGTTGGATAGTTGGTTTGTATTTTGTCGAGTTTGTCTTTCTCTTTTCTTTGGACACCAGGCGACCGGCATGTATCATGTTAGATGTTCCTAGCGTCTAGACAACAACGAAGAAATGATTGCTTCCCTCGGGATGCCTCAGGTAGACTTTTGCATCGTATGCACCCAAGGAGTCACGTTGGACCCCGTGACTGCGTGAATCTCTTCCGCACATCGCCCAGCATCCCTCTTACCAGCGGATTCGACTAGCGAGCACTGAGCACCGTGTGCCCTCTTCCTCTTGGTCATTCGTCCCGACACTAATTTAGCCTAATTAAAGACGCCCACTTCGAAGATGGAGTCAAAACGACCACTCACTCCCACAGGAAATCAAACAGCGCGAAATACGAAACTGACTGGCCTTTCTGTGCCCATCATATATCGTGTTTCCCATTCGCACACCCATCAAACCTCAACCGGCATTGTGTCATGAGGGGGGTTTCCCACCACCATCCATTCGAAACAAGGCCAGGAACTAACTGCCGGGGTCCATTGGACCGCCCCCGGCTCAGAGTCTTGTCCTCTCGTGGCATTGGGGGATGCTCGGCCGCCGTGGCGTATCACTGGTGGATTCTTCCTCGGCGATCTTTTCCCCAGAATGCATGTTTTGCGGAGGAAAGGGAGAACGAAAAGTCTGGGGATGGATCCTCCCCCCTCCCTTCCTATCTCGTTGCTTGCCCAGGCGTTCCTCCCGGCTTTTTTTTATCCTGCAAATGACCCGATAGGCTCATTCAAGAAGAAAATGAGGAGATGATGCCGTTGACTCTTGAAGTTGAAACTCGTGACTTTGATGACCCCCACAAGAATGCATCTACATGGATTACCATGTTACTTATCATGCAGCTATTCTTTCTTGTAATTAATACTTAAGAAGTCCGCAGTGTGGCAAGTGCATCCCTGTCTTTTCTTTTCTTTTCTTTCCTTTCGTTGGTGCCTTGTGGACCTCTGGGATGTCTTCAATCTGGGTTCTATGAGTAACCCTTCATCTGTCTTGCCTTTCTTCCCAGTCATCAGTCACACAAGACAGGTTTCAAATTTGACCCTATAGGATGGGCGTCCTACAATTCTTGAAGTCCCGTTCGGGGTTCCGGGTCGACAATAGCAAAACCACTTCTGCAGCTACGCTTACTTTACGCCAGAGCATATGGCCCTTGACCCTCGTTACTATTCTCTTCTTCCTATGGGTGAGTTCAGAAAGAACAAGGCAAGAAAAGCCTTGATTAGGGTCACCTAGTCCCAGAGACGGCATGCGCTAAAGAGTTTCACTGCACATTCAGGGATTTGCCTACGGGTTGCTGGATACTCTCAATAAACATTTTCAAGAGACACTACATATTACTCGGGTCCGGTCATCTGGACTCCAGGCTGCTTATTTCGGGTACGCATTGTTATTCTCTTGGTCTACCTATCGTTGCACAGAGCGTTGATAGAGGTTGCTAGTGCCTACCCGCTTGCTTCGCTGGGCTACGCGAACTACCTTCTTCGGCACTTCGGTTACAAGACAGTGTTCATCTTTGGCCTAGTACTTTATGGCATTGGAGCTCTTTGCATGTGGCCCGCCGGGTTGAATCAGTCGTTTGGAGGGTTTTGCGCCGCGACGTTCGTCATCGGCTCGGGATTGGGGTCGCTCGAGTCTGCGGCCAATCCCTTCATCACCGGTATGTCAATGCAAGACAACAATTACCCGCAGCAGGGCTGACGGTCATTAGTCTGCGGACCGCCCAAGTACTCCGAGATCCGAATCAACCTTGCTCAGGCGTTCAACGGCATCGGCACATGCGTGGCCCCAGCACTGGCCTCCTACGTCTTCTTTACTTCTACCGAAGATGACGTGAATGCCCTCAAGCGTGTTCAATGGGTGTACCTCGCCATCGGGATCTTCGTCTTTGTTCTCGCTGCCGTATTCTTCGTCTCGGAAATCCCCGAAGTCACCGATGAAGATATGGCCTTCCAGGTCTCCGAGACGCATGTGAACGAGCAGGAAAAGTCATTCTGGAAGCAATATAAGCTGTTCCATGCGACCCTGGCTCAATTCACCTACACGGGTGCTCAAGGTGCGAACATCCTTCACCCAGTTCATGCTTTTTATTCACTTGACCAATCCGGAGCTAATTTCTGTCCCTTTCGCCAGTTGCCATCGCCGGGTATTTCATTAACTACGTCACGGAAACCTGGCCTGGCACCTCGAGCTCTACGGGCTCGAAATATCTCGCCGGGGCCCAAGGGGCCTTCGCTGTCGGCCGTTTTATCGGAGCGATCATCATGAAATATATCAAGGCTCGTTGGGTCTTCCTGGTCTATCTCTCTTGCACAGTCGCATTCATCGCGGCGTCTACGACCCAAACGAAACAAAGCGGCTTAGGTACGTTTTTTGTCCGTCTGCCTTGAGTCGGGTACACAAGAAATTCATGTAGTGGCTAATACTGGCGAAGCGATGCTCTTCCTCACCCTCTTCTTCGAGTCCGTCTGCTTCCCCACCATCGTTGCCCTCGGCATTCGCGGTCTTGGTCGCCACTATAAGCGCGGCTCGGGCTTCATCGTCGGTGGTGTCTGCGGTGGAGCTGTCGTTCCGCCGGTCCTCGGCCATGTCGCCGATATGCGCAATAGTACCGGGTTCGCCATGATTGTCCCGACCATGTTCATGGTTGTTGCGTGGACCTATGCCGTGGCTGTCAATTTTGTCCCCACGTACAAGGAAACCGTCGACCAAGTCGGTTCGAGCACCATCGGATTAAGAGAGGGAGATGGTGCTGGTGCCAAGGGGCAAGATGTCGAAGTGGGAGTCACCGAGGACCCCGAAAAGCCTCGGGAGGTACACATCGAGAGGTGAAGTGTCAATGGCTGGCTCTATTACCGACTCCAATGGATGTTCCTTTCCAATATATACGTTTACGACGATAAATAAGATGCTTAAGATTCATGACAAGTATATGGATTATATAGATACCGCTGGCTAAGGCATTGAAGAGAAAGCGAGACAAACACCATGCTTGTTCTATATATGCAGGATTTCAAAATGGCAAGTCTAATTAGTCAAACAAGGTGAACAATGCATCGATCACCGGATATCATTGGTCGTGCCTGATCCAAGAACCAGTCTTGAGGACACTCGTCTAGCGGGGGAATCAACAATCACATAAGAATAGCAGATGTTAGCAAGGTGTATCTCTCCAGAAACATGCGCGGTCAGTAGACACAAACACATGTTTTCAACAAACATTAAACAGAAATGAATGGGCAAGTGAAAAGATAAGAATAGGTGCGGGGGTGGGTGTCAATGAGATACACAGAAAGGAAATCCAGTCAAATGAAAGGATGCGCTTGATTAGAAAAGCGATGAGAATTTTGATGATGGAGTGACACAAGGAAAATGAAAATGCGAGAGGGAATGGACTAAGTTGGGCGATGGGAAAGGAAACGCAATAGACTCATTGATCACTTTTGACCCCGTCTGGTAAGAAACGCTCCGCTGCAGAAGAAGGAAGAAGGAAGTGAAGGAAAAAGCCACACAGTCGCGAGGGGGTATAAGAAGATACAAAACAGAATAAACAATCAATCGAAACCACTCCCCAGCTCCAGGGCCACCAGTCAGGCCTGCCTCGTCTTGTTGGAGATCACCGATCTCGGAGAGACGTCAGCGGCCATACTGCTGTCCTTGGCTCCGTACTGGCTTCGGTCGGAAGTTGCTTTAAGCGACGACGAACGGGGAGGGCGCAGAGGACTCGTGTCAAGATCAGGAGCAGGAGCAAGGGCCGGTTTGCAGTTTCTCCCGGGAGAACCAGTAAGACTCACTGTCTTCAGATTATCATCCGAGCTGACCACATCAATGGGTGATCCGGGTTCATCCTCGGTCCCGGTGAATGCGTCGACTTCTTCAAAATCGTCATCGTCCTCCATATCTTCCTCCTCTTCGATGATCTGGCTTTTCCTCGCCGCGGGCCGAGCTGCACCCGCAGCCACCGCAATGCCATCGTGTGGAAATTCCGGAGCAGCGATACCGCTCGAGACCATCAGATTGGCTGTGTGAGACATTGGACCTTTGAAGGCCGACTTCTTCCGCCGGGCAAAGACAAGGCTGGAAGATGGCGAGTACAGCAGGGGTGTTGGAGCTGCCTCGTTGAACATCGAGTTCACTCGTCCATTGGGTTCGTTCATTTCACGATACCCGTTGTTCGAGCCTCTCACCAAGCGGATGTTGCTAGGGAAGCGAGAAGACGACCCGGGAGTGGTGGGAAGCACTTTGACTGAAGAGTGAGGGGACTTTGAGATCCGAGCCGTCGGAGTGGAGGCGGATCCAATGCTGTTCGACGAGACCGACGATGCTTTCGAGTGGGTATGGGTATGATGAATACTCCGAATCGAAGAGATGGAAGAAGATGTCGATTTGCGGCCCCGTAGACCGGCAGAAGACCGCCTGTAGGAGCCACGAGGTGTGATCGGAGATGGTGACAGTGAATTGCGATGGTGAGGGTTACTGGTACTGAGAGGACGAGGTTGGCGAGGATAGGAATGACGATGGTTGCGATATGATGCGCTGCTTGGAGCGAGACTACTCGCGGTGGATGCACGTTTCGCTTGCGTCGGCGTTGACAAGTCGCCCGGATGAGCGGTGGACGACGATGTCGGCATGGTCTTTCTCCCGGCTTCCTGCCCTTTGGCAGGACTCAGTTTCTCAGACAAAAACTTGCGATGGGACCCCGGACCACCAGCACCTTTGCCATGGGGGGACTTGGCTCGCTTGGCAGACTCCACGAACCAATGCTTCAACGAAGCCAGTTGGCTGATGATGGGATACTGACGGCGGCCAGTACGGCGCCTGAAAATCCCATTGTGCTGTGCTAGCTCGGGCTGTGAGGCGCTAACGTGCAACGTGCTTGGCCTCGAACGCCTTCTATCCTTGGGCGGTGGTAAAGGGCGCCGCCGCGTAGAGCTGACAGATCGAGCTGAATCCTTGTCCACGGGGGGAGGCGGAGGGGTACTGGAATCAGTCGACTGTACAGGGATCGGTTCTGGCAAGATTGGCAACTCCGGGACGGCGAGCTGCGAAGGAAGACTGCGTCGGTCTCTCCTTCCCCGTTCCTGTAGAGGCACGTTGGCAGAAGCATGCCCTTCTTCATCGACCTCAACTAACGCGGAGGACCTCTTTTCTAGGCGACTGCTTGCTGCACTCAATCGACGAATATTCTTCGCTTCAACCTCTCTTTCGCGTCGTTTGCGCTCTCGTTTCTGCTCCTTACGCTGCTCTTTTTCAATCAGCAGCGCCCACCAACCCGCAAGAGGGTCGCAGCGCTGTGCGAGAACACTCTCTACCACCTCATCGATGTTGACGCCTGCACTTTTCATTCGCTGCAGGGTGGTTCTCTCTAACGATGTCGAGAACGCTGGGGGTCGGGGAATTTTCAAAATCGCGAGTTGCTCGGACACGTGCTCTGCAAGGAATGGGTGAGCCAAAATCTCGCCGAGACTAGGCCGGATCAGAGGTCGCTTCGATAAAAGCAGGGTGATTAGGGCCTTTGCGTCGTCAGGGAACTTGTCGTTGAATACAGGCTCCTCCTTAAGGATCCGCGATTTGGTAACAAGGTCGTCATCCTCGTCGAAAGGAAGCTCTCCGGCAAGCAGGGCGTACAAGATGATGCCCAGGCTCCACACATCTACTTTTTCCCCGGCGTACTTTTCGCCCTTTAACATCTCGGGCGCACTGTAGCAAATAGTGCCACAGAACGTTTGCAGGTAACTCGCTTTGCCTTCGTATTCTCGAGTGAATCCAAAGTCGCATAGCTTAACATTCTCATGCTTGTCAAGAAGAATGTTTTCCAACTTCAAATCCCGATGGACGCAAGACTTGCTGTGAACATAAGCAACCGCACCGACAAGTTGTGTAAATATCTTTTTGACTTTATCCACAGGGAGCGGACCATGGCGGAGGAGGTAATTGTAGAGCTCATCGCCTAAAATAGTGTTAGCAGCAGTTGGCAGACTTCAGTAATAGCTTCATGTCATACCCGGACAGTATTCAAGAACCAGCCAGACCAGCTTTTCCGTCACGATGACTTCATAGAGACGAGTGATATGGGGGTGAAGAAATTGGCGATGGTGATGGATCTCGCGCGCAAGGTTCGTATCCTCCTTGTCTGATGATTTAAGCACGACCTATTCATGTTATTATGAGAGACTGGTTCCTTGATGTAGAGCACCTTCTCGTGTCCGTATCTTACTTTGGAGCCATTGGTGAGCTTGTGCGAGGCAAGGTAGACCTTGCCAAAAGAACCTTTTCCAATCAATCTTCCGAGTGTGTAGTTGCCCACAGTTCGAAGATCTTTCGACGAGAATTCCCTGATAATAGAGACAAATATTAGTGCCACGATTTAGAGAACCGGTTTAAGTATTCCTTACTCCAGTAATTCATGGTAGGATTGGGCAAGCTATAGTGGACATGCGCAGACGTGGTCAGCCAAAAATGGTTGCGGACATAGTCGCGTGAGGAACGGGAGAGGGGGGAAAAGATGAAGGAAGCAAAGAGAAGTTGCCAATGCGCCTGTAAGTCCACACGGATTGCGCGGGTACTACTCTCGCTGCAGTACTTGTCTCAGGAGCCGGGGTATTCGAATAAGGACGAACCTTTTCCTTTTGCTTCTGGGATTGAACCTCCGCTTTCGTCCTAGGAGGCGGCATGTGTCAAGATATCTCTGCCGGTTCTTATTGATTCCCGCGGAGGTGTGATAAGGGCGGTTATGATTGCTGCAACGGATCCCCGAATGATTGCAGATCACCTGCAGTTGCCATTCAAGGAACTTTGTGACGAATGGGATTAGGGACTGTCGAAAGGGGGAGGGGCCAGAACCGACGTCGAAAAGGGGGGGAGAGGGACGAAGGAAGGGACCGAATCAAGGAGTTGGCGGTTTGACGTAGTCGGCAGGAAAGCAATGGAAATAAAGGATCGAAATGAGCCGCGTCGCACCGGACGTGTAAAAATAAAAGAAAGAAGGGTAAGAGAGAATGTGTCCGTGTAGGATGGAATTGAGCGGAGGATTTTCCGATATTCGATGGCCGCTACCAAAATTGTACAATCGAAAAGAAACGAAAGTTGCGAGGAAGAAGGCGGGTCGATGGTGGTGAGTGGGTGACAGGAGCGAGCCGCAGGTTCGAGAAACAGAACTTAGGAAGGGTGACCGGTAATCAAATCGGGGCCCGATAAGCGATCACTAGGGATAAGACAGAGGAAGAGTTAGTGTAAGTCCCAAAACAGTAGTAGTTCATTCGCGAAGCAACGAGGACCGAGACGAGAAGAGAGTCAGAAGTCATGGACTCACTGAGCTCGAAGGCAAAAGGGAGAGCGAGCCACAGGGGGTCAAAGATAAACCCGCTAACGTATAAGCGTCAGTCGCACTTGAATTGACGACCGCTGGAGAGAAGGAATGAGGATGATCAAGCAAACATGGGAGAGGTGGGAATCCAAAATTATGACAGCCGGGGCGTGCACCAACAGGCCGTACTCCGTAGACAGGCAACAACAGGAACGGCCACCCCGAGTTCAATCATAATACTCCATAGTATGCAGTAGGGGTGACGAGGGTCGATTAGTCAGGAAGCACGTACCAGTGAAGACAACCGAACTCATGATATTATTGTCCGTCGTCGAGGTGGCATTGATGAAGAAGAGGCGATTTAGCCGGAACGTGGGCCGTTTCTGTCATGGAAAAAAGCATGTTTCCCCCTTCGTCATCCTGACTAAGCTGCAACTTAAGGTAACTACGGAGTCCGGAGTATATCGACTTCGCTTCTACATCTACTCTACGGAGTACCAAGTTGAGATATTATTATCCTTACTCCAGTATTCCTCTGCCGACGCTGCGTGAAATGACATTCAACTGGGATGAATCAAATCGAACTGAATTGGCCCAAATGTCCACTATCCCGTCGCCCGTTCCTGGGTTCGTAGCCTGGTGGAGCGGCCTACTGACTAGCTGCTCGTTAGTGAGTCGTTGTCCTTGCTCGGATCCGCTTGCTGCCCCTGAAATCGAACAAACGTGATGGTCAAATCGTGATTCGTCTTGCAGCCTTGGCCTGGTCCGGTCAGACTCGCCGGTCAAGTTTCATCTTAATCACTTACCAGGCCTATCACCACCCCAAAGCATGCACGTCAGTGTTGCGATCGGCTCGGATCATATGATGACTGACTGCATACTTGAGAAATATGATGTCACAACGGTCTAAGTACGGAGGCCAGGACGGCATGCTTTACTTCTGTGTCGACAGTACCGTGTACGCAGTACATACTACGGCAGACCGGCGGTATCGACTCCTCTCTTCTATTATCATTTAAGACCAGATTCGGTCCCTTCTCTCTCTTGCCACCAGGGCAGAGTGTGTAAATGTCGTACTGCACGGTGACTAGCGCACAAGGCCGGGTCAACGCTCTCAAGTCCCGATTCCGCCTGGAAGGCAAGTGACACCATTCCGAAGTAAGAATGCAATAGATCTGCGTGTCTGGGGTTAGATGTCTGAAGGGACAGCGGAGTTGTCTCGACCTACCGGGTGGCTCTCCCACACCTTTCCCAAAGCCACCGATCAAATGCTGGGTCTTTTCAAGGAGATATCGTCGGTTGCGCCCTGTATCCGCCAACGAGAATCGGTCCATCATCTGACCCCCTGTCTGTCAGTCCAATCTACCTCCCAGCAAAGGGAACTATATCGGGACCCTTACAGTGAGTGTTGCGCCGTTCCAGAATGAATAGCATGTATCGGCATATTTGTTACATCGACCGTTGAACCCGGCCCATTGCAGCGACTCGCTGGATGGCGCTGGTAGGTTAGGCAGTTGATCAAACACCTCGTCTACAAGATCGGTCTTCAATGAGTCACGCGCACTATCGGTGTTGTCATCGTCTTCGTGGGCGTCTTCTTCTTCGTCGCCAAGTTCAGATGTCTGCCGGGAAACAAGCCACCGAGTCAGGGTCTCAAATGCGTGGGACCCGGGTGAGAGAAGCGCCGCCGGCTTGTCGCCTTCTGAGAGACGACCGAGGAAAGTCAAGGCGCCAATTCCGCAGTAGGTATGCCCAGCTAAGTCTCGGAAGTAAGAATTGGAAATAGCTTAAGGGGAGGAAATCGTCGGGGCATGGAAAAACGTACAATGCGATTCACATAAGGGGGCTTCGGCTATACCACCATCGTATGTCTACAAGTTATGTTTGCTCAGCCATTGCTTCGAACGAATCGCAATACGAGATTTCCAGCCTAGGTTAAGGATCACGGTGAGGGCAGCGTCGGGATGATCTTACCTGACAAGCTTCGATAAACCCCACCAGTTTGTCCACGTCGATATCCTCCACGTCGCTCCCCGAATTACCTCTCAGAAGATACCTTGTGCCGGCAGCGAAGCAACAAAATCGTAGGTCGCCTCCGCCCGCGACTTCTCCGTTGGGACCCAAAACCTCGCCGAAGCTGCCGTTCTCGCGTTGCATCTTCGGAAGCCATTGTAGACACTCGGTTCGCTTGACTCGGGACAAATCGTCGCCCAGGATGACTAGAAGAAGGAGCGCAAAGAATGTCGACGGAACGTTAGCCGGGTCCCAGGATTCATTCTTCGAATTCCGTCTCTCGAGCCCGAAGTCCGTCCCTGTGAAGCCCCGAAAGCCACCGGACGGGACCTGGCAGTGATAGATCCATTCAATGTATCCCTGCCTTTCTTCCGGGATCGTTTTGTTATGCAGCTCGCCCAGGATATCCAGCCCAGCGATCGTGAAGAAGGCGAGGAGGATGCGATTCGAGTCGTTGGAGGTGTACAGACTGGGCAAGAATGTTTTCAGACAGCGGAGGAAATATTTGAGATGACGTTCTCGGTTGAAGGTAGCTTCGGCCATGGTGTGGGGTGCCGTAGGGTCTGTAGTATCGTATAATGGACAATTCATCAGAAGTCAGCAGAAGAATGTCCGGTCTTCATTCGTGATCTTGACAATCAGGTCTATTTATTTTTCTCCTCAGATGAGGAGAGCCTCTGGGCGTCGGGGGGGAAGAAAAGCAACGGCCGCCAAACCCCACATGGCTTTTTCCAAGGCGAGCGAGCGCGCCCGACCGAACCTCTGACCTACAAGCTCCGGACCTTCGACAAAGGCCGCAATCCCCCGTCCATTCCTCCATCAACACCGTCTCGCATCACCCCCCGATACTCGCAAACTCGGAGGGGCGAAAAGAAAGGAGACAAGGCAACAATGGGTCTTCTCTCGTCCACGACCCTCATCAAGGGGCATGCGTTGTTCCTCTTCATTCTCGCCGTGTACCTGACGAGGTCTCCGGAAGTTGTCACGGAGTCGGATGTCGTGTTTATGCTGGGAGAAGTGTTGCAGATCGTATGCCCATCAATCCCTCTCGAATGCTTCCCCATAGTCTCTCACACTTACTGACTGATTGATCGCTCCCGGCAGGATGCAGCCCCGTCGCTCTCGCGTCCCCAATCGCCCTTCGCGCTCTGCGGAATCCTCCTCGTTGCCGACGCCCTAGTTGATCTCGTCCTGGTCACCAAAATCCCCCAGATGAATGAAGTCCTTGCGATGGCCTCGGCCGCTCGATCCCAATCTCCCGTCCCCGTGGCAGGAGCTCTGCGAATGAACCCCTTCTTGGACCGCCTAGCCTCCCTCTACTCCGAAATCTGGACCCTGCTCTCCGCCTCACGCTTCTGTCTCTTCTTCTCCGTTTCATTCTTTATCTACCAGAGCAAGCCGTCGGCTTGGGGGGTGAACGACACGCGGTCCGCATTGGGATACGGGGCCGCGCAGGAAGCGGCTTCCGGCCTCGACCAGCTGAAAAATCGGGTGATCTTTACTTATGGATTCATGGAAATGATGTTTTGGCTATGGGTGAGTCCACACTAACTCCGTCATGGATGACGGATCTCTTCAATTCCTCTTTACTAATGGGTTGGGGCAGATATATCTCAAGCTTCGTGAAGAGCGGCAAGAGATTGCTGCTCGCATTGCGGAGCGAGATCAGTGATAAGAGGGTTATGATCCTTCGAATTGGACTCATTTGAACAGGATTCTTAAGAATACATATTGGGATTTCTGGAGTTTTGCGCCATAGAACCTTTGGGGATCTGCTTTCTTCTCCTTCAGCCTCCTGCTCTCGTTCTGATTGTGATCTTTTCATTTTTTCATATCCATAGGTTCGTCTGTTTGATCGAGCATTCAGCTGACCAGTGCGCAACCTCAGCCACTAAATCATTACATATTAAAGGGGATACACAGCTCGCAAGAAGAGAGAAAAAACAAATTCTGTTGTAAATGCACCTCCGTCACGTGTTCAATGTCGTAATGTGCGGTTCGTCTCACCTTATCTATGCCAGAAAGGCAAAGAGAGCAGCACCGGCCGCAGCGAGCAGACCGGTGTCTTTGCCTTGAACGACGGCAGCAGCACCTGTGCTGGTAGCAGCAGACTGAGCGGTTGAAGTTGAGGTTCCGGTGCTGCTCTCAGTCTCGGAAGATGCTGCATCAGAGGTGCTGGAGGCCTTCGAGGCGCCGGTGGTCGAGGCGTCGCTGCTCTTACCAGTTGCGGTGGATGAAGGGGAACCGGTCGAGGTCTCCGAGGAAGATTCAGTGGCAGAGGAAGCTCCACTTGCACAGCTAGCACTCTTGGGGAGATCCTTCACACCGGCGCCACTGCAGATCTGGTTTGCAAACTGGATGACAGCTAGAGGGAGGCGGTGCATATTAGTAGGGTACTCAAATGATAAGCGGTCAGGTTGGGACATACTTTTCTGATCATCCTCAGAGCACTTCTTGGACACGCAGCAAGAGATGCTCGTGATAAAAGACTTGTCGGAGCAGATACAGCCGACATCAATCGTTCCGCAGTGGTCAGGGATGGCGTCAGTAGCGCAATCTTTCTGTGGGGTGTTAATACGCAAGACCAGTCAGGATGAGATTTTGAGGGAAATCACGTACGGCGCAACTAGGGAGGCTATCCAAGCCCTGAGCAGCCGCGGTACTCAGGCAAGCGGCAAGAGCCAGAGACACGAAGTGAAGCTTCATTGTGATTATTTCGTGTAGATATCTGAGTCGATTGCGATTGTGAGGTTGTAAGAGGGTTGTGCGCTGTTGAAGGAGAGGATGGAAGGAACGAGGGAGGGAAAGGACAAGAGAGGGAGAAAAGAGAGAGAACCGGTGGTAGTGGATACGAAGTCTGGACTACTGATGGACATAAACAATTATTGGCTTTCCCCGCTCGAGGTGACACAAGGAAAAGGAAGGAACGAAGGGGGCCTGCAGGTCCAGCAAGAGGCAGGAACGGCACATTACAGACTGCGGACTGTCAGGTGCGCCTCCAAGGTACCCCGTCCTACCTACTCTTTCTTCCTCTGTCGTTCCTACCTACATCCACCGGTGTACACGATGTACTCGGTGTAGGTGCTGAGTGCTCCCTACTACTCCTACAGTCCTACTACTAGTGCAGACTACCGCAAGGCCCACTCGCCTCCCCGGATCTTTGTTTGTTTGCGCCTTTCCCCACTCGCCCTTCCCAGGCACGATCGCCGGTGGGTCATCTTCATATGCCGCCCGCTGCCATCTTCCCTCGGTCTTTCCCTCTGAGTCCCTCTGTGAGTCCCTCTCCCGACGGAGTATGCAGGTTTCACAACCTTCTATCCAATTGATGGGCCTTGATTGGCTTCACGTTTCAAAATCATCATCATTATCTTCGTCGTTGGTACCACAAAAGGCTTGTTTGTGGACGTCGTGACAAGGAACGTAAGGGGGGACTGTAGATCATCTCCCCTAAGTTTGACTTGGTGTCGGCCAGAAATTGGGCAAATGTTGATCCTCGCATTCTCTTTCTCCGCACTGCCGCATAGTCGTCGGTGTTAATTATTATTGATCAGGTCAGAGGTGGCCATGTCGCTTGTGTCTCCGTTCCCCTTCGCTTTCTCGATTAGGTGGTAGTGGGCGTTTATGTCGCTGCTACCATCACATTCCACTCCCCGTCATTGACGCCGTGCATCCTTAATCGTCATCACACCCTCATCTAGCCCGGGCCTTTCCCCCGCTTTCCCAAGTCTTCCTTCCTCCTCGCTCGTTCTCGCTCGTTCTCGCTTCTCCTTGCCGTCGGGAGATCTTGCAAGGATTAGCTAGTTCGCAGCCTCCCCGGGCCCATTGGCCGTCTCGCTCAAGATGGGCCTTGGTATTGTGGAGGATAGTGCTCTGGCTCATGTGCCTGGTAAGCCTGATGGATTGTCACAGAGCCACATGGATAGGGGCATTTCTTATAATATGATTGTACAGGCACATCCGATATTCTTCAAAGCGAGACTTCTAACGAACGCGCTACCATCAATCCCAACCTCAAGTACGACCGCTCGGGATCGGTCCCTATTCTACTCGTCCCTCAACCAAGCGATGACCCTAACGATCCATTGGTATGTCCAAAGGCGCTTCGGTCGAGCCACTTAGCTCACGTCAGCTAAAACGAAATACAATCTAGAACTGGCCGCTCTGGAAGCGTGATGTCACTCTGCTGGCTCTATCTTTTGTCTCGGTTCTTTGTGCAACGACCAGCTCTCTGATGGCTGCCAACACCGTCACCATTGCCCTCCATTACGGCAAGAGCTTCACCTCCGTTGCCCTTCTCACCGGTTATCATCTTTGCGGTGTTGGAGTCGCCGGCATCCTGATTGTGCCCACGGCGCGGGTATGGGGCAAGCGCCACTTGTTTCTCCTGGGGAATCTACTGATGGTGGTGAGTTGCGCCTGGGCCGGTGGTAGCCAAAACAACTACCAAAGCCTGCTGTGGTCTCGCATTTTCCAAGGAGTAGCCCTGGCCCCATTTGAGGCGTTGGTAAACGCATGTGTTGGGGATTTGTTTTTCGTCCACGTAGGTCACCCCGGTCGTCTGGTAGTCCGTGGCGGCGCCGTGCTAATAGTGCGTTGAAGGAACGTGGGAAACGAATGGCTTTATCCAATGTGGCTCTCTTCGGGGCTGCCTTTCTCACACCAGTGCTGGCTGGTAAAATAACGCATTCTCTCGGATGGCAGTGGACTTTCTACCTCTTGGCAATTTTTACTGCGGCAGCCCTACCCCTGACTTTCTTTCTAGTCCCCGAGACAGCGTTCAGGCGCCCCGATCATCTAAACACCGATTTTGAATCTTTTCGTGAACAGCAGACCGAGATCGGCGCCAATGCCCCAAGACGGAGCAATGATTACACAATTTCAAAGGAAAGTCACCCCCTAGGGGAACAGCAAAAGCACGCCCGCGCCAGCAATCCCGACTCTTCTATGGCATCGTCCTGGAATGAAAATCCTACTCGACAGGAGACGCCCTCGAAGGCGTCTTACCTTCAGAGTCTGAAACCATTTAACGGGAGAAAAACCGATGAAAACTTCTTCAAACTTCTCCTGAGACCATTTCCCCTTTTCTTTCACCCTGCCATTCTATGGGTAAGCTTCTTGTTCCGAGCCTGATTCTTGGGTGTTAGCGCGACTGATAGCCTTGCCTGTTTTAGGCCTGCTTAATTCAAGGCGCCATTATCGGATGGACGGTGTTTATCGGGGTTGTACTGGCTGCGATCTTTCTAGGCCCTCCGCTATGGTTTAACGAGGTCCAGACCGGGTACCTGTACACCGGCGCCTTTATCGGCTCCATTCTAGGCTTGATCCTTTCCGGCCTTCTTTCCGATCCAATGAATCGGATCATGGTCAAACTCAATAAAGGCAGGTATGAGCCCGAGTTCCGCATCCTTCTGGTGCTGTTCCAACTGGTTTTCTGCGGCGTCGGGCTCTACGGATTCGGCATTGTAGCCGAGGATGTGGGCAGGTATGGGTGGTTGGTGGTCGATGTCTTCTTTGCATTCGTGGTTATCGGGATGGTGATGGGGGCTGTTGCTAGCGCGTTATACATCGTCGATGCACATCGTAAGTGGACTGCCTGTCACCGTGCCTGGACGTCGTTACTTAATACCATCACAGGAAATATTGCCATCGAGTCGTTTACATGCATGTTGATCTTCAAGAACATTTTCAGCTTCATCTTGACCTTTTTTGCCTACGATTGGCTTGTATCCAATGGGATCCGACCGGCATTCCTGGCCATATCTAGCATCCAGATGGGCATCTGCGTGCTGAGCATTCCTATGTGTACGTGTGTCTCTTGCAGTGGCGGCCAACCACAGACACTAATGGCTCTCTAGATATACTCGGCAAGAGGAACCGCTCCTTTTTCACGCGACATGATATTTTGAAGATTCTCCGTCTCTAGTAAGCCGATGCGTTTCATAGATGAGGATGCCATGACGACACCGGCTGAAGGAAGAGGGGATTAATGAATTAGAAATGGAACTTCTGTAAATCTTGTGTCTTCTTCTCTCTTCTCTTTTCTAGAATGACATCGACTCCAACGTTGCATGAGCAGGGCGATCTAGACTCCGCGATGCCCCGATCGGAGTGATCTCATCTCATCTCCCGGACGATCGGGAAAATCAGTGGAGTCACGTTGAAAACGGAAGGAATGCGACTCAACTCCTTCAACAACTCATCATCGATTTTCCCTCGACTACCACCTCGACTCGAGTGGACTCACATCGATCCCTCCTTCCCTTGCGTATAACGCTCTCCCTGACAGCCAAGCCACGTCGTGACATCAGTAACTTTGCGATCTCCATCCCTTCCCCGCTAAGCTAGTTAAAACACTTAAACTACCTGAGTGGGAGGAACCGTGGGTCGCTCCTTGCAACCAACTACGTCACAGTCGACACGAGACTTTCTTCGTTCCCAAGCTTCCGGAGGAATCATTCCAAAGTTCAACCACTGGCCCCTCTCTTTACCTTAGCCTCTCTCCCCTTCTCCCTTCTCTTCTTCTCGATTTTGTTCTTGACCAGGCATGCCTGTCTCCGCCGTTGATCCTTGCCTCCTGCATATCGCTGCGGACATATCTTCATCATGGCGACTGTCGAACAGCCACCAGCTCAGCCTGCTGCACTCCCACGATCCCGATCAGCCCGGCTAGCGGACCAAGGTGAGAAATCTACGGTCGCATTTTGAGACACCTCAGGGACTTGTCGACTAACAGGTGATTTTTCGACAGCCGCGACTGCTGCGCTTTTTGTAACACATCCGGAACGACGACTGTCGGTTCGCGAACCAAGGGCCGGAACGGATCTGTCCAGTGAGTCCTGTCCTCCCCTCAATCCTGACTTTGAAGTAGCGCAGTATTGACGATGGTATTCTCATTGCAGCTTTGAAAGCGACCGGATCCCGTCCCGGCTTCAGTCATGCTTCGGCAGTGGCCGCCCTCGCTCATGCAAAGAGTAAGCAGCCCGAGAGTGGCCGATCATCCGCCGCCGCGATCTACGTTCCGGATTATCCCCAGGAAACGCCAAGTCAAGAAGGCTACAAGGCTGCAATCTCCGCTCTCCGAGACCGTCGATCGATCGCAAGCCCTCCCGCGGGGGACACCAGACATGATACCCCCACGGCAGATAGACGACGGGAGATTACTTCGAGAGAAAAGGCCATCCGCGCTGCTACCGGGGCTTTCTACAACAGTAGAAAGAGAGCCGATTCTGCTCCGTTAGAGACCCCTTACGCGATGTCGGGTACCAGAGACCCTTTGGATGAGCTCGACAGCTCGGTTGAAGCCAGCAGGATCCAACACGTTGCAAACACCAACGCACGCCTATATACTGCAACTCCACCTGTGGCCATTGAGGTGGAGGAGCAGAACCGAAAGAATGTGATGAGAGCGGCTGCCATCTCGATGGCCCGGGAAATGTATGGCATTGCGGAAAATGGGGAGGATGGCCAACCAAGTGCCGCCATGCCCGCAGCTCAGAGAGACCATGCGCGGGCACGTTCCCAGCAAGCCGTCTCCAAAGCCAACGCCGGCGTATTGCAGCGAGCCATGAGTTTGCAAGAGGTCGCTCAAAAGCGCGCGGCGGAGAAATTGGCTAGTATGCAGGACGAGACGGCCGTGTATCGAGAATACTACGGCATAGGCGTTGAACCCCAGGCGTCGCGCTCCGCCTTGCCGGCTCGTAGGCGAAGGGCGTCATCGATTGACTCCGACGAGTCCTTCGATGCAGAGCGGTCACGAGAAATCCGTCATCAGATGACCAGTTTGCGCTCGAAGCTAAATGCGGTCGACGAGCAGCGACAGAGAGACCGCGCCATGCTCATGGAGGCTGCGAGAAAGAATGTCGACGCTGCCATCCAAGATATGGAGAAGCGGGCCTACGCCGAGACCGGTCGTGCTCCGCCCTCCGTACGGAAAGAGTGGGAAGAGGCAGCACTGGCGCGCGCCGAGAAGGACATGCAGGACATCGATGCGCATATTATCCAGCCGGATAGGGTCAATCTTGGAGCCCAGAAGTTCGTGGATATGGCGGACGTCGAGGCGCTAGCTCGTTCCAGACTCCAGCCAACGTTCGACGAAATTCATGACCGTGCCGAGGCGCAACGGGCCAAGGAATTGGAACAACGTTTGGACGAGGAGGAGAGACTGCGCCATGACGCCGTTGAGCGTCAGCGAGAGGCTGATACACGGGCCGAGGAGAAGCGACAGAGAGGTTCGTACATTAATTGCATCAATCTGATTTTGTTGCCTGTTCTAACATCATCCCAGCGGCCTTGAAGAAGCAGGGCAGTCGAGGAAAGGAGGAAAAGCACTGGCCATGGAGGAAAAAGGTCAAACGAAATGGAGACAATGCAGCTGAAAGGCCTTCAACCGCCGGCGGCACTGCTGAAGAAAGAGACAATGAGCCCGTGAGCGAAGGACTTGTTGGCACTGTGACCCAAGATACTGTCCAGACGGACACTGCGCCGAGCAACGAACAGGCCGTGGCTTCGGGCGCTGCCGCCGAACCGAGTGCCGCGAAGGCTGCTATCCCCCGATCAGAGTCCAAACTCAAGACATGGATCGGTAGATTGAGTGGTCGTCGGTCCAGTGCAGCTGCCACCGCAACTCCCACCGCAACTCCAAGAGAAGCAGACGTTCATCCCGAGCCCACCCCTGATGCGACGGATGAGGGAAGACCGGCGTCGAGAGATGAGTCGCGTGCTGCCCCCCTCCGGTCGAACCCTGTAACGGCGAACGATATTGCGGAGGAGTCGATACGCTCCATGGATCAGGATCATCCTGCGGAGGCGCGAACGGGCGAGGAGCAGGAAGCCTCGAAGATCTCGGAGGCCAACGAGGACAGAACATCGCGGATTGTCTCGGGGGGCTCACAAGAGGCGAAGACCGACGGAGTCGAACCCCAGGGCCACGAAGGCCAGGAAGAATCGGTCCCAATCGAGCATACTGCGGCCGACGATTTGTACGACCGAAGCCCTGAGAGAGATGAACTGCGAGACAGCGCGGCCGAGCAAGGCCTGCCCGTTCCGCCTGCCATTGGGAAGCGACTCAGCAATGGCACTGGCCGCGAGTCGAGGTTTTCGGAGGATCTGTGATTCTGTTTCTTGGTGATTGTGTCATTCATGTAATTTGGATTTTTGAGAGAACCTGCAGAGCCGAATCATTCTTTATGGCGTCTGGGGTTTTTGTGTGATTGAATCATGCGTGCAATGTATGTACATCAGGATGTTATTTGAGACAGACAGTCTGTCTCTGTAGGCAAATTGAGCAATTTTTTGTTCTGGCATTCAGCCCTGATGGACCGATTGAAGTGCGTATACTTGATGTCGGGATTGTGGTGGAGCTGGTTACAGGATATATAGACCGCACTGGGACGTATGAGCACCAGAAGTACAAACCCAGTCCACCACACAGCCAGTGATCCCGAAAACTTAAAGGATCAGAAAACTTGACGATAGCATCCAGTAGGCTAGAAAAGTCTCGAATGGAAATCAAGATAATGCGACTCAAGCATCGTCCGTCGTCCACCGCTCTTTAGCGCGCGGCTCCACGACGGACTCCACGTCGCTTTTCCGGGCCTCTGCGCTGACCAGCCTTCTTCGAACGCCTGGGGGGAAACCATGAGTTGACCGGCCACCGGTTACATGCGACTTTTCTATTCAGTTTCCTTCCCTTCTCTGTCTCTCCCTCGGATTCTTGTCCTTCTCTTTCTTTATGGCTGCTGTCTCGCATCCGCGGCAGTCCAGCGTCGATCTTGACTCGCCCGATCGTCCGTTCGACAACATCATCAATTTCCGGGATGTTGGCCGCTCGATTAATCGGCTGGTGGGCCGACCGTATGTCTATTTATTTTATTTCTTTACTTGCTATCGGGGTTTCTATTTGGTATAGAGAACGAAGCTGATCGAATTACCCTACCAGGATTCTAAAAGAGGGTATCCTCTTTCGTAGTGCCCGGGTAATCAATAACCATCCAGATCTTTCTCAAGAACATGCCATGAGAGGATGAAAAGCAATCAAGTCCTAAAGACTAACGACCATCTCTCTAGCTGGACGATGCATCCGAACGGGACAAGCGCCGTCTCACAGACGAACTGCACATCTCTACAGTGATCGATCTGCGATCGAGGTATGTATCTAGTAACCTCAGCTATGTATCATCTTTTTGATGAACGTGGACGTGAACGCAAATATCTGATCTCGCCCCGCCAGCACCGAACACCAAATGGCAACGACCAAACGTCGAGCCGAGCTGGGTGATGAGGATCCGGCCGCGTCGTCCTCCCCGGCGGACCAGCATCTAGTCGATCTGCCCGGGGTGCGACGCGAACTGATCAGTCTGACGGGGAAAGCGTTCGAACGGACGCTCCTGTGGAAGTTGGATTGGTGGCATTTCATGTATTTCCCCCCCCCTAATCACCATCGGATGAATTGTTTTGGTCTTGTCTTCAACCATCGACTTTCCTATTGGATGGGTATTCCTTGAACGGTTACGTACTGGTCTGACAATCGAGAACAGAAAAGTCCTGGCCCTGGCGGCGTCAGGCTACCGACCCGACGCGGTGCTCATCGTCGGCGAGCAGGTGATGTCGCCGCGCGGATTGATCGGACTCGGCAAGGATACGCTAGATAGCAGCACGGCAGAAATGCGGGCGATATTCGACCTGTTTGCTGCGGGGTCCGAGGAGCCCGGGAACGGGCTCGATGGGGAGGATGACGAGGATGAAGAAGATGAGAAGGCTGGGTCCCCGCCCTGCAACGGGGATCGACCATCCACGTACCCGATCCTGGTGCACTGCACGCAAGGCAAGGATCGCACGGGGCTCGTGATTCTCCTGCTGCTGCTGTTGACGGCGCGGGTGGCCGAGGACGCCATGCGCTCGGACTATGTGCGGTCGGAGCCCGAGCTGCTCGTTGAGGTTGAGGAGCGCATGAAGGAGATTCGTCTGCTGGGGTTGTCTGAGGACTATACCAAGTGTCCGGACGGGTTTACAACGGAAATCCGTCGCCATCTGGATGAGAAGTACGGTGGCGTCGAGGGCTATCTACGCTATGTTGGTATGGATGAGGAGAAGCTGGAGCGGATCCGACGGACGTTGCTCGCATAGCTGGTTGGGCGTTTACTTTGTTTCAATCTTAATGTTTACCTTGATCTGGTACTTATTTAGCGGGATCTGAAATCTGTTGCAAGCATGCATGTACAAGAAAGAATTTAGACTGAGAACTTCCCTCCTTTTCTAACTTGTTGGATAATGATAATGAATTATCAAACTCGTCTTCCTCTTCCTCTTCCTCTATCTTGATATTACAATATAATAAGATGGTACAATATGTAAAACAAACAACGACAGATAATCTCATCCAAAGTAGGAACCAAATATATAAAAATGGGCTAAGCAAACGCGGGTATATACTCCAAGCAAACAGAAGATCATCAAAAAAAGAAAAGACCACCGGGGGTATATCCTGGTCCCAACAAAATAGGACTTCAGCGCACCGGGAATATGCAGAATTGTAAAAACATCTAGATCAAGCGTTACATGCGTTGGCCCCGGTAGTAATTGACATTATTGGCGTTTGGACCGGCCGAGTCCATCGTCAGGGGCTCTTCGCGAGTGAGTTCGGACGAGGGCTCCGAAGACGCCATGTTGACGCGTTTTTCGCCCTGTGGAACGTGACGACGGGTGCGTACCGATGGCAGCAAATCGACCACAAAGGAGAGGACGTAGAAGGTGAAAATCAGGGCAATTACTGCAGACCCATGGTTAGCTGCCGGCTCGACCCAAACGATAGGAAGCGAAATCCTTGGCTTACCCCATTCCAGCACGGCCGCTGCATTTCTCTTAGAACCATTATGCCGTCCGAGGACACCAAAAGCAATGGCGAGAGCGATCTCAACGACCACGAAGCATCCCTTGATGACAAAGCTGGCAAATAGAACTCGATGATGGGAGCGGTAGAAGATACCGAGGCGGAGATATTCGGCGCAGATAAGAATGGCGCTGACGAGGTAGCCCGCACTGCACGATGATCATGTATCAGCATTTACCCTCCCTGAGCTCTAGGCGCAGGCTGTTTAGGGCCCGGAACTTACAGGAACATAGCCAAAAACCCAACGTGTTTGTGCGGATGGCGAAGCGTGTCGAAACACGACAAAAGGATCAACCCCAGAGCTCCAACAACGGAGAAGAAGATCGACCCGATGGCGCAGGCTTTGTCGAGTTTGCCCTTGTTCGGGACCAATTGGCCGGCATGACGCAGCCATCGCTCCGCGACGAACGAAAGATCCAAAAACACCACCGTGACCACGCTGCCGCCGATGAAGAGGGGCTTCAATTCTTGCGCTCCAACGTCCGAAATATATCTAACAGTGATTGGCGGTCAGTCTCGACTTGGATGCGATTCACCGGGGCGAGGGACTTACGCGATTGTCTGTCCGGGTTCCATGCTAGAATATATGGGAGACCCAACTACAGCCCAATGTGCCAACATTGCGATCAGCATCGCTGAGGGGGGTCGAATCAGTATCTCCGCGTACCATTCTCTGTTATCAACAGTACCATACCTATCCACATGCAGGCCGATATGACCGGAAAGATCCAAAATGAAATGATCCACATCTTCGATTATGTATTGTGATAGATGCTCGACGACAACAAAGGAAAGAAAAAGAAATGACAATTGAAAAAGCAGGAACTGAAAAGCAGCCTCCAATGTTTAAAGGATACTCGAGGATCAAAGAACGACCTAGAATGAAGCAGGGAGAGCAGGGGACATTCGTCAGCCTACATGAAGTATGACCGGTACCCGTGCGAACAAGCAATCAAGCACGGATTGGCCGGGAAGGGCGGAAGTGGCTTAGAGCAAACTCACTCGATGATGCCTAGCAAAGCCGTGCAACGCCTCCCGGTGATCGGTTTGTTCCCTTGGGGTCTCCGCCAGGCAACCGAGATTTGTCGCAGAGAACCGAAAGTGAGAAGTGTGGCACGCGACAAAAGTCAACGGAAGTAGGCAGGGAGGGTGAGAGGAAAAAATTGGGCAAGTAGCGAGTGAAACCGCGTGGGGTCCCTGCCTACTTCTTAGGAGAGAATGGACGGAGAAGAAGATATGAAAAGGAATGAAAAGACAAGAGAGAAAATTGATTAATTTGGGTTAAACGCTGAACCAGGAGAGGGCGAGTAGATCGACCGGAAGGGGGGCGGCTGTGAAGGAGGGAAAGTTCGGCCTGCCCGGGATTTTTGGACGCTTTGCGGCCCCGTTGGGTCCTCGACGTCATCGCCGCTGCCCTCGTCATCACTCATTCTCCTCCATCCTGCGACCCTCTACGACATCATCAGAACAATAACAATAATCCCATCATCTCCATTTCTACAGAAAAGAAACTCCCGATACGTTTCATGATGGTCAAAATACCATCCCGACTATAAACACAAGACACGGAAGAAACAAACCAATCCACCATGACGCTCTCAGCAGAGATTTTTTTAGGAAAAAAAAAAAAGTTAAAATAGAGCTATAATACGGATTTCGTGTTTCATGGGATAAACAAAGAAACATCTAGAGGGCACAACGTGAAAAATTCAAGGACGACTGCGGCGTTGACGGCTTCCTTTGCCCGTCGCTGCGCGGCTGGAAGGACTTGTCGGGACTTTTCTCTCCACCACATCCACAATATGTAACTCGTCAGCGTCAGAGTCGCTCTCCTCCTCGTCGTCTCCATCCCGGGGGACTTCGACCGTAGGTTTGGCCGGGCTATACCACGGGGCGAACGAGTTCCGCGCGCTGCTTGACGGGCGGTCCCCATAGCTTGACACGTATGGTGATAGCCCGGTGCGATTCGAGGAGCCTCCTCGTCGGGGCTCCACCGGACTGTGAAGGGGATACGGAGGTGGCTCCCTTGGGTACGGTATCTGATAGGGAGGAACCCAGTGCGGATCGTCGGGGAGTGGACGTGCGAATGCCGGGCTGCTCTTCAGCGGGGACGACGCCTGCGAACGCATGTGCGGAATGGCGGCGGACTGGCGGTCGGGCTTGTAAGGGGAGTCAAGCGGAGTTCTAGGCGATGCGATGGGCTGGGGAGATCGCAGAGAGCGAGGCCGTTGCGATGTCGGGGAGCCCGAGCTCCTGGGCTGTGCGTCGAAGACATCGCCGTCGTCGAGGGCGCCGCAATATGGTGACGGGGGCACTGCGCCGGATGGAGCTCGCCGCATCCCTGTTCGACCAGCGCCGCCGTCCGGGGTACGTTCTCCAGTCCTCGTGCGGTCGAAAGTTCCGGCACCAGTCTGCATCCGTTTGCGCTCAAGCGCCTCCACCTCAGACTTGGACAAGCGAACGTTCTTCTGCCCCATGACTTGCGCGCGGCGGATTCTTTCCAGAGCTTTGTCCACCAGCCAATCCTCCTTGTCTTTCATGGCCAAGTGCACCGCGTATGCCACCGTGCTGTCTGCGTCGTCGTACAAGTCATAGTCCGCCCCGTCCATCGACTCCGACTCGTCCCCGTACTCGTCATAGCCCACCATGCGTCTCCGTAACCCCGAACCCCCGTCCAAGTCCCTGCCGATTAGCTGCCTCGGATACCCGGATCGGCCATTACGCAGATTGTATTCGTCCTCGCTGTCAATCTCCTCGATTCGTGCGTCATCATCCAGCCACGGGGCTGCCCGCCTCCTGGTTTGTCTCCCTAGTTGTGCCCCCGGTGGTCTTCCCCATCGGGGCGTACCGTAAGGAGCTCGCGGCCGACCACCTAGACCGCCTCCTCGGAAAAAGCATTCTCGATTGGTTTATCCATAAAGGCCGCGTGACCGAACACGGACACACCCGTGGCGCCGATCAGCCAGAGGACCGTCGAGATCGGGGAGGCCCAGATGCCCAGAGGGACCGCGACGATCAACAGGCCAGTGTAGAGCTGAGAGGTGTTGAAGCGAGCAATGCCCAACTCCAGGTCGCGCCCTTCCAACTTCCCGATGCCGTAGAGACCACCGGTGACCAGAATGATGACGAAGAGCAAGACGGGGTTGGTGAGCAAGCTATAGATGCTCAGCATCACAAAGACCACGGCATAGTTGCTCGAGAAGTAGGACAGGTTGTAGTTCACGCGACTCTGGACCTCGCCGAAATTGGCCGGCTTGGAGAGACGTTTGAGGTCGAGGAACTCGGAAACCGGTCGCAGGTTGGCAAAGCGAGTGCCAATGGACTGGGAACGAACGCTGTTGAAGCGATCACCGAAGCGCGAGGTGATCGCATCGATGGGAATCTTGAGGGAGCTCATTATGAGGGATCGAGACGGGGTAACCGAATAAATAAACAATGGGAGTCTTTTCGGATCTTTTCTTTGTGAAGGGTTTCTTCACGAAGTCTGGTAGATAGGAAATAGGATATATAGGATAGAGAATAAGAGTGAAGGTGAAGAATGAAAGAAAAAAGAAGCGGTCGAGAGGGGAAGAAAAGGGGGGGGTGGATTGCAAGAGGTCTTCAGGAAGATGGAAGCGGCTTAGCTGGCCGAAAGGGAAAAAAAGGTTGTTGACTGCAGAGAGCTGACTACTTTTTCTAGCCTGCTTGGGTTTGCGGCCCGTTCGTCTTTTCTCACCCCGACCAACGCAAGGCAACCACCCAACGACTCCTTCGAGGATCGTGCTCGGGTTGGAGGCACAAAGATTTGCTTTGCAAAGGCAACTGCGATTGAGAGAGAAGCAGAAAGAAAAGGAGAAGAAAGTGAACTTCCACGACACAAAGACCAGGCTTCTTCGAAAACACTTGGGCGGTGACGGCTAAGAATAGAACATCCCCGGGCCAAACTCCGGACTCAGAAGAAGAAAAGGAAGGATGGCTGAGTGCGGACCACCAAGGACGGCTGGCTACTGGAAGATCAGATGAAAGCGACCATCGTATCGTGCCTTGTAGTAGAGAAGGATCCCTCTTATCCACCGTCCAGCCCTAAGGTAAAGAACCCTGTGTAAGGTTCATCCCGTAGGACTGTACTACTACCCACCTGCTGGTCGACAACGGAAAGACAAGAATGATCAAGGGGAACAGGAGAATCTCCATCGAATTTAAACCCGGCTGCCCTTTCCTTGTCCCTTCCAGCCTGCCACTTTTCCAGCCTTTTCTCGTCTTCTTCGGCCACGAATTTCCTTCAAATGGAGGAGAACAACGTGATTGGTCCACGTTCACCTGCAGCGTGGACTCCCGTGACTACCCGATGGGGCATGGCGCGGTATCTCTGGTAATATATGATACGGTCTAGGTATCAATGCCTGAAGACAGATGGTTGTTCTGCCTGAGAACCATGGCATCCAGCCCGCGTCGGGGGGAGCATCCAATTAATTAATTAATTGATTATTCTTCTTTGGATCAAATTCTCTCGACTCTTTCGCTCCTTTAACCTTGGGCCTTGGAGGTTTACGATTCCTCCTACTCTCTCCTCATTCTCTTCCATCGTTTCGTGGGTTCGGCAGGTTTGACTGCTCACCCCCTCTTGTCCTCTTCAGCATGAAGTCGACAGCGCTCCGCCTGTTGTTGTTTGCTGTCCTATTTGTATTGGCGACAGCGTGGACCAAAGAAGGTCGGTTCCTCTGCTCTTCCCCACCACTTTCTTCCACTTCCTTGACTCCGGGATTCTCTCACCGTCTTTCGCCTTCACCGACAATTGCCAGACATCGTATCTAACCTCAGTGCCTGCTTGCAGATTATGAGATTTTCCGCCTCCGCGATGAGGTTGCTGCCGGGGAGGGTTCTAATGTGACTTTCTACGGTACGTTGTCCTCAAACACCAAGAGCCATGCATGCGTGATCGTGCATCTGACCTGTTTGATGGACAGATTTCCTCGAGGTCCAGCCCAATGCCAACCAGGATGAACTGAACAAGGCCTATCGCAAGAAATCGAGACTTCTCCATCCCGACAAAATCAGACGCTCCTTCATTGCCAACAGCTCCAAGGATAAGGCCCGGTCGAGGACGAGCAAGCAGGGGGTTCATGTCAACAAGGGTCCCTCCGAGCGCGAGATCGCGGCTGCCGTCAAGCAGGCCCACGAACGAGCCTCCCGCCTGAACACCGTCGCGAACATTCTTCGTGGTCCGTCGCGCGAGCGATACGATCATTTCCTGCGGAATGGGTTCCCCAAGTGGAAAGGCACGGGATACTACTACTCGCGATTCCGCCCGGGTCTGGGCTCCGTGATGGTCGGCCTGTTCTTAGTCTTCGGGGGTGGCGCTCACTACGCCGCCCTGATCCTGGGCTGGAAGCGTCAGCGGGAGTTCGTCGATCGGTATATCCGTCAAGCCAGAAGAGCTGCCTGGGGTGATGAGCTCGGCGTTCGCGGCATTCCCGGTGTGGACGCAAATGCCGCTGCTCCGGCTCCCGCTGCGGAAGCTAACGAGACGAGCGCCATCCCTATGAATCGCCGTCAGAAACGCATGATGGACAAGGAAAACCGGAAAGATTCCAAGAAGAGTGCTCGATCCGTCTCGCGCGCCGCCTCCGGTACCTCCACCCCAACGACCGAGTCCGTGGAGCCCTCCGGGGAGAGGAAGCGCGTCGTTGCCGAAAATGGCAAGGTCCTCATCGTTGACTCAATTGGCAACGTCTTCTTGGAAGATGAGACCGAGGACGGTGAGCGCCAGGAATTCCTGCTCGACATTGACGAAATCCAGCGCCCCAGGGTGCGCGATACTATGCTGTTCCAGATTCCCGTTTGGTTTTACCGCAAAAGCTTTGGCAAGTTGCTTGGGTCCTCGGAGAACAGTGACAACGTTTCTGATGAAGACGAATCGGCCGAAGGAGAGGAGCCGGTTGAGGAGCCTGCCAGTTCCGCAGTTGCCTCTAAAAAGAGCGGGGCTTCTCGCAAGAGAGGAAAGCGCTCTGCACGATCCTAAGCGGCGAGAAAGACAACTTGTGATTTATATATCATCTTTCGATAGAAAAAATAGGTAGTTTGTTTTTCCAGATTTGTCCCGTGACGGAAAAGGCGAGGCAGCTCTAGGCGCATTGTATGAATCTATTGGTGCACTCGAACATAGAACCTGTCAATCTTGCTTCAGGAAATTGTCATCGTAAAAATTTTCTTCATGATCGGAGCGGTTGTACGGCTCAGAGAACTGGCGCCGCGAAGAACTATAGCTCTATCTAGGTCTACACGGAAGACAGGTGGAATTTGGAAAACATAAAACAAAAAAGCAAAAGCAAAAACAAAAAACAAATATTCTGATATCATTGGGTGGCCGGAGCAAGCATGGTATTTGGTCTCCTGGGTTGGACATAAGAGGAATTGAAAACCGAAAAACAAGTAAAAAGGTAAAGAAAAAGCACAAATGTCTCGTAATCATGATGGTCGTGAGCGTCTATGATTTCTCTTCTCCTTAGCATCATCGACACCAGCATCGATTCATGGGGCTACATGAACATCTTGGCGATGTTCATCAACCCGTGGATGTTGTCTGCCATACCACCACCTCCACCACCACCACCTTGAGCAGGCTGTCCGCCACCGAGGCTGCCCAGAATGTTTCTCGGTAGACGGATTCCTATCATAGCCAACAGTTTCTGCAACACGCCGCTGGTCAAGAGGGGAACAACGACCAGAAGAAGCACCTTGAACGGATGACGGCGGGCGTAGTTGGAGATGTCACGCATCAAGCGTTTGATGAAATGTACCACTCGCTGGATAAATCCAGATCGAGGTCGTGCCCGACGCGAGGACGAGGTTGAGAAGACCGACGGACTCGACCGCCCCGACCGGTTGCCGCCGCCACCACCTAAACTGAAGATTGATGGCGTCGAGTGACGGGAATGGTGAGTGGAATAGGTGGATCGACGAGAGGGAGAGCGTCGGCGGACATGGCCAGACGATGAAGAAGTTCGTCCGTCGAACCAACCCATGGCGGTGAAGAGGGAGTAGTTTTGGTCGCGGAGGACAAGACCGATTGAACGAGACTGAGTGTAAAATGGAAAGCAAGTTGCGCCGTTTTTCGTGGCGGACAGCTTTTTTTTTTTCTTGGGCTTTCCGGATTGAATACTTCCAAGTGTGTGCCCCTCGAAATTTGCAGAGTGCAGCTCAGGCAATCATATAACAGTAGCGGATCCAATTGCTGCAGATGCACACAATTTCAGATCTAGACTCCCTGCGGCATTGACGGTCTCCACCGAGTTTCAGCGTGATGGCGACTGTGATTCTCTGTCCAACACCAGCATGTGGAGTGCACGGGGTGGTCTGGGAGTATCAAGTTCTTGTGGAATTGATGACTCTTGAGTCTCGAATGAACTTGATGTTTCAGGCAAAGGCTGAATCTTTTGATAATTAAAGAGGTAAAAAAAGGGGGGGGAATGGCAAACCCCGTCTGTGCAGTTAGTGGGAGGAGCTGAGGATAGCTCCAACACAATAATGGGTGGCTGGAGGGCGACTGGCAACCCTTATTGGCGCTGTCTCTCAGGGACGTCTCCCGTCCCGTCAGCAGCGACTCTTCGCCGTATGTAAGTCAGACTTTAGACTCGACCGGCTCGGCCATGCGAGTAAGGGCAAGAGCATGCGTAAGTCGTGCCCTAGGTCCCTAATAGTGTGGATTACCTTTATTGCCGTAGTGTTCTGTAAGGTGGCTCGGTGCCGTGTCGGACACCTAAGGCACCAACATCGCCGACCGACCGACGTCATTCCCGTCCGACAACCCTCCACGTTGCCTTCACCAAGACCTGGACTACGATGTAAAAAATTTACCTTCAAAATAAGTCTTTCGATAACTGTCAGCACGAGATTCTAACTTGCTTTCAAAATGCCCAGTGAGTTGAGATATCTTGCCTCAACCTCAACGATGCCCGCTAACCTTTTCTCCGACAGGACAACCAAACTACTGTAGATATCCCCCGCCTCGATATTTCAGAATGAAAATATTCTTACACATATGCAGATAGAGTTCTCGGTGTTTCCTCAGATGCGACGCAGAGGGAAATTCGCATCGCCTATAAACGGTATGTGTCTGACTTCCACCGGCGAGCGACCCTGAGTCTAAGAACACGTCCTATAGAGAGTCACTAAAATCACACCCCGATCGAGTACCGGCCGACTCGCCTGAACGGCCCGCGCGAACACGCAAATTCCAGGAGATCAATGATGCCTATTACACCCTTTCTGATGAGTCACGGCGGCGACAGTACGACGCATCGCGGGGCGCTGAAGATGGTGTAGACGAAGAGGACGAAGTGCCTAGCGGTAACGGAGGGTTTTCATGGTCAAATTTCGGGTTCAGCTCAGCGGACCGCGAACAGCAAGCTTCCGATCAGTTCGGGTCGGTGTTTGAGGAGATGCTACGCGAAGAAGGACTTGCCAGCGATGAAGATGGCGGCACTCGGCCTACCTCACGATTCTGGTCGGTGGTGGGTGGACTCAGCGGCGGAGCGCTTGGGTTCATTGTGGCCAACGCTCCCGGTGCACTCGCTGGTGCCGTTGCCGGAAATCGCCTCGGCGCCGTCCGCGATGCAAAGGGAAAGAGCGTCTATGCCGTTTTTCTGGACCTTCCACAGAGCGACCGTGCTCGACTACTGAGTCAACTGGCGGCCAAAGTCTTCCAGACAACCATGGGGCGTTAGATGAGCTTGCCATTCCTCAATAATGTTTGTATCTTTGTAGGCTATGAAATGGGACAAGTCTATCCATTAACTTGGTGTAAGAGCTACCGTCCAAGGGCCACCTACTTATATCAGGAGTTCACGGCCCTTGTTAGTGCTAGTTGGATCATTTATGTATGGGGGACTGCTTCATACATTGTAAAGGCCCGCTACGAGAGAATGATAGAATGAAATCGAGTGGGACCGCGGGCGAAACTCCGTACTCCGAATTAAAGGGCGGACATTCCCGTCGTGGAGCAGCAGTTAACTGTTAGTCATCGGATCTTCCGTGAACCCGGGTCCAAACTCTCAGCATCTTCCATGACGGGATCTCGACTTCCCTTAAACGCTGGACCTTCATATCCCGAAACTACGCTCTGATCAGAATGGCACACCAGAAATCTGTCACGGAGGTTCCACGCTCTATTCTTCCCCGTTTGACATGGAACGGCGCCTCTGCCCGAACCTCCGTACCTCCGCCGCAGACAACCGCCCTCTCGGCTAGACGACAACAGAAGCAACGACACTTACACGGCTGGAACTCAACTGGACGGCAATTACATACTTTGACACTCTCCTCTCGTTCCTCCCCCTCTGTATCCCTATCGTCCCGAGAGCTAGGGTCGTCATTATCCCCTGTTAGGCAAACATCTTTATCGACGAGCGGACGGACAAACCGCCCAACCCCCGCTGGCAACCCTGTTAGATACAATGGCGTTTACGTCGCTACCTTCAAAGCCGCACAGCGCGCCTTTCATGCCTCTGCAGTCCGGCAAAGAGAACACCATTTCGATACTTTGAAGTTTGTCCAGCGATTGAAAGATGAGGGGTTCAGCGAGGAGCAGGCCGTTTCTATGATGCGAGTCTTGAACGACGTGATTCAAGAATCGATCCAGAACTTGACTCGGACAATGGTTCTAAGAGAAGGTCAGTCACATGCGATGTTTCCTTGATCCACTTAAAGATAAAGACCGTTCAAGAGGGGAAGGACGAAGGTTGTAGGGGGAAGAAAGGCAGGACTGCACTCTTGGACTCCAGTCATACTGACTTTCTTGTGTTAGACACCGAAAGATCCACGTATACACAAAAGGTCGATTTCGCTAAGCTCCGCTCCGAACTTCTCAACGCGGATTCCACGGAGGCACAATTGACCCGATCATCACACGAAAAAATCGCCGCCGACCTTGCCAAGCTCAATTCTCGCTTGCGAGACGAAATTGGGCGCACACAAGCGTCTGTCCGCCTGGATCTGAACCTGGAAAAGGGACGTATTCGGGAAGAAGCAAACGGTCAAGAGATGCGCATTAAAGAGACAGAAACAAGAATCGAGCAAGAGGTTGCAGGGCTGAGAGAGCGGGTGGAGGCTGTCAAATTCTCAACACTGCAGTGGCTTATGTATGAACTACTCTCCATCCATTTCATCTGGATCATCGCTAACAACTTTTGTTTCTCAGGGGTGTTTGCACTGGTACTGCGGCATTGATTCTTGGTGCCTGGCGTCTCTTTATGTGAGCTGTGGCTACCTATTTCCTCTCATATTGCCGGTCTTTGAACACTGCTCTTGTGTATCCAAACATTTCGGCATAGCCCCTGTACAGTAATTTCACGTCTCTATATCTCTCCTGGTCCTTCCCAGCGTCAGCGGATCAAAAGTGGGTCTTTCGTTCCAATCTCTCTTTATCCCGTAGCCTGGCGGAGGTTCGGTTTTGGACGTAGTGTCTTGCAAACAAAGATTTTGACTCCTGAAAATCTACATTTATCCGTGAGCATTGTGTCTGTCCCATCTCTTCTAGTTCCATCTCTTCTAGCACTGAGAGTGACTGAATGCACATCTAATCTTCATATTGGTACTGGAAGCGGCCGGGGGTCCAAATGCGCTATCTTCACGTGATGGCACGATAAGACCATCATCATATCGCCATCTCCCGTTCCGTTGCCTCCTCCGCAGCTTGACATCTCTACTGGTGTTTGGTAGCGGTGATTCAGAAGCGACATATTGCGATGACTGTGGTCAATACGGAAATCTATCTCCCTGGTAAACTAGACTAAAATGTACTGTGACCGCACAATTGATCGCTGACTTTACATATGTTCAGGTATTGTGCCTTATACTCTGGCTACTGCATTTGCGCCAAGTGATGCGCTCGAGGTCAATGGCCCCCAAAGCAAACGTCGGAGGTTGAACACCGTAGTTCATAGCCTGAGGGAGCTGAACGGCTTGTCCAATTCACAGATCCCTCTAGGCTATGTGCCATTGGCCCGTTTGCACTTATATTTGGTATGCGGCCTGTCTACACGCACAAGATGATTTGCTCATTCGGCCGCACTTCAAATACAGGAATTTGAAAGGGAAAATTTGGATATTGAAGCATCCGGCGACTCAGCCGAAACACCTACAAGCTTGCCCATCTTTATTCAGACGGCTAGAAACCTTCGAACTCCGCACAGTGTATCTGGTCTACACCAGGCACCATGTGATTGCTTCGAGTTGGAGCTTGCTATCGCATCAGAACCAAATGTTATCTTTGGAGATCGTATAGATCAGCTGAAATTGACTGATATTGGCGAGCACCTGGAGCTTGCTCGGAATCTTGTTTGCGCCGACCGATATTCCAGAAAACAGCCCCCTGTCTGTTATCAGTCGACTCTTTACCGGTTATCCGATAAGAAGAGGTTTCGGCTTGAAACCGTGATACTATGGAAGGACTCATTAGATATTTTGGATCCTAAAAACCCATCACTATCCAGAGTATTCTCTAAATACATTTTGCAAGAACCAGACGGCCATAGCACTCATGAGGGGAAACGTCAGCGACAAGGGAACGGGCTTGGCTGGTCTCCCCGCGACTTTTATGACAACGTGTACGTGCCGCCGGACACGCCAGCGTCATCCTCGGAAATCAAATGCGACCTGATCGATTGTCAACTTTTCCCGTTTCAAAGAAGAGCAGTTAGGTGGCTTTTGGAGAGGGAGGGTATGGCACTGCAGCAGAACGGACAGGTGGTGCCCATCCAAAACCATTCGCAGGATCAGCTACCAGAATCTTTCGAGAGAATTATTGATGCAGACGGGAGATTGTGCTTTGCCAGCCATCTATTTATGATAGTCACCAGTGACTTATCAAATTGGTTCGATGCGAATGTCCACCTCAAGGGTGGCATACTTGCAGAGGAAATGGGCCTAGGAAAGACAGTTGAGATGATCGGGCTGATGTGTCTCAATCGCCGTTTGCTGTCCCCTGAGGAAGCTTTTTCGGACAGCCTCTTAGAGAGTCTAAGGCCATCGGGGGCTACGTTGATCATAACACCGCCTGCAATTCTTGAGCAATGGGAGCATGAAATCATGACCCATGCACCCGGCCTCAGTGTCTTTAACTACACTGGAATCCAACGCCATCAGACACTCTCTGATCAAGAATTGGTGGAGATGATTGCTGATTACGATGTAGTACTCACCACCTACAATGTACTCGCACGGGAAATACATTATTCTGGCGATGCTCCGAAGAGAAACTTGCGACACGAGAAAAGATTCGAGCCAAGAAAGACACCCCTTGTTCAAGTGTCTTGGTGGCGAGTCTGCCTCGATGAAGCCCAGATGATTGAGAGCGGAGTCAGTAATGCTGCCAAGGTTGCGCACTTGATCCCTCGTCGAAATGCCTGGGCTGTTACTGGAACGCCACTTCGCAAGGACATCAAGGATTTGCTTGGTCTACTACTGTTCCTCAATTATAAACCATTTTACGGTTCCATCTGGAACAGGCTGTGCGTCGAATTTCGGCCTGTGCTAGCGCGCATTGTTCACAGCATTTCGCTTCGGCACAGCAAAGACCACGTCCGTAATGAACTTCATTTGCCGCCTCAGAAGAGAATTGTCATCACGATTCCTTTCACTGCCGTCGAGGAACAATATTATGGACAGTTGTACGAAGAAATGTGTGAGGAATGTGGCCTTGATCTATCGGGAGCACCGATCAATGATGGTTGGAGCCCCGAGGACTCTGCAGTTATCGAAAAGATGCGAAGTTGGCTAGTCAGGCTTCGACAGACTTGTCTCCATCCCGCAGGGAACCAACGTCGGGGGTTTGGTATCGCGAATGGGCCTCTGCGGTCCGTGGCTGAAGTTTTAGGAGTTATGATTGATCAGAACGACGTTCTTATTCAAACAGAGGAGCGCTCTCTCCTTCTTTCCCAGCTTCGGCGTGGGCAGCTTCTGGAAAACTCCATGCACCGACGAAAGGCGCTTGATCTTTGGATGAGCTCATTGGAACGTGCTGGTGATATCGTAAAGGAGTGTCGGGACCGGCTGCATTCAGAACGGATCAGCAATCGGTCCACTTCCACCAAGGCCGAGCATGGTACGAATGCAGTCGACGCAAGCGACGATGAGAGTGAAGAGAACGAGAAAAATACCCGGGTTGGTACTTTCCGCCAGAGGCTACGATCTGCTCTTGAGATCCAGCATATTTGTGTGTTTTTCACGGGAAATGCTTATTACCAAATCAAGACCGACCCGAAGCTTACTGAACCCAATTCTGAAGAATTCAAATCTCTAGAAAAGCGTGAGGAAGAGGCGTATGGAACGGCAAAATCAATTCGCAGGGAGATGCTGCAGGATATTTCTGACAAAGTGGGCCGTTTCATGAGAGAGATCAGAGGGAAGTCTCAAAAGCACCAGTTCGTGGCTATCTCCAAGATGAGGCCTCATCTCTACAACAAAGGAGTGGAGGCTCGTCGCGTGCTTGACAAGCTCGAAGACTTTTGCGAAGCTATGAACAACCATGCTCATCAGTACAACGAGTGGCGCGATGCTATGGTGAAGTTATTATCGCAATCACTCATTGACCAGGAGGACGAGAATGAGCTCGAAGGCGATGAGTATGAAAAATCAACGAAGCATCAGGACGAGATGTATGTTTACATGGAAGCGTTGCGTGCAATGTTCGCGGATCGCCATGATGCTTTGACTGGCCAGAAGAACGTCCTAATTGCCCACGAGGTCAAGAGTGGTATAGTTCAGGCCCAAAAGGGGGAAGGCCCCTCCCCTACGCTTTTCCTGGAGTTGATGGGTACTCGTAGTAACATAAAGCCCGATCCTCAACTGGGCTCACTCCGTGGCATTATCAGCGAGATCCGCAGCCTAGCGACCTCTTTGGAGTGGCAAGCAGGTGGAGGGAGCTCCCGTGCCCAGGCTGAGCTTGAAGTTGTCTCGTTGATCCTCCAGAATTCCAGCCAGATGGCTTCAGAACAGGCGAAAATTGCATCGAGCTTAGAGAGAGAAGTGGAATTGTTCCGAGATACGATGAACTCTCGCCTCGAGTACTACCGCCAGCTGCAGCAGGTATCCGACACAGTAGCCCCCTACGATGAAGAGAGTGTCGGTAAACCTTTGGACGAGACAGCCTTTGATGCGAAACTTCGACAGGAGGGCGTGACCGAAGAGAAAATTTCGGCCTTGAGGGCGAAGCGTCGCTATCTCATTCATTTACGGGATGAATCAGGCGCAGGTGACACCTCAAAAATATGTGTCATATGCCAATCGAGCTTTGAAGTTGGTGAGTACGCGAGCTGAGCTTTGCACGCCAGACTTTTCAATCGGCTGATAGATGTCTCAGGTGTTTTAACGGTCTGCGGGCATAAGTACTGCAAAGACTGCCTGCGCTTGTGGTGGCACCAACACCGAACTTGCCCAACATGCAAGAAACGTTTGAAGGCTACTGATGTTCACCAAATTACATACAAGCCGCAAGAGTTTGTTGTACAGGAGGAGAGAACACCGGCCAAGATTGACACCGATTCCTCGCCCAAGAATTCGATATATGCTGACATTGGCTCGGGGACTCTCAAGGAGATCAAAAACATTGATCTAAATAGCTCTTTTGGAACTAAGATTGATACCCTAGCCCGTCACATCCTATGGCTTCGCGAGCATGATCCTGGCGCAAAGTCTGTGGTTTTCTCCCAGTACAAAAGCTTTCTGGACGTACTAGGCACTGCGTTCTCACGGTTTAAGATTGGGTATAGCAGCGTTGACAGCAAGGATGGCATACAACTATTCAAAAGTGATCCATCGGTAAGATTCCCTCTCGCTGATCGTTGACTGAAATACTCATGGTTCCTAGATTGAGTGCTTCCTGCTACATGCAAAAGCTCATTCGTCGGGGCTCAATCTGGTTAATGCAACCCATGTCTTCCTCTGCGAGCCCTTAATCAACACAGCAATTGAACTCCAAGCTATTGCTCGAGTACATCGAATCGGTCAACATCTCCCAACTACTGTTTGGATGTACCTTGTCAATGATACCGTCGAGGAGTCCATCTACGACCTTTCCGTTACACGTCGCCTATCTCACATTGCTCGTAAAGAAAGAGGAAAGACCCCCGATGACGAAGATCTAGCTACTAACTTGACCGAAGCGGCCATTGACTCTGCTAATTCTTTGGAAGTCCAGGACGCCGCCCTCGCAAAGCTAATGGCGGGCGGTGCGTCCGGTGGGGAACTGGTCAAGAAGGATGACCTATGGCAATGTCTGTTTGGACGCCCCAATGATAGAAAGGAAGTGAATGGTCACTCAGCGGGTGCTGAACGAGAAGTAGCCAGATTCTTGAGGGGAGAAGCAGCCGAGCAGCGGAGAATAGACACAAGAGACTAGAGAGTCGAACATTTGCAGGTATGACTTTTGGGCTGATTGAAGATCGTGCAATCTTGGTCATTTGCTTGGATTTGAGCATATGCTGGTAATTTTGTTGGAAAATATAGTTGCATTAATCTTATAATAGGTCATAATACATTAGTTGTTGTTCAGAATGACTTCGTTTGGACTAGTGTAGAAATTGCTGACCTCAGCTCAGTGACTAATCCAGACTATCCCAATCGGGATAGTAGCTTTGTTATGGGGAGCCTCAGGACCGCAACTGACGTGGGTGTCTCTGCCTAGAGCAACGGCCGTGGGGTTCAAGCTACTCGTCTCTCTGAACCTTTCTATCTTGATCTCCCTGAATCCCTTGTCTTCAATGTGTGAAGACATCCGTCCTCCTCCATTTACTCATTAATTCCCACCATGGCATCGGAGACCACGTCAGCGAATGCCGAGGCCCGCGAGCTGAGCTTGATATCTAAAGTCGAACTCAGAATCGCTCTGGCAGAAACGGATGAGAAACTAAGTACACTACTCAAAACGTATCTGGCACCTCTACTGCTGAAACTGGGCTCCGAGAGTCTTGCGGTGCGCAACAAGGTAATTGCGGTTTGCCAGCATATCAATACTAGAGCGCAGTCCCCATCGATCAAGCTGCCCGTGTCAGCTTTATTGAAGCAGTTCAAGGAACAAAAGTCCCCCCTAATCAGACACTTTGACTTGATTTATATTCAACAAGGTCTAGATCGATTGGGGTCCGATGCCAGAATTGAAATTTTGGTTCCATTGCTTCAGGGAGTCTCCGAGATTGGGACGTCGATCGATCAGGCTGCCGTCGTGTTCAATCTCGTCCTTCGGCTCCTACCGTTGCTAAAACTACCCGCGAAAGATAGTAAAGATGATGTGCAGTTGAAGTCTCACCTGGGTCTTTCCGATCAGGATACCCGCTTCTTAGCCTCTTGGTTTGGGAAATTACTCGTCCTCACCCCCGCGGAGAAGAATGCGCCCACTTGTCCGGGGCTTTCTCCCGCAGAGTACACATTTCTCAACAAAGGCGCGCCTGTGACAGAAACTTGGAGTCAATCTTTGCCCAATGGCCTAAATTTGACCGAGACTAAAGCGACGGCGTTGAGGTTCCTCGCCAGTGGAGCCTTCACGCCCTCAGAGCGCTTTCTGCCGGCTTTGATTGCATCTGCAGATACAAATAACCGTATATCAGACCTAGCAGAAGAGATTATCAAGCGGTTCATTCCGGACCTTGAAAATCCAGAAGTTGTACAGCAGCTGTATGATCTGTACTTCGGGGCCGGCACTCCCGATGGCGCGCTCCCAGCGCGACCTGCCTTGCAGATCAAAATTCTGGTGTATCTGGGCAAATCGATGCGGGCTACAGTGGATACCGACAAAGTCATTCGATTGATTGAAGAAGGTCTGCTCTCCGACGCTGCAAGGACTTCGCAAGGATTGCAAGCCTCGAAGTTGCGCACACAAATATTTACCTTCACGACATGGGTGGTGCGCATGGGCTCCTCATCCGAACTCAAACGCATGGCGCCTAAGGTAATAGCAGGTCTGAAGGATTTTATCGAGTCTCAAGGGTGGCCAAGCCCCGGCGCAAGTGGGCAGAGGCTCCCGGCAAGCGATTTGAGTCTACGGGGCCTTGCCTACGAGAGCATCGGAGTCATGGTCCCAAAAGTGGATTTCCAGGTGCGGGATGAAGATGAGGCGATATCGGGCTATGACCTCATCAGATGGCTATTCACGTCTCTGAGCTCCGATGACTCCAGCTCTCAGATTTTCGTGAGCATCGAACAAGCTCTGGGAAGTATTCTCAACTCATCAGTTGATAACTGGGATAAAGAATTTCAAGACCATCTACGGCCATTCCTTATTCACCAGATGGGGAATCACCCAGGAGACGACGATTCGATGACGGGGTTCAGAATAGTCAGGAGTCCTCAGTATGCAGCCGTGCGCTTTTCCAATAGATTTCTGCCATATGGAGATGTCGTCGCTCGTTGGATTGACCTCATCGCTGTCGCACAAGGGTCAGAAAGGCGCCACGAGGTCATCGAGGAAGGGAAAAAGGGATTGCATCCTTACTGGTACCGCCTTTTGAACCCTGGCAAGGACAAGAAGTGGTTCGCGTCAGTGACGGATGACTCGCGAGCTTTGTGGTTCAATTTCCCCAGCTTTTCCGAGGTGACACGCTTTCTGTTTGGCTCTGAGGCCTCAGCCGGAGTACCTGGGCTCTCTGCGACGGAAATCCTCTCAGGGCCCTATAAAAAAGCATTTGCCCCTGCTGTTACGTTCCTGCGCGAAATCCTACTCTGGGAAGCCTTCTCCAAATCCAATATCGCGGCAAGCATTGAGCAAGACTGGGATGTCAAGCTTGATGTGCTACTTTCGACCGATGAACAAGCACGGTCAGCTGTAAGAAAGCACATACAGGTCTCAGACAAAGGAGCCGTCCTGCTATTCCTATCGAGTGCTTTGGCCGGTCTTGTGGGCGAGAGCTCGGAAGGTCGGCTGCAATGTGGCCAGCAGTTTGTCAGTATCTGTTCGCTGGTTTCAAATGACATAGTCGAGGCGCTGGTTCCCCAAACACTGTCATTGAAAGGCCCTCTTTACAGCAACGACCAGGGAAGACAGGATGTAGCGGCACACGCCCTCGGAATCTTGGCCTCTCATCCCTCGTTTAGCGAGAATGATCTGGCAGCTCTAGTTACCGAGCTGTCAAGCTCTGTCGCTATGTGGAAGGATGCGATTGGCGAGCTCGCCCTCAAAAGCCGAGGGGCAATTCTTGCCTTGTCGTATGTATTCAGCCGACTTGCTTTTCGAAATATGCGACACAGAATCCCCGAAGAGCCGGCAAATCGTTTTATCAGTACCGTTTTCGATATAATCGAGACTGCCAGGGACTCTCTGCTCCGACGATCTGCGCAGGTTTCTGTTGGACAACTCGCTCTTTCTGGAATATTGCCGCCTACAAGGCTTTCTGGTGATGCGTGGAAGTCAATCAAGGGCAAGATAGCCCTAGATGCGAAGGCCGAAAGCGAGGCAGCTATCATTTCCATGGGTCTGTTATCTCTGACATTCTCTGGAAACAGCGATATGGAATCCTCGTTACAGGAATCGCTGGACGCACTCTATGGCCTGCACGAGATTCGCAGTCCCGAGGTACATTTTACCGTCGGTGAGGCACTGAGTGGCGCTGCTGTCGGATGGAAGTCTAGATCACTGGCTACCGAATTTGATGTTGATGAACAAACGCCCGTATCCTCGATCTCCGGTGTCATTCTTGCTACCATGTGCGACAAAATTATTAATGACTGTGGGGCGTCGAAGCCAGCTCTCCGAAAGGCATCTGCGATTTGGTTGTTATGCCTAGTGAAAAACTGTGGCCATATACAGGAAATGCAAATCAGACTGCGCAAGTGCCAAGAAACATTTTCGAACCTGCTAGGCGATCGCGATGAGGTGGTCCAGGAAACGGGAGCTCAAGGCTTGAGTCTCGTGTATGAGATTGGGGACCAGGCGCTCAAGGATGACTTGGTGCGCGACCTGGTAGAATCCTTCACAGCGAATAGCTCCAGCTTGAGGGGTGGGAGGGTCAATGAAGAGACCGAACTCTTTGAACCAGGATCTCTTCCCACCGGGGGTGGCTCTTCGGTCAATACTTACAAGGACATCATGAACCTTGCCGCCGAAGCCGGCGACCCCTCGCTCGTGTATCGATTCATGTCATTGGCCTCAAACAATGCCCTCTGGACCAACCGTGCAGCGTTCAGCAAGCTGGGAATCAGCAGTATCTTTTCGGATTCTAGTGCTAGCGGGTATCTAGCCAGCAATCCCAAGATCTATCCGAAACTGTTCCGTTATAGGTTCGACCCCAATCCGAACGTGCAGCGGTCAATGAACACAATATGGCAAGCCCTGGTCAAAGAGCCGACGGAGTTGATCAACACCCATTTCGATGAAATCATTGGAGATCTACTCAAGAGCATGATGGCGGGGCGGGAATGGCGAGTGCGGCAGGCAAGTTGTGCCGCTATAGCGGACTTGCTTCAGGGTCGACAGCCGGATAGCTACGCCAGGTACACGGATGAGATCTTCAGCAAGGCCTTTAAACTGGTAGACGATATCAAGGAGTCCGTTCGGGCGGCCGCTCTGAAGCTCTGTCAAACGATCACGAACGCAGTTCTTCGTACGCTGGAGACAGGTGAATCGAACGTCAAAAGGTCGAGCAAGATGCTAGAAAGCGTAATCCCCTTCTTGTTGAGTGACAAGGGCATGGAATCCGGCGTCCAGGAAGTCCAAGCGTTTGCGATCGGCGCTTTGGTCCAGATGATCAAGAAAAGTCCCGGTGGGCCATTGCGCCCATTTGTGCCGCAGATCATGGAACAGTTCCTGAATTCTCTGAGCTCGCTGGAGCCGCAGGCAGTCAATTACGTCCATCTCAATGCAGAAAAATACGGATTGAGTGGTCAGGATATCGACAAAATGAGGCTCTCCAGTATTCGCACATCTCCGATGATGGAAGTGATTGAACGATACCTCATTGATACGTTGGACGAAGCTAGTATGAAAGAGTTTGCGGCCAAACTCGAAGGTGTGCTTCGATCGGCCGTTGGTCTTCCCTCCAAGGTAGGCTGCAGCCGTGTTTTGGTTCTGCTCAGCATGAAGCCGGCGGTCTTCCGTCCCTATGCGGACCGCTTTGTTCAGCTTCTTGGAAAATACGTGGTCGATCGCAATGACACCGTCAGTGCGTCCTACTGCACATCCATCGGCTACCTTCTACGACTGGCTTCCGATGATCGCATTCTCAAGACGATGGAGCATGCTAAGAATCTGTACCTAAGCGCCGAAGACGTCAATCCGCGCATCATCTCGGCGGAGATTCTTCACTCGGCATCCAAGCTGTCTAATGATAAGTTTATGGCTTTTGCTGCCACCGTCTTGCCGTTCATATTCGTTGCGAAGTACGATAGTGATGGCCATGTCCGAGAGGTCTTTGAGAAAACATGGCAGGACAACGTGGGCGGGAACCGTGCCGTATCACTGTACCTCAAAGAAATCACTGCTCTAGTTTTAGAGAACCTGGACTCGCCCCGCTGGGCTATCAAGCATACGGCGGCACTGGGATTCGCAAACGCTATCATGGCACTAGACCCCGAGGTCGACATCGCCACGGGTAAGCATCTGTGGCCCGTCTTGGAAAAAGCAATGACTGGCAAAACGTGGGAAGGGAAAGAGACCGTGTTAAAAGCATTCGTGAAGTTTGCGGGTCAGGTAGCGAAACTCTGGCAGGAGGAGCCCCAGCTAGGTGACGCGATGAAGGTGTGTTGATTTTGAAATTAATCCCACCTCTTTACAACCTCGTTTCAGTACTAATGAATTACCCTCAGGCCATAGTAGTTCGTGAGGCAAAGCGCAAAAACCCTACGTATCGCCCGTACGCGCTGGTCGCCTTGGGCGGAGTCGCTCAGGCACGCAAAGATCTCGACCTGATGCCGGATGCCATAAGCATCGTTTCTCAAGTAGTGGGTGAGCTAGAGGATGAAGAGGATTCGATGGATATTGATTCCGGAAATGGACAAAAGTCCAAGTACGTTTGGAGTGCTTCAGCCTGTATTTTGTCTCTTACTTACTAACATGCTCCAAGGCAAACCACCGATAATACACTTGCGGCTTGTGTGAAATGCCTTCTACAATGCTTCAATCCAGCATCCCGTGGACCTACAGAAAGTAAGTCTCTGTACAGCTGCCTTCACGACGGTGCACTGACCCGAATCAAAGGCACCACCGGACATTTGCTGCAAACCAAGACGCTTCTTCACCGAGTGGTCCGCGGTGGCGGTAGAAACGTGCAGGTCACGTTGTATGAGCAGCTCCGCATGTTGTTCAATCGGTTAGAAGAATGGGCTCCAGCAGATGCAGGAGAGCCATCGCATCCGCGCGAATTACGAGAATCGCTAGCAGTGCTAGCGGAGGAGATGTTGTCCTGCGAGATAGATGTATCGGCCGAAGCCATCCGCATGGGGCGGGCGCAAGCAGCAGCCTCGTATGTTACTTTCAGTCAAAAGACCGGGCAGGAGGTCAATACAGCCCTCCCGGAACTGCTCAAGGGTTGGAGGGGGGCGGAAAGATCTGGACCGGTGCAGCAAATATTAGATCAGACACTGCGGAAACTCGTGTCGCCATGAGGTCTAAGCGGGGTTATCCGCGTTGCGGGGAGGAGTGAAGAGTGAAGACTAGGGCCAGCCAACTTTCTATCCGAAGAGAGAAAGTGAGGGGGGAGAGAGAGAGAGAGAGAGAGAGAGAGAGGAGGGGCGAAGCAGAGTACAGCTGGCGGGGAGGGGAATAAGAAACCCAATCAAATGCAACGTGGCGATTGTCAGGAACCCGGAAGGCGACTGCGAGTTATTCGACAGGGGTCGAAGGGTGCAAGAGACTAGAAGTTGAGGGGGTTTTCATTGGCGGTGCGCAAACACACATCGACACGGGGTGGCCGGTCGAGCATCGGAAAGTCGAGCTCCGCCTAGCTAGCCTCATAATGGATGAGAAGTGTGTCTGTCGAGCAGCAGATAGGGTTGAGGAGGCCAGACCGGTCCAGGCGAGTCTGCCATGGACGGCGTGACTGGAGGGGATTAGCGTGCGATAGTCCGGGACCTTAAAAGTAACTAGTTCGATGGTTAGCGAGTCAGCAATAAGCACCTCCACTACTACCGAGTGGTACTAGTCAAGATGCCTCGGACCCGACGGCCAGTCACCTGACCAGGGCCCCAGAAACCTGCCCAGTCAAGACTCAAGAGATGCATTTCTGCACTTTCTGCACTTCTGCAGTCATCATTTCCTACCATCCATCTCCCACACCCTTTTCTTCCGCTGGCCTCGGGGACTCCCGATCCCTCCCACATGGTTGGCATCTGCATCGCCTGATAATTATTATCTGTATAGTCACTACTCCTGGCCAGGTTGATGATCATCGTTGTATCTACCCCGTACACCATCTTCGCAGACAACGAACAGTGTCAAGCTAATCCCCCCCTTCCCCTTCTTCCCTCCTCCCTCCGAGGGGCAAACAACCTGGAAACGGTGAACGGCCCAAATGGAAGTTGCGCTCCATCTCCCGATTCGCTTGTGTCGCCTTCACCGTTTCGTGCCTTAAGGTACCTGAACGACCGCCACCAGCGACAAGGGCGAGCTGAACTGTTGGCGCGAACACCCTTTTCCCGCTCTCGCTTTTGACTTTACTTTATTTTACTTTATTTTATTTTAATTTATTTTTCTTTTTGGTATTTCTTTCATCGTTCAAGGGAAAAATCTCTCCTCTTCCTCCTGGGGAAACTGGGTGCCCCCCGGTACTTGTATCCGTATATAGATTTCTTCCCCTGTCTCTTCTCATCCGCATTTTTTATTTTCTTTTTTCCCCTAACCCTTCTATCCTTTTTTTTTGTGACGCCTGCGCCTCCTTTAGCTGCTAGAAATGTATATCCCACTATTTTCGTCTTAATCTTTTCCCGCCTCATCGTTCTTTATAAGTCTCTCCTCCCTCTCTCGAGTGCCCTCCTACTTTTTGAAGCCTACCTTATCTACTATTTTCTTGTCAGACGAAACCAACCGTACCTATCGTGGATATCACGTTATATCCGAACTTAGAATCATCAGGCCTAGTAAGAGAGATCCATCGTCTTCATACTTCTACGAAATCTCATGCTAATTAAATCTACAGAGGAAGGCCGATAACGATCATGCCGATCGTTAGTTTGGTCAAATCTACGCGAAGGGGCAGTTCGTCAAGAAAGCGGCCGCTCTGGTTGCCGATTATTGCCCCTAAAGATGATACAACAAGCTTTAGTCTTAGTCTCCCGGATCCCGCGCGAACAAAGGTTTCTCGACCCCGCGTACGATTCCCGCCGCGGTCAAGAACTGGTTGCTGGTATGTTTCATCAGTCGGTAGTCGGTGGGAAACACCTATACATCTGACGCTGATCCCTGGTTTTCTCTCTTTTTAGGACTTGCAGAGTGAGCTAGTCATTCTCTCCGAAACGACGTCGTTCGATGACCTGCAGCGTGCTAACTTGCCTGTTTGTCATGGTAGAGCCGCAAAGGTATGATAGCCTTGTTCATTTCCTTCCCTCTCTCTGCAGTCATCTAATCAGCCAACAGTTAAATGTGATGAAAGTCACCCTCAATGTAATGTATTAATAGACCTGTCCTCTCGTTGTCGACAAACGCCCAGGGTCGTTCACTGACCGGTACATTAGCAATGTACCCGGTTGGGTCACAGTTGCGACTATCGACCGCGTCTGTGCTTTCGCGACGATACGCGCCGAATCATGGAGCGAATGTCGGAAGTCGAGACAGCAGGTAACATAGTGTGGGATGGTGGGTATCCATTTTGCTCCTGGTTGGCCGTACTCAATGCTCATGCATGCGTTGACAGCCGACGTACCCCGCACTCATAAAAGCCCCATGGTCGATTCAGGTGATCACTTGCCCTCGTTTGAACTGCTCACCTCGGATGAGGATCGGGAAAGAAAAGCAGAAGCTTCTATTCCGGGGACGTATCATGTTATCGTGGTCCCAGGGAGTTTCGCTGATCTCCCGGAGTACACGGAGGGCACTCTTGAAAAGGACATAGGTGATCAGGTGTCGTATCCTCTTCTCATCAACGACGAAACGAGCCAAGCATGCCTTATCTCCGCTGGAGACGACCCAAATGTGGTGATTTTAAAAACCTTCCGAGATACGCGAAGACCATCGCCTGCCAACCGCAAATGCTCGGCGCAGCCCCTGGACTCTGACTCTCAGAGCTCTTCAATCCGGACCCCATCCACCACGTCAAGCGTCCAGGCCATTGCGCATGACAATCTACAGGCGTGGCCAGAGCCCGAGAATAGTGATGGTTTATTATTTCGACATTTCCGTGACGTGGTGTGGGCTCAATTGATTCCCGAGACGACCATGATTGATTGTCCGAGCGGCAGTTACAGGTTAGGCTGGGAAGTTTTCGAGCAAGAAGCGACGAGGTCCTCTCGTGTACGTGGAACTCTGTCTATACCGCTGTGCTGCACAAAGGTCTAATGGGTCACGCCGGCAGCTATACTACGCAATGTTAGCGATATCTGCACTTAGCTTGTCCCGTCAAGGCAATGGCCACAATATGGACGCCTCGCAGTATTACCACCCAGCCTTGGCTGCCGTACAAGCCGAACCCTCTGGAGATGACGATCTCTTGTCGGACGAGGTTTTGCTTACGCATTTTCTGCTACTTGTCTATGAGGTTAGGCCCTAGGAAATTGCCACTGATAAGCGGGCCGACTTTCGCGGACGAACTGACTTTCTGGTGAATAGGTTGCAGCGGCCAATCTCGACGGGTTGCATGTACGGTCCTACGTCACATCGCGCTTGCTACACATAGTACATTTACGGCAGTCAACCTACGGGATTGAAAGGTATCCTTTCATACTCTGGTGGGTTTTCTATATTGATGCATACAGCCTTCTCGGCGGTACGGGGACGGGAGAGTTTGCCAAAGCAGCCATCGAAGGTCACTTACTTCCCGGCGCAGACTCCTTCTTCTGTCCTAGTTTCTCCGAGACTTCATGCTTGCTCTATCCCGAAGAGCGGGACAATTTATTCATGATATCTTGCTTGCACCGTGAAGTCCTGGCGCTCACCGTCCGATCGGGGCTCTTTGCCACCGATTTAAGAAACCACACGGTGTCTTACCCGAACACGCATTTGAGCGCACGACAAGGTGCCGAGGAGCTGCGCAGCCAACTCCGCGGTCTTTGGTTTTCCCCTGAAATGCGCTTTTTGATAGATAACCGCCATCTTCTCCGAAAGCAACTGCAATATCTCCTGCAACAGGTAGGCCTAGCATTTTGTTGAGTGCGTGATTTCTAGAGCTGACATCATATGAAATCAGACCCTATTACTATTCCACGCCTCCTTCCTTTTCTCCTTTGTCGGCCTTTGGCCCGAGCAGCGCCTTGCAGCAGACTTATCGGCCATCAAGGATGAGCAAGGGGAGATACAACACCACGCAGCCATGGTGCTTGAGCTGGCCGAGGATCTGGGTCATGGGGCCCAAGAAAATCATCGGCATATCATTATCTTTCCTGTCTTTCTAGCGGGCACCGCGGTGACGTCCAGTGGGCTCAAGATACGGGCATGGGAGTTGCTTTCAAGCCTGGAGGAAGAAGAGCTGGGGTACCATGCATCCTCAACCTGTCATCAACTGCAGTTGGTGTACGAGCAACAGATGCAGCAAATTCGAAACGGGCCTGGAGAGGCCCCGTCGGTCAACTGGATTGAGCTGCTGACAGAGCGAGGGGGTGCCGGGGCCCATTACGAATGAATAGCGAGGACATGGGGATCTATGGAAACCATATATAATGAAGACATGTGTAAATAACGTGTATATGTAAACGAATCAAGGAGCGAGTCATGAAATAGTTAGGGTGAGCGCACAGTGGCCTCAGGCAGCGAGACGTGACTTCCTCTTCTTTGGTCTTCCGCCGGCGGGCCGATCCTTTTCTGATCCACCATCTTATCTTCTGCTGCCATCGCCGTCAATATCATTTCATCACATCTCGCTCCAGGCAGCGAATTTCTCTCATTCGCCGTCCGTCTATCTGCCCCTCCAACAGTGGCGCCAAGTCCGTCGGGTCGCTGTTGAGCCAATGATGATGGAGAAGCGTCTAGTACTGCACCAGGCCCGGCGGCTAATCGGGAGTGGGATGAGGATGCCATGCCATAGGATGTGACGACGCGACGAAGGCCTTCTTTCCCTCCTCCTCCTTCTCCTGAACTTGACTGTGTGTCCTTCGGCGAAGGCTGGGAGTCCTTTTAAATCTTCCTCTGGCTTCCTGTCCTGCCGTGTCCTGCTCTGCTTACCTTGGAACTACCATTTCTGCGCATCAATCACTTACGGAGTAATTAAGACTCCCCGCATCTGTTCGTTCACCTTGCCCTCCCCTCCCTCCCTCCTTCCCTCGTCGCTCGTTTCCTAGTCGGGGGGCCAGCCTATGGTCACGCAGTGCCTGTTGCCGTCGTGAATCTTTGCTCTGTTTCTCCCTCTTTGCTAACCGTATCATCTTCCCTCTTCACTCGACTAGACCAGGCCCTAAGATGGATCCTAGCGGCAGTCGTCAGGGCAGTCGTTCGCAGGAGGAATTATTTCTCGGTAGCTCCTCGGGGAGACCACCTGTCGAATCGCCCGTTGTTGGACCGCTACGGATCAGCAAAAGAGACACACCGTCACCCGCCCCGCAAAGTGCGCCTCTTCCTTACCCGGATGACCGACTGCGGTCCCAGCAAAGGCACAGCCCAAGCCCGACGGCCGAGAGTGGGTGGCTGGGCGGCTCCTCCACGCCGGTGAACAACATAACGGCGATGCCGGCTGGCTCCGGCACACCAAAGCCCGAACATCCGGCAGCGTTGCGACCGAGAGACGGCCGCGAGCCTAAGCAGGTAACCCTGGCTGAGCGACGCGGAAATGCGCCGAAGCCGTTGCCAGAGTCCCCCGCAGGAGATGCACCACCCGACAGAGAAGGATTGTTCAGCAGGAGTTACCACCACCGGGCCCAAGTACCGCCTCCTCCCGTGAACGGAAACGTGAACGGGAATCGGAGCGATAGAGAGGCCTACCAAGATTACCGACAGGCGTATTGGCCGCCTCCTGAGCCGGAGGCTTTGCCCGGACACTCAATCAGACCATCACCGGCACAGAATCTGCAACCTCCGAACAGCGCCATAAATCGAATCAGTTCGACGGCGTCGACCTCGACGACGCGCGCCCAGAGAGGATCGCCACCGCCGCCGGAAACACCTATCTACGAGCCCGGACAACAACCGGTATCCGACATCGAAGCGCGATATGCAGCCTCCGGCATCGCAGGTACGTCGACGCTGTCTGGGTTGCAGGCTCAGAGTGCTGCCGCTCAAAGCAGAGCAGAACAGTATGCAGGCCAGCAACCCAGGACCCAACCACCATTTCAGAGGCCATGGACGCCTACAGAGCAGCCTGGGTCCCAGCCGCATGGACCGCCAACCGTCTATCAGGGTGCTGAGGTCGTCTCTACGGAGAATCCTCCAGCCCACTCCTATACGCCTCAGCCAGCTGCAACCCCCTCGCAGGCCCCCGCGGCCCAACATCCCTCAAGAATCCCCCCTAACGCTCTGGAGCAAGACCTGGAGCGGATGCGCATCAGTTCCTCCCCTCCTCCTGCCTACTCAAGTGTGTCCGGACCAGCCGTCGCCCAGGGGTACCCGAACGAAAAGCACCGTAACCGTGTACCTGCGCCGACCGGCCAGCCAGTCCCGTCCGCAGTACATCCTGCAACGATGACTCCCGGAGAGGTTCCAGCTCCTACTCCCGCCCCGCTCTCTTCGGCGCAGGATCACCCTGCTTTTGCCAATGAGCTGCGACAACAGCAGCCGCCCGGACAATCACCCACAAACGATATTGCGCAGGAACCGCAGGGGGCACAGAATGGTCATCAATCGGCGATTCAGCAGACCCAAGTCAATGCATTGCCGACGCCTTCAGGAATCCCACCAGCATCACCGCCACCTCTTCCGGAGGGGTGGATTGCCCACTTGGATCCTAACTCGGGACAGTACTACTACATCCATCTTCCTACGCAATCAACCCAGTGGGAATTCCCCAAAGGTCCCACGCCACTGAACCTAAATGAGACGCCGTTGTCCCCGACTGCAAGCGTTTACAGCAGTCATCCTCTAACGTCGCCCGGCCTGTCGGCCTTTGGCAAGCCTCTGACATCTCCTGGTCTCCCTATGACCCCCGGATACGAGAGCTTGCAATCGCCCGTAGTGGCCGGGTTTACTGGTCCACCCCCAAGCAGCGGTGTCGATTTGTATAAGGTAGCTCCGACCAATGGCGTATATTTTGGCCCATACCTTCGCTATACGAATATGGACGTGGAGCGTGGTGTTTGGCTCGGTTCGATTTTGCTGGTCACCGATGCAGGGCAGCCGCCAACAATTCACATGCACCAAAGTGTTGATCTTTCTCCCAATCCCCGGCAATTGAAGCCACTTGCCATTTCCGTCCATCAGCGGTGGACCTTTTACAAGTATGACGTTGACTGTCAGATGGACGATTCGGGCCCTGCTAAGTGGACCTACGCCATTACCTCCCACCTGGGGTGTACCCGCTACGAGTTTCTGGTGGCGGGACGATATGAGACTAACTGGCGTTTGATCACAACATCTGGAAATGACTTCTCGCTCAACGTAAATGCAAATGAGCGGTCCCGCCTGGGTGGAGCAGGTTTGATGTGGAAAGACATCATGCAGAAACACATTGAGATTGGTGGTTTTCACACACAACTTTCCCTAGGAGGCCAGATCTATGCAGATCGGATGTGGAAGGAGATACCATCACTCAAACAGTGGCTTACAATCAAGGGCAAGGAAGCCAGGAAAAATGCGCCTTGGACTGCTGCCCACGAGGAAGATGTTTCTCATGCGTACTTCCATTACTACACGAGCCACTTTGACCAGCCATACCTGAGAGAATCTTTCGCACAGATTCCTTATGTCTGCCAAATCGATGATCACGACATGTAAGCGCCCCTCTCTTTTCTCCTTTCTCCTGATTTTCTTACCCAACTTTAACCTCATAAACCCGAGGCTAATGCTGGCTTCCCAAAATCAGATTTGATGGGTTTGGGTCCTATCCCGAGCACATGCAATTCTCAAATATGTTCAAGAATATAGGTCGAATTGGAATAGAAATGTATCTCCTCTTTCAACATCATACGACGTTGGAGCTGCTCCGCAATGTCAGTACAGACACCGACTTGTTCACCATAACCGGAACTGGCTGGCATTTTGTCAAGTATCTCGGGCCGGCAGTGGTCGTTGTCGGTCTCGATTGTCGATCAGAAAGAAACCCTCACCAGGTTGTGGCCGGACCCACGTACCAAGGCATATTTCCCAAGGTCGCAATGCTACCACCATCCGTACAACATTGTCTGTGGATGATCTCGCTGCCTATCGTCTATCCCCGGTTGGAGACGGCCGAGCATATCGCCCATACAGTTGCTACCGGCAAGCGGGCGGTTACGGGGGCCTATAATGTCCTTGGGAAGGTAACCAGTTCTGTGGCCGGTGTGGTCGGCGCAAAGGATATGGTCGGCTCGGGATTCGATTCGGTCAAGCGTGCCGTGGGGAAGTCCGGGCTCATGGGGGGTATTCTGAGCCCGTTTGGCGAATTCGACATGCTTGACGAGCTTCGAGATCAGTGGACGCATGAATCCAAGGTACGTAGATCCCACCTCTTCGGCCGACCTGTCATCATTCTTACTGATCTCTTTGTACAGGACCTTGAGCGGACCTACTTCATCCGCACTCTACAGGGAATTGCACATCAGAAGGCCCTGCGCATGACCTTCCTCTCCGGCGCGGTTAACGTCTGCGGCGCGGGTTTGGTGCACGACCCTGCGCATCCCTCCGACCATAAGACGATGTATCAAATCATCTCCTCGGCCGTGGTGAACAGCCCTCCCCCTTCGTACATCATCAAGCTCCTCCACGGCAGCAATAAACCTCTCTACGTTCCTGCCAATGGCCACCGCTCTACGCCTTCACAGCCTACCGATACGAAGGAGGATATGATGGAGATATTTCAATCTGACGTGAACGGTCAATCTCGGGAGCACCGGAAACTGATGGGTCGTCGAAATTACGCTGCCATAGTGGCTTACGATCCCGATGCCGTCAACCCGACGTATAACCAGCACGCAGTCAGACTTGGGGGCCGTAAGCTTAACCTTGCCGTCGATTTTATGATTCAAGGCGAAGGCACGTACGGCACCGTAGTCAAGTACGGTCCGGTCATTGTTCCCAACCTGGACCACGGCAAATGAAATGGCCGAGGGAATCACCGTTTCGATCATCATCCTCTCTTCATCCTCTTTCCCTGAATCCGATCTCCAGTCTTGTTTTTTTTCCTTTGCTTGTTCTTGCCTGCATTCTTCATACCTCTGTAGTTGAGGTTTATCTTTTTCTTGCTTTCTTTCTTTCCTTCTTTTCTGCACGTACAGCTTTTGGGGAGATGGACATTAGCTACATAGCTTCATTGATTTCAGTTCTTAGGCTCATCGCCCATGGGTTGAATTTTACCTACGAGTAGTATGATTGCAGCATTGAGACTAAGCGCGCTCGCCCACGTAGTTACTTGAACAAACTTGACTAATGCATCGACACCGCCAGTTAGGCTATGGTAAGTACATACATAGTATCTGCAACCGCACAGTTTAATGGAGAAACGTCCTTGCATTCGTTTCCAGACCCAAAGCTGAATTGGGATTCTATTCATGCAGCCCATGCCTTGCTTTCACGGCCACAACATGATGCGGGTGGATTCCAGGATGATGTACTCGTACAGCATATGCTGATCGCGAAAGAAGGATAAAGGGAACTCTTTACTGTCCTCCTGCTACATCATGGCGCATGCTACGTGATTCACGGGTCAGTCAATTAAAATGGGGTACTTCGCCGGGAGCAAACAACAGAGAGGTCACCATGGAGTCTCGGTCCTATCCCTTCCCCGTCGGATCCCCACCGGGAACGCAAAGGCCCAGGCGCCAGAAATAGTCCCGATGGGCGAAGAACAGCTCCCATAGCCGATACCTGACGGGGACACGGTCCCACGGCCAATGGAATCGTGACTGCTGCGGTTCCTGATGTTGCTGAGATCCTGGGGTCGGCGGTCTCAACACTGCCTGGCCGGCCGGATACCACCAGTCCGGCTGTCGTTGGCCCTCCATGAGAAGGGACCTCACTTCACGTAGCGCGAATTCCTGAGCAGCCTGTGATCCGGATATACACCGACTATCATTGCGGCCCTTGCAGAGTGCCACATCCGACGGCGACGGCGACAGGTCCACCTTGGAGATAAACATCTCCCCAGCGTGCATCTCGTACCCCCATTTCGCCAGAGGTAGGAGAGGCACGGGATCACGCGCGTGGGTAACTCTGCGAAACCGCCATCGTCGATCATCAGACCCCCGTTCGTCGGCGTCGTCGTGGAAGCCAAAAGCGGCGTCGAGGAAGCGGACAAAGTCCCCGTTCCCGACCTTCGGCTCCCCAAAGGTGGTCACCTGCGGGTCCCACCCGCGGAGTCGCATCTCGAGCCCGGCCAGCGCGGCAACCGCCCCGCCAAGCGAGTGGCCGACCAGGACCAGCTCGTACTCCGGGAATTGCTCTCTAGCGGCGGCGACGTGCCGCAGGACGGTCGCGCGAGTGTTCTGCCACGAGGTCATGAATCCAGCGTGCACCGTGCAATTCCGACAGCGCGGGGGCTGCTCGCCTCCTCCACGTCCATCTCCGGCATCGTAGGGAACGTAGGCCTGCGGGTACGCCGATAAGTCGACGATGGTGTTGGCCACGGAGTAGGTGCCGCGGAACGCCACCACAATGCGTTTCGACGAGGGGGCGTGGGAGAGCGCAACGTAACCACAGGAATCGGAGAGTAGAGGTCCCGTATTCCACGACTATCGGGACGAGCACGAGGAAAGATCTTTCAGCACTCGTGTCAAGTTAAGTAGACCCATAAACTTACGGCGATCAGCTCGAATCCGCGGAGTTCAGCACAGTGGCTTAGACATTCGAAAGGCTTCTGTATCCCCGTGTTCCCAACGCAGTAGGACACGTCAACGACACGTGCGAGTTCTTCCAGGGAGGCGAAAACGGTGGGGGAAACGACGCGGTTGAATTCCCCGGGATGATCGAGCGCATCGGGGAGTGAAGTGGAGCGACACAGCCAAGGGAGGTATATCCAAGCAAACAAGAGGGTCCAGAGGTGGTCAAAAGCCATGGTTGTGGTAGAAGCCAGGACCTCTCACCGGCATTGTGGGCATCGCTTCACCTTATTTTCCCCTGTTCTTTGGGATCGTTGGGGAGCGTGGAAGGGGCTCGTGATGCTGCAAGTTGAGTTTCCAAAGATGGTAACCGCCTTGGCGTCACATGTGCCTACTATTTCAGCTTAGGGCTATTTAAATTAGTATTGTCTACGGAGTACTCCGTACCTAGACTCTCTTAAATTCCATTTCTCATGCGGATTGCATTCTACTCTGACGTGCACTATATATGCACAATAGTATACAAACAGGGGCTATATCTCTGCAACCATTAGTCCACCGGCCAACTCTTCCAGATAGAGAAAGCGTGTGGGAGTTTCCCCCGTCTGTATTGGCCTCTCTGTTTGGTCTTCAGGGGAATAACAGGAAAATGGGCACACTACCCCGTATGCTAGCAGGTATGCTTATCCGAAATGCCGGAATTGATTTATTCTTCACCCATTATTGCATGCTATGGGTCTTATCAAGTTCTGTGTGCTAACGGTGGTTCAAATACAGTGACAATTGTAAGGGTCTCTGGACACACAGTGACTGCGACCCCGAGACATAGTCACTATAAATCAAATCCCCCATTTGTAAGTCGCTTAAATTCCAGAAGTATTACGCTACTGCTCATAATACTAACGGGTGGGTTCTAAAATGTTGGTTTAGAGTTGGTTGCGTTGAGTTACAACAGACATAACACATGGTGTCGGAAACTACCTGAAGTACTCCGTTAGATGGTCCAAACAACCACCCGTCCGTCAACTCCGCTGGCTGTGTTCCAACAGTTAGCCCAAAGTCATTCCTTGCTGGCTCCAAAAATAAGATGGCCAGTACAGCAAGATGCGAGGAGGGGCTGACTTACTGCTAAACTTTCGGACGGCCCCGCCGACTTCTTCGTAGACCCTGACAGTGCTAATGGTGTTCTGGTGAACCGATTTGAGCTGCGTGTCAACTTGGGCCTGTCCCTTAAGGTCCATCTGGCGGAACATGTTCAGGGCCGACTCCTCCCGGACGCTCCCGGCGCCGGATCCTGCCTTGTTTTCAATGGTTCCAACAAACTGCCATCCACTCTCATTACCACGGAAACGGTACGGCTCGCAATCCTGGGGCCAGGGACGTTAGTAAGGTGTGCAAACAATGCCATCGACAAACTGAACAAGGGAGTCTTACGTGACCCGCAGCAATGATCTCTTCCTCTCCATTCCAGATTAAGCTGTTGAATGGCAAGAGGCGGGTGGTGATGTTCAACATGGCCCGCGGGGGTTGCTCCGGTGCACTGGGGTAGACAACCGTCACGCTGCTGTCGTGCCCGGTGAAAGCAAGAGCATTTCCACTTGGGGAAAAGCACACTCCGTGAATCCATCCCGCGGAGTCGTTCAAGAATTCGCCACAGATAGTGTTGAACGGGAGACGCTCTCCCCAAGCACTGGGTTCGGGCCGCGTGTCAACGCCCTTGATGTAACTAGAGAGAACCCGGGCGTGCGAGTCGGTGGATCCGGCAGCGAGCAGAACGGAGTTCGGGTGCCAGGCCAACGTTGTGATGGTGCTTCGAATAGGCTTCTTCAGGTGCTTGGAAATCCACCAGTCGTTTTCCTCCTCGAAATAGCATACCGCAATCACGCGGGCCCCCGAGCCGACAGCGAATTTCTGCTCATTAGGAGACCACCGCACGAAGGTCGCGGCCCGGTTGATTCGAAGAAGAACCAGCGTCGGCTTCCAGCCCGAGGCCGTTCGTTCCCAAACGTAAGCGTTACGGTCTAGATGCAGAGGTAAGCTAGGCAGCTGCGCTTCGGGGTCTACTCCGTACGTGGGACTAACCCTGCGAGCAAGTAACGATGCGGCCACTGTTAGGGGCGATGTCAACGCCCGTGACAATTTTCTCATGGCCCTTCAACTCATCGGTCAAGGAGAATTTGTTCCCTGCTCTCTGATAGAGCTCCACATTGCTGTCCCGCGCAACCGCTAAGGTGTTCTTATCCGACGAAAAGGAGTGGTCGGCGATTGGGTTGTGAAACAGATGGTGGACTTCCGGGGCAGGCATTGTAACGTAATCGGTAGGAGCAGCTCTCTACTACCGTTCAGGAGGGAAGAATGGGAGTAGAAAAGGAGGTGGTTTGATTGCAAGAGTTTATCACTGGGTAGGTGCTGAACGGGGGGAGTCCAAGGCCGCGGGACCACCGATGACGCGGGAGGCAGCTAATACTATAGGTGTATCACGTGATACACCGTCCCGGGGCCCTTGGCAAGGAGCGCAACGAGGCGAGAGAGAAGCTTCCATTTGACCCGGGGAAAAGAACACCTGCGTCTCTCGACTCCCAAACCTCCACACCCTCCCCACAAAAGCAATGTCTTCAACGGCCACTCTTACAACGCGTAGAGGTACGCAAAGTAAACCTGCTACCTCCGGTGTCCCAAATCAAACGTCAGTCCTCCTTCCTTCCCTCGGTCGAAGAAAAATTGCATCGGAGATTCTGACGAGATATTTAGACTATACTGTACCAATCTTCCAGACAAGCTACACAAATATGACCTACGGCTCTCGCTCTATACCCTTTTCTCTACCTACGGGACCGTTCTGGATGTGGTGGCCATGAAGACCAAGAAGATGCGCGGACAGGCTCATATCGTGTTCAAGGATGTCCAGGCCAGTACGCAAGCAATGCGAGCGCTTCAGGGGTTTGAATTCTTTGGCAGACAAATGGTAAGCGCCACACTTTGGTCCAAGTTCACAGCGATCATCCACTGATGCCGGAGCTACAGAAAATCGTTTATGCGAAGGGCACTTCGGATGTGATTGCCAGGCTCCGCGGAACATACAATATCGCACCTTCGGGTGCTGCAGCTCAAGCTGGAGCCGCCTCTTCGGATCTCCAGAAGTCCATTTTCAGCGGACCCCCGGGGTCAGCGGCGCTACCGCCGAAACCTACCGGGGAGGTTAACGGCGAACCCCAGGCAACCCAAGGAGTCAAGCGGCCTCGCGAGGAGGAAAGTGACGGGGGAGAAGCGCCGATGGATGAGGACAGCGATGTCCCGATGGAAGCCTCCTCAGATGAAGATTAGGCTATCTCAATCATGGGGAACTATGATCACCGAGCCGACGTAAACCCGGGAAAGGGACGGGAGAGAAATGGAGGAAGGGGAGGGACCACTCCCTAAGGTTGTCTGCTTCAGTCACTCAATGCTATGTCTAGGGATTTGTGCTTGCTCATTGCTCTCTATTCCTAAGGAGCTCACTTGGCAAATGGAGACCCAGGTGATTACCTATCAGCCCAAACCAGATAATGAGATACGTCTCGGGCGTAACGTTCTGATGCCCCGCGATCTGTCTCATTGCGTCTGGCGTGTTGCATGGATGAACGAAGAAAACGGGGGTATTGGACTGTGGGTGGTACTACGGAAATATGAGCTCTGGCACACGGGAGTAGGGATTCTCGGGGATTTGTCCGCTGCACCTACGCCAAGACTAATGCCGCCCATGACACCGACTGCTTGAAGCTCCTTTCTGTACTGGTCCGCTACGAGGTAATGGTAGACTGCGTCTATCTCCATCGGACCGGGATGGTTACCCCGCCGCAGCATAAAGTATAGAACGGGTACTTGGTACGTGGGGGAAAGGAGGATCTCATAATCTACCTGTAGAGTGGCGTTGGAATCGGGGGGGCGAACGATGGCCTCCTGTGGGATAATTATCAGAAAGACAGTCCGAGTGTGCAATGCAATGGGATACAAGTCACGAACAAGATCGTCCTCGGTAGCCTCCAGTTGCGTTTCCTCGGGATCTACGGGGCTTGCGGTGTCGCATGGACGCAACCCGACATGGTCAATGTTCCGCGAGATCTTGAGAACCGGGCCGACAGACTGAGCATAGACAAATTAGAATGGAGGGGAAGACCAAGTTCAAGGGATTACCGGCGGTCGACTGCTCGCACGTCATTGAGGAGAGATACCTGCTGTGTCAGCCGAATGGACGACCACCCCACGGTTGAGGTGCCCACCGCGTGAACACGGGCCACAAACGCGCGACAGGCGTCTTGAAACTCCTCTGGCGAGAGGGAGGGAAAGGCGAGGAGGGTCGGAGCAGCCATGCGACCGGGGTGGGGGGAACGAAGACGCGGTGTAAAACACAGCCAGACTGACTTGACCGACAGGAGATTGTTGCATTCATGACGATTGACGCTGACTCCGCCAGCTGCCACACCGATTCGGGCCCACTAAAGACTAAGCTGTTCTCGGAATGGAGATCGTTTGCAGCCGTCGGAGTACTCCGTATTACTACCTTCCTCCTAGTTGCTAGGTAGTAACTAAGTAGGTAGGCTGCTACATGTGAGTACAGAGTACTTGGTAAACTCAGTAGACTCCGTAGACTTCGTAGATAGATCGATAGATTGATAGATAATCCTCAATAATCAATAGTTAGGTAGTGATTCATCAAAGTAAGGTACCGTACTAATACCCACTAGTTGATCCGCTAGTGCTCTTCCGGACTAGCCCGCCAATCGTGTCCCGATCCGGTCAAGCCGTACTTTACAGGTACAGTACTCCGTAGGTACCTAGGTACTCCGTGTATACAGAGTATCCAGGAGGTACACGGAAGTACCTAACGAGTTGTCCTTCTTCCTTCTCATCGTTTCATCCTTTCTTTTGCTTTTTCTTTTTCAGAACCACCCACTTCACTCCATCTCCCTCTCCCTCTCTCTCTCTCTCTTCCCAACTCGATGACTTGCTTTCTGTCTCGCTACGCGTTTCTTTTTCTATCTTTTGCTGTTTTTTCATTTCCTTCTTGGGCGTCTCAACCTGCATAAACTATGTAACGCTCGATCTGTCCGCATTCGGCCTTGATGTCGTGGATATCCACCCGGATGGTTGTTTTACATGGCACTTACACCACAATGGCCTTGTCAATCGGGTTTCCATCTTAACTTTCTTCGCCCCCCGACCGCAGTCGGTCTCCCCCCATCGCCTTCCAGCTCGTGCCAATTCCGTCCCATCTACGCATTCGTCACTGCGCTGTCTGTCGCATCCTCCGCCAAAGCCTTGGGCTGTCTCGCCCTCTGTTCCCTACCTCCTCTTCCCCCCACTTCTCTTATGTAGTTGGGGTTTTCCGTTGCGCTTCCCCCATGTCCCCTTGAGCTCGAACGTGTCTTTTATGGCATCTCTCGTCGAGTGATTAGCCTTTGGGTATCCGCCGCTGCTACCGTCGCTGATCTCGCTCTTCTCCCTCGGAGCTCTCTCTTGCATTACGTCTCGATCTGTTCCTGCGGGTGAGATTCGAATTCACCGTCCTTTACTTCCTCCTTATTGCCCGTCTTTCTGCCTTCCTTTCTTTCATTTTCTCGCACTGCTTGGGGGGGTGGGATCTTTCTCCATTTGCGATCTTCGCTTGGTCACCAGCTACTTGTCCGGGTCACAAAGACGTTACTCGACATTCCATTTGAGTGTTAACACCATTGGAAAACGTCCATGAGCGGCCTGTGGTGGCCTTAAGGTCTTGCGCTGTGCTTGGGCTTCAAGTTCGCCTTCAAGTCATGGGAAGCTTCTTCTCTATTCAAAGTAGAGACAAGCGCCGCCGCTCAAACCGGCTCTCCAAACCGCCTGCTAACAGCAAACCTGCTTCGCTCTCGGCCAATTCGCCTCGACAACCCCTTAGCCCTAGCTCTCCGATAGCTTCCTCTTGGCAAAATCCGTGGACTGGGGTTTCCATCCCGGTTACTTCTTCTGATTCGGAGCCCAAGGGGCGAAGATCGCACTCGTCTGCTTCTGCCTCGCTGCAATCTGATCCGCCTTGGAGGTCAACCAGCAAGACAAAGCGGAGCAACTCCAGTGCCAAAGAGCCAAGTGATTGTCGCGTCCAGCCTTCGCCGACTTCCAGTCTTAGTACCTCGGGCACGCTATCACGACGGGCCTCGTTTCAGCCTCAACGGCAGCCTGCCTTCCAACCTGCGTTCGTATTGAATGGGCCTAATTCACACTGGCCATCACCAGGCCAACCAAGAAGATCCTACTCGGTTCAATCGCCGCCACGAAGAGCGAAGAGTACGGTGAACGCGAGCAGTATCGAAGAAGCAACCTCCTCCAACACTCATTTCCTCGTTGACAGCCAGGGGTTTTCCTTGATCCGCCGACGCTCCCTCTTAACGAGGCCCGGAATTGCTACCAGACGATCAACAAAAGATGCCGCTCGACGATGCCCCTCACCAATCAAACAAGAGCCGGCGACCACATCCACTACCGTCAATGAGACCTTGCGTCCATCTCAGCGGCCGTCGTCGAGCTTGCAAGACACCGACTGGAGATATCAACTTACACTCTCACAACTACGACCACAGACGCCAAACGATTTTGAGTACACGCATTTGGGGGCTCTCAAGCTAGGTTCACTGCGCGTAGTGAACGCCTCCACGTCTCCATGCCCCAGCGACCGGACCCGGCTTAATGGACCTCGCAGTCGCACTCCAGAGGCCTGTTCTGACGTAATGCATCACATAAGATCAAGTGATACCTTAGGCGAGCGTCAAATCTCGGAAAGTGCTGCATCCGTTTCTAACTACGTCGACGTTTCTGGAGACTGTCGCCCTGGCATGATTGACGGTGCTGAACGAACAGACCATAGACCCTCGCTCGGTCAGCAATGTCTAACAACTCGGCGCAATAATGCTGCACCAAGTTCCGCGTTACTTACTCGGCCATTTTCTCCCGATGGAAGTTGCGACGAGCCACCAGCAAGTCCACTTTCTTACGAGATGTCACCAACAACCATGATTTCAAAATTTGGCGAGAAGGAGCCCGAAGACAAAGGTGCCCTTGCTGACGATAATCAAAGCCCCTTGCCTTCTCGCTTTGATAAAACCACTCATGGGGGACTACTGGAGACGAGGCAGTCAGTATCACATAAACAGGTCGACAGCGGCTACAGCTCCACGGCGTCGGTTCGATCTCTGCAAGCCAGCCGCGCCGGATCATCTTTCGACTCCCAGTCATTTACACAACGGCAGGCACTCAGATATCGCAGGTTTACGTTTGGAGGGAACGCACGAGACGCTAGTGGGCAAGAGATAGGGGAATTATTCGGGCTCGGAAACACGTATCCTGCGCACCTTCCCCCACGGCTTCGGGATTCTAAGATGAGATACAAGCTTGAATCCGGGGGTTGGTCGATGTCTATGTGCCACGAGTCGCCCCTAAAGCCATTGAATGGACGTGTAAGGAGCCTATCCTACACAGGCCCACCGCCCTCAACCAGGATGGAATCACTTCCTCGATACTGCGCCCATCTGCGCAGTCAAGAATCTGCTTTTACTGAAACGACGGCACCATTGAAATGCCAGGATACCACAATATTGGATGCGTTGATTTCAATGCCGGGTCTACAGTCTTTGGGTGGTAACTTCGAGTTTGACCTTGAGTCTGGTCTAGATCACGGTTGGGCGAAAAACACCCAAACAAAGCCTAAGGCTTCCGACGAATCAGATTACATGGGCTCTGTCATGGCTGGAACTCGCAGAGCGGTATCTGAGAACCGATCCGGGCAAGAGAGTGGCCTCGATAATCCGCGATTCTACAGCCGGGCAAGCAAGATTGTGTGTGCAGATTCAGCTGCTGAGAAGCACCCTGCAATAACAACTCTAAGCACCTCGCAATCAGTCAAGAGTGAACGTTATGTTGACATTCCACGGGGGAGACCGAGGTGCCGGAGTGTTGAATACCAACGTCGCAGGTTGTCCAAACAGCAAAAGCGTCCAAATATCTATGCAGCCGCGTCTCCCTTTGCCTTTCATTGATATCTATATATAGTATATGGCTCTTGCCTCCCTTGCCCGATCTTTTCCTTCTGTCCCCTCCTCCCGCCTCGCTCCTTTTCTTTTCCTTCTTTCTTCTTGTGGATTTGTACTTTCTTTTTCTCTCGTTATATTCATTGTCTTGGCGTTGGGGTTGCACGAGAGTTGCTGAGAAATTTTGGTGCAGCTATGGATATACCCCATTTCGATGACTCGATGTGTTTCCATATTCTATCGTTGAATATCTCATTTCTTTTCATTTGTTACATCTTTCTTTATTACGAAAACAGTCGATACGCAGCTAGGTGTTTGGGTCAAAAAGTTTTGTTGAGTCAAAGATGTGTGTCCCTTGTTGTGGCCATTCCCTCGTACACGCCTGAGGCGAGAATATGTAGCCCGACAAATGCTATTTATTTCTAGTCAATTGCAGCTTCTGTTTTTGAATTGCATGTGCACACATATACTACAATAAAACGCGTGGCATGAGAGGTATTCCTACGGACATAGAACTACTTTCTTTAACCTGTGGGTTACATACTACGGCACTTTTACTTTATAGCGAGATGATCTACGGCCGTATGATGTCAATGAAGTAAGAGCTTTCTAGATTCATTAATGCTAATGGCGTAACTATTCGTACATGCTGACTGTGTGAGAGAAAGAAGAGAGCAAAAACAGAAGAGAAAGCAAAGAAAGCCAACTGATACGAAACCGTTCCGTACACATGCGCCAGAAAATGAAATGAAAGCCAACCTAAAAATCCAGGAGCTGAGGACAGGTGGACACATTCAGCATGATTCTTCTTCGTTTACTCGACCCGGATCTTCTTCAACTTAGGAGCGGGCTCCTTGGGAACAATGACTGAAAGAATTCCGTTTCTCAAGCTTGCCCTGACTGTTTCTTGATCCACCCGGGTTGGGAATGAGAACGTTCGTTGAAATTGACCAATGGAGCGCTCCGACGCCCAGTATTTGTAGGTAGAGCCGGGCTTGCTTGGTGCGGCTGCTGGATGAGAAGTGGATGCCGTGGATTCAGGGGTCGCTGAGGAGTTCAGTTCGTCTTCGTCTTCAACTGTGGGCTGAAGGGACTTGTTGGAGGAGGTGTCATCGGCAGGCTCATCGACGCTTTCGTTGGCGTCGGATGCTGTGTCATTGTACTGCCGTTCGACCTGACCCTTGATGACTAGGGTGTGAGGGTCGGTGAATTCGATATCGATGTTGTTCTGGTCAACGCCCGGCAGTTCGCCGTCCAGATGATAGCTGCCATCCTGCTCGTAGACGTCGAAACGAGGACTGAACGAGCGGACGGGTCTCACTCGGCTCTTGGGGCTTCTGGATCGATGCACATCGTAATCATCGAGTAGGTGGAACAAGGGCGAGAAGCCACTAGAAGAGCAAGGGAAGAAAGCCATGGCGAAGATTGAGGACTCTTAAGACGTAGATGGAAAGAGTATAGATGAGGAAGTATGTAGTAGGTAGGTTGATGGGATGGTCTTTGTTGTTGGGACTTTGACTTGGAGATGATGGAAGGAAGCTCTGTCAAGGAACATTATCGTTCTTTTTATACAGACAACACTCTATTCTAGAAGCAAATGGCACTGCCATGGTGTAATACTACTTCCGTAAGCAATCGAATGCGCCGGCAGGGCCTCGTAGCGAGTGGACACTGCGGGACGGATCTGGGAGCTTCGATGCGATGACGGAGACGCGCTTAGATAATCCCGCGGCCAACGCTGGACTCGCCGCCGGAAGATGCGCGAACCTTCCAGTCCTCTGGAGCTTCTTCTTCTCGCCTTGCACGAGTTACTGGATGTTCCGGATTCCGGGAGAAGAATACATCTCAACCTGGCGGTGTCCCTTCCGTAGCAAATATTCTATCGCATTGAAGTCCTTCTTGTTCACGGATAGATGCTTGCGGAATTCCGCCCTGCAGCCAAATGCCATTCAGTAGGTAGCGTCGGGACGGACAAGGGAGATAGAAGGTATTACCTGGCATAAATTTTGAAGTTACCTCTGGTCTCCTAATCATGGGGGTTTAGCTCGTGAGCCAGATGCTCTTCGTATGGGGGTGGGTGGTGATCCGACTATCCACTTACCGCCGGCTTCTTCTGAATCTCTCTTAGACATTTTCGGTAGAGGGAGAGGACCTCTCTCTGGAGACCCGACAATCGAGCCATCAGTCTCGTCTACCTAGAGCGGGGTGGTCAGGGATGGAACGGATTGGAGAAGTTCAAGAGATGATCTCCGGCCGTCGCCGGGTTTTGCGGGGGAAAAGGAAAAGGCGGCGACGCTTTCCCGGCCGAGACCCCCGTCAGTAGTATGTCTACTCCGCACATCATCAGTAGATAAGTAGGTTCTGGTAGAGACTTTATTTTCTTCATCTATCTTTTATTCCTACCAATTGATTGATTATAAAGTCTCGTGGGCTGCTCAGTTTGAAAGGACAACATGCCGGAATTCTCGGTATGTTATTCTTACTTTAGACATGTTGCCCGTATATATAGTTGCTCCAATTGTCCAGCAGCTGATTCCAACTAACTTCCTGTCACTTCAACTCATCGCAGCGTCTCATCCGCTTTCTGGCTCGGGATGGCAATGTTTACTACGGAGATGCCATCCTGCCCTCCGGTGCCCCCGACCTGACCGGCGTGACGAAAGCCCGGGTGATCCAAGGCGACATCTTTGGTCAGCATCGCGTAACAGAACAAATTGCCGAAGTTAAACTGCTCTTGGCCCCGTTGGCGAGAGGCGATGTTGGGACTGTTCGCGGTCTGGGGTTGAACTACGAGCAACATGCAAGAGAATCCAACTTGCCCACGCCCAAGTACCCGGTACTCTTCTACAAGCCGGTGACGGCTATCTCAGGTCCGACCGACGACATCCCCGTCCCTCTCATGGCACAAGAAAGCGAGGGTCTGGACTATGAATGCGAGCTGGTGGTCGTGATCGGCAAGGAAGCCAGAAACGTCCCCGAAGATCAAGCACTGGACTATGTACTCGGGTACGCCGTCGGCAATGATGTTTCCCATCGAGACTGGCAGATCAAGCGTGGTGGAGGGCAGTGGGCATTGGGGAAGGGCTTCGATGGCTGGGCACCTTTCGGTCCCGGCATTGTGTCCTCTAGCTTGATCCGTGATCCGAATGATTTGCACATCTCGACGAAGCTCAATGGCCATACGGTCCAATCTTCGTCAACCAAGGATATGATCTTTGGTGTGGCAAAGATGGTTTCGTTCTTGTCGCAAGGCACCACCCTGTTGCCAGGTGATCTGATTTTTACCGGAACGTGAGTCGGTCCTTGCCCTCGTTTTAGTTACTGTCGATTTCTGTGTTTTTCTTGAAACAGAACTGACGGATGTGATAAAGCCCGCAAGGTGTGGGTATGGGCCGAAAACCAGCACTTTGGCTCAAAGACGGGGATCGTGTGGAAGTTTCCCTCGAGCGAGTGGGGTCGTGCACGAATCAGGTAGTCTTCGACAATATCACCCCCAAGCTCTGAGTAATTGATCGTGCGAGGTCGCCGCTACAAGGCTTGACGAAAATACAGGTGGCATTGTAAAGTCGCGGTACTCTTTTTACTTACTTTCACGAAAGAGCTGGTCCTATAACTTTGACATAGCACGACACTAGTAAACATGCATATAGTTTGTCTCTTGTTAATAAGACTCCTATCGCTAGACACAAGTTATTGATACCTAGTTGACCTGAGCTCCGTATCCCTTGATGCCTTCTGCGAATGCCCAGCTCTGCTCCTCGATCTTCTGGTCCTCCTGCATCTCGATACCATCACCCGTGATCACTGCGAGGGAGTACTTGTCGATACTCCGAGCATCTCGGTACCAGAGGACCTTTAGGCAATCCCTCAGCGCTGCCACTGCCTCATCCTTGCTGATCTCTTCGGTGGGTCTCTCTTCCGGGAACAGTCGACGAAGGATCGGAACGGCGAGATGAGCACCAAACCCGGTGGCAAGGTGAGGCGCTGAGAAGGTAGTTCCAAGCAAGTCAGCCGAGCTGAGGAACGGCTTCTTGTCTCCATCGAATCCGGCCACAAGGATGTGGTTCCAAAGCGGGTTGAACTCGGAGCGGCGCTTATAAAACACCTTGGACAAGTACGTGTGGAGGTTCTTAGCGTTGAGCATATTGCCATGGGTCGAGTAATTCTCCCTGATATCGATTGATTCCAGGAGACGATCAATGTACTGCATGTCGGACACATCACCGCTGAACCCCACGACGGCCGAATCGCCAAACGCCCGGAGACGCTTCACATCGGAAAATCGGGCAAGAGAGCCATATGAAGCTATCAGGAACCCAGGACACGTTAGTCTTGTGAACGAGAGCATTCGGTCTGAGATGCGCACCCAAGTTGTCAGCAGCGATCGCAACGCCGCCATTGAATTTGACCGCGATCACTGACGTTCCGGTCACGGCAGGCGACTGAGTATGGGCTTTGGGGCCAGTTGTTTGTAGGTACGAAGGATTATAAGGGCCATAGACATCATCCCTGGGCTTATGACAGAGAGTTAGTGAGGCGTGACGTATATAGACGTGGTGATCATCTTACTCGACCCCAAACTTCAGGAAAGTGATTCATGACGGAAGTTGCGGCTCGGGGGGCGGTGCGTGATGCTGAATAGACTGTAGAATATGGGATGTGTGAAGAAGGGAAAGACAAATGAGATTCTCGATGGCAGCAAGTCTTTGGGGATTGTGGAAGTAGAATGGAGCGACTGCAGTTCAGCGTAAAGTAGGTTATTGCTAGTTAGGCAGTTAGAGCTGACGGAGCTCCTGTTACGTTAGTCACCCGCTATTGCCCACTAGCGGCCCGGACACCGCGCCTACGAGAGCTAATAATCAATGGGTGCATTCCGCGCTTAGCGAGAACTTGGAATCCCTCATTCTCCTACAACCAAATGGCCGTTTCTGTCTATATACAATCATGGCCTTACGCCAAGGATTTGCGGCCATGGTATGGTATGATACTGTCGCTTAATCATTATTATTATTTTTATTTTTCGATCAGTTCTTCACAAACTGCAGCTTCCTATCAAGTCTAAAGGGTATATATAATAACTATCAGAAGATCAAGATCATTACCAGTCGCTTTTTCTTTCTCTTGATGATTCCTCACGGGTGTGGTCTTGATCTTTTTTTGGTACTGGGAGTGGTCGCTGCCACGAAATCAATCGTATCTCTTTGGCCTTGAAGCCTTTGCTCTTCCAGGTTGTCGCGCATTTCCTTCTGCGCCTTCAACAGCTCTTCCTTGAACCCCCAGGCCGGAAGACCATCCATGTCCCATAATTCACGAGATAGTGCAGTATGGTATTGCATCTCCTCGCTGAGACCCGCATGCTCCATCAGCTTTTTCAGTAGACTTGGGTTCTTGAGCGAGCTTGAGCCGGCCAATTTTTCATTAAAGTGGACCTCTTGTTTCTTGAGTGCCAGAAAATGGGCGAATTTAGCATTCGCGGCTGGACTAGGCGATCCAGGGGGCGATGGTGGGATATCTAGACATGGCACCGGAGGAAGTGTTAAATCATGGACCAAGTTGCGCGATGCTGAATATGGGGACGCCTGCCCATGCATAGAGCGGGGGTTCGAAGGCTGGGCCTCTTGGTGAGATGGTCCGAGAACTGGCCCTGGAGGATTTGGCTCCGTAGATATTACCGGCTGGGGTACATCTGGCGTCACTTGTGCTGAAATCGATGGTCAGATATACGCCGACTCATACAGCCTGGTATACTCTACCGGTATCTGCGACGGGCTTAGAGGTTGCACCGGAACCATGTTCTAGCTCGTGCTGGAAAAGGTAGAAAAATTGCAAATTAGCCCATCTTCTCATACCAAGGGTTCTAAGCATCGCATTTTACCTTTGGCGACGAAGTGCGCTTCTCAACAACCTCATCTTCGCTGCTGCTTTCATATGCTCCGAGGCCCAGCATAATTGTAAATGATGATATTGACCCGACCTGCTGCGAAACTTTCGCTTGCGCGTGAATTGACAGGGTCACTGGCAAATCAGTTGGAAGATATAATCAGGAATATCGGTTCAGGAAAATTGGATATCTCCAAACAGCTACGACCTCTTGCGAGCCGGCCTCAAAAGGCGGAAGACGAAAGGCGGAAGCTTCCAGATTATGTAAGCACCAGGCTGCTGAAGGTCCGCGTCAGACCTGCAATAGCTCCATTAACGCAACTATCTCATTTACGCAGAACATCGTCTTCATTGCCCGCCCGCAACTCCGCGTCCTGCTTCTCCCGAAAGGAACATCTATCTTGTATTCATCGTTGGAACTCTATCTCGCCGAACGCTATCGAAGGACACGATGTCGTTAATGGGTCATCAACCTCACAACGGAGCGATTGGATACTCCTTCTCTCAACCCCATACAGCCGCCGCAGGCAACAAGCAGCATTCGTTTTACCCGTGCGTATAGAAGTTTTGGGACTGACTGGTTTATTTCCATGGTGCTGATTTGGCTTAAGATACACGGATAATGGTGGTTCCACTCTAGGCATCACAGGCGCCGATTTCGCCATCCTCGCCGGTGACACTCGTTCGGTTGCAGGGTACAACATCAACTCTCGCTACGTCCCCAAGGTTTTCAAGATTGGTGGTGACGATGAGACCGGCGATGGTGCCCACATCATCCTCTCAGTTGTGGGATTCGCTGCAGACGGTCAAGCTCTCAAAGAACGGCTGGATGCAGTAGTAAAGATGTATAAGTACCAACATGGAAAGCCCATGTCTGTCGGGGCATGTGCTCAGCGCTTGTCGACCATTCTTTACCAGAAACGATTCTTCCCCTACTACGTGACTGCTATTCTAGCCGGCCTTGACGAGGAGGGCAAAGGTGCCTTATACAGCTACGATCCCGTCGGTTCCTACGAACGAGAACAATGCAGGGCGGCAGGCTCAGCGGCGAGCTTGATCATGCCCTTCTTGGATAACCAGGTCAACTTCAAGAACCAGTACATCCCTGGGAGTGGAGAGGGACATGCTCTCGAAGCAAGGAAGCCGGAGCCGCTACCGAGAGCAACGGCCGAACAACTGGTGCAAGATGCATTCACCAGCGCGGTGGAGAGACATATCGAGGTTGGAGATGGCCTACAAACGATGATCATCACAAGTCACGGCATAGAGGAGGTTTACACGCCATTGAAGAAGGACTAGGGGGGCTTTCTTTAGACCTAATAATGTCCTGTCTCCGTTTCTTTCTTCACGTCCTGTTTGTTCCCCGGTAGTCGTTCAAGAAACAATTCCATCAATGAGTTCGATCTGTCCACTCGTCTTCAGTATCATGTGAAAATGTCCTATCTGGCGAGCTTGGCCTATTGTAGCCGATTAATGTCACTGTATACATATAGCAACACTAGTAGCGTATCGCATCACCGTCCTGTGTCAGCGGTGAACAAGAGAGTACCTGCACAAGCATGGAATCGTAATGCATGTCACAGAGTTAGAAATGAGGGCCGGATCTTTTGCCGCCGCAGTCCCAGAGTCGCATTGATTAGTTTGGCTGTCTGCGCACTCGATGGGCGATACTTGTGGAGTTGAAAAGAAATTATTTCAGGAATTGACTTTAAAGGAACTAGAATACTTTTGTTTTGGAGTTGTGTCTCGAGTATTCGTCCATCTCTGTATGGAGATAGCCTAGTTACTCGGGGGCACTAGTCTTACAAACAGGACAAACTTACTCTCACTGGGGCGGGATGATTTCATTGAAATTTGTTCAAGAGCTTAGCCGCCAAGACCATCGGAACTTGGTCCAAACTTCTGTCCCTGACGTTTATCGGCCCATTCTCTGATCAATATCACAGCGTCTTTTCCCTCCCTTGCTACTTCCTTCATTTAATATATTGCCAGATATCCAGTATGTGACGGCAATCATGTCTGGCAATTTCGGACGCAGGCTATACTCCAACTTTTGGGCAACAACAAGCCCTTTTTTTGGACTGGGACAACAGACCAGTCGTACTCTTTTTTTCTCGGACGCGGCGAATTTGAATAATCATGTTCATGATTTCCTGCTCAAACGACAGTTTCGAAAGATCTCGTCATTACCACCACGGCGAACGACTCAAATCACCAGGCGGTTTGCTTCGGGAGGCTTTTTCGTGCTTGGATTCTCTCCGAATTCGACGGCGGTAGAAACGGGAACAACCTGTGCGATCTCTCCGGAAAAAATAATTTCACATCGAAGCTATCAATTTGATCGAAGGTTTTTTCGCGGACTTTCGCGGACTGCTTCGAAGCGGGAGTTACACACCAAGGATGATGGGCCGAAATCAAAAACACAAAAGGATTCTAAAAGCCCTGAAGGCGGCGAGTCCTACATACCACAAAACAGTGGAAAGGATGTCCAGTCGCATGGCTCAGTGCCCAAGCAGGCCATTAATGAGCAGGCCCGAGGGGTGACGTCGAATCGACATTTGATGGACCGTTTACCTCACATGTCACAGCTGCATCGACCTACAAAGGAGGAACTCCTGGCCGCAGCCACTGGTTTCTGGTCGAGGCTCAAAGTACGTTTCAAGTGGTTCTCAATTCGTAGCGTCCGACCCTTTAATCTCGACGAGATAACGGCCCTTTTCTCGTGGGTTCTGTTGGGTCATGTGCTATGGATTGTCTTAGGGACCACGACCTTTTTTTCTTTGCTGATTCTTGCGATAAACACCGTCATGGCTCAGGGTACGTTCTTATTCCCACTCTATAATTGTGTCCAGCACTTGACTGATGCTCTATAGAAACCCTTGCCGGTTGGGTAGGAAATTACCTTACGAGATCCTCCGGTGTGAAGGTAGTGTTTGAATCTGCAATTGTACCCCGGTGGGGAGACGGTGTCATCACTTTTAAGAACGTTTTCGTCTCCAGAAGACCAGGTCAGGGTACTGGCCATGTTAGTAAAGGTTCCTCGAAGACTGCTGCTGCTGTGGCCGCAGCTGCAGCTCTTAACGAACAACCTAGCTCCGACGTATCGGAACCGCGACCGTCGTCTGATGAGGAAGATACGAACTACACACAGTTCGACTTATCAATCGAGACCGTCAACGTCACGCTGTCGTTCACTAAATGGATCAATGGTAAAGGACTTCTTCGTGATGTCGAAGTGAAGGGGCTACGGGGCGTGGTGGACCGTAGACATGTCTACTGGCCAAATGTCGACTTGGACCCTAAATCCTACCGGCATGAGCACAATCCTGGCGACTTCGAGATCGATTCCTTCAAGATGAACGATGTCCTTGTCTCGGTTTACCAGCCGGACAATTTTAGACCATTCTCCGTTAGCATATTTTCGTGCGATCTCCCACAGCTAAGAAAGCAGTGGCTTTTCTATGATTTCATGTCTGCTAATATGATGTCCGGGTCATTTGACAATTCCCTGTTCACAATTCATCCTCGCCAAACCCACAGTTTTACGGGCGCCCGATTGGGTGGCCAGGATGACCGGGATGACAAGCCAAACCCCTGGAAGAAACATAGCAGGATTCGCATCGACGGGCTGAATATCGACCATCTAAACCGAGGGGTGCAAGGCCCCTTTTCCTGGATCCATGAAGGCACAGTTGATATCGTTGCCGACATCATGTTCCCCGCGGAAAATGATGAAAGCCTGACCAAGGTAATGACCGATCTATACGATCGACTGGAAGCTACCGTAACGTCCAACCGGTATGACGACCCGACCTCGTATAGCGCGGATCAGACTGGCGAAATCGTGACCAGCGATCAGAGACGGTTCTTGATCACCGACCTCCGGCTACACTTGAACAATGTTAAAGCGGTCGTGCCTCTTTTTACACGAGATCTTTCCTACATCAATAATGCCTTGATACGCCCCATGGTCGCGTACATCAATTCACGGCGAACTTTCATTCCCGTCAACTGTCGCCTAGTCAAACGCCTAGGCGATTTCGATGGCAGCTGGACCACCTTCGATAGTGGTTTGATGGATGACCTTTCGGCGGCAGTAAGTTGCGCTTACCTTCCTCTTCAATTCGGTACAAGACTGACCTTGCCAAGGTATACGATGCGTTTGCGCGAGACGTGGTCGATGACCAGGCACGCAAGCGACGGTTCAAGAAAGTTGGTTTCTGGTCTCTTCAGCTAGCGGCCCAGGCTATTTTCATGGGAATGGCTGGCAACATAGCATGAATCTGTACATTTTGTCGCGACACGGAGTCGGTGCTGGCATAACTGACAGCCGTCTCTCTCGTTCTCTTTTTGTCTCATATGGTTGGCTTTCCTTGGGCGTTTTTATCTGGTTGAAATGGCAACATGGGTAGAGGGAGGTGTTTTGTACAGTTAGGGATGATTAGGTGACTCGATGCTAGTGTATGTCCATGATATATCTCATCTCACGAAACCGGGTATAGAAGCATGACCCGTCATTTTCCGGGGCATGAAGACATGAGCATGTAAATTGGAACAGAACTGGGGGCGGTTGGCGCCAGTCGAACTTAGCGCCGGTTCATACTTTGGGACCCGCGTCCCTTTCAATTCTGATTGATTGAATTCTTCGGGCTGCTGCTGCTGTTATTTATTATTATGGAGCTTTGCCAGTGGCTCCTGAACAGACCATGTTCCATCTTATCTTTAGCGACAACGTGATGGTCCTTTCACCATCCACACTCGACTCTCGGACTTTTGCTCATTACCAACTTTTCTCTCGCTCAGCGCCCCTTGGCTTTGGATTTGGCACGCAGACTTCCGACTCGGGGGCTGCGCCCGTCGACTAGAGCTCTCGCCCTCCCCGCAACCCCCGTCTCGTTCTTCCCTTCCCCTCCCCCTTCTTCACACGAACCTCTCAACTTCACCACCCCTCGGAGGTCAGCCTCGCCCCCCTCAAAGAGCGCGCCATCGCTAAGCTGCTCTACTCTCTCGTCATCCCTCCCTCTCCCCCTCCGCTCTATTTCTCACTCCAAGAGCCGAGCCTCTCCCAGCCAAACAAACAGCCCATGCCGTATCCCCGGCAATCCTATCTGGTACTCGCCAAATCTCCTCTACCACATCCAAAGGGCCGTTGCATGGACCTAACCAGCATGATAGAGATATGACCGGACGGACGGACGAGAACAAGGCGCGCCTAGCCTCACGCACTCCGGACTCGACCCTGTCAACGACGTCCTCCCCGATTTCACCCCTGAACTCTCAACGATCGACGCCCGGCGAGCGACCGGGTCAGCGCATAATGCCTCGGACTTCTTCGATCGATTCCGCTATCTCGTCTCTCTCGTCCGCGTCCCAATCCCATAAGTCTTCGTTCGATGTAAGCGCGTTAAGCCAAACAGACATTGGAAACCTAATAACTACTGCCGGTTCGGCCGAGGCGGTGATCAAACACCTTTTGAAAGAGAAGCACCATGCGGCTTCTCAAAATTCTCAGCTTTGGAGACTGGTTGACAAGCAACGCACCCTCATTCTAGGGCTTAATAAAGACCTGGACCGTGCGTTGAAAGATAAGGAACGTTACAAGAAAAAGGTTAAGGACCTGCAGAACTCAGCGCCACCCGTGCCATCGGTGGAAGCACAAACAAAACATGATAGATCCACCAAAGGCAAAGAAGGGCCAGGTATTCAGGCAGGTGCCCGGCAGCCACAGGCATCGAATTACGATGCTCCGACCAGGGGAATTGATTCAGATTCAAAAATTTCCTCCACGGATCTGTACCATACCAAAGCGAAGGAACAACTGCAACCCGACTTCGTTGGATCTCGCAGCTTGGCGGATCGCAACCAAGACCCGTCGACCAATAACTACCCCGGAGAACTCGATCGGCACGGAGAGTCGCAGACAACCCCGTCGCTAGTGTTCGCGCGACAAGAGTTGTCGACAGCGAGTCCAAGTCTGGAAAGTCCCAACACTACTGCCAATGACCCAGTACCCGGCGAACGATCACAGCAGAGGCTCTCTCACCCGGTCCGAAAGGCACCCCCGGCGCCATTGAACCTTGGCCTACCAGAGCACCGTCCGGTGGATCGCATGGATGTTTCCGACTCCGAATCTGAATACGAGGATATATTGGCGGTTGACGAGCAGTCGTTTGAGCGGGGACGAAGGAAAACGAGGGATGACGATGATCGTGAGCGCCAGGCGGCCGTGCAAAATGATCAAAGTACATTCGAATTTCCCGCGGCGAAAGAAAAAGCCCAGGCTACATCAGCATTCGAAACCCTAACAGGTAATTCAGTCGATGCAAGAATGATGGACTCCCACCAATATTCGCCGCAAGCTGCACCACGATCGGAACCGCTTGAGATAGATCCTCATATGGCCCATATGTCACCACCAGGCTCTCATGCGGCCATGATGGCTGCCAAAAGCCCTGGCTTACCAATGAGCCCCAGGCCAGAGGATCGTCCTCTCGGCTCACCGTTACCGAGGATGCCCGGTCCTTTGGCTACCATGCCCACATCATCCGGGGGTACTGTCTCTGGTCTAGCTCTGTCCCCTCGAGCTGCTCAATATAACAACCCTATCACCTCGGCTTCACTTTCTTCTGACTCCGGGAAACGCGCTGTACCATCTATCGATGCCGCAGTTCGAATTGACAGCCCTAGGTCGCCAGCCTTCAAGAATCAAGAGATTCATCAAGGTCTGGTCTCAGAAGACTATCCGAACCTTCTGCTGTCCCCCAATGCTCTTCCTTTGGTTCAGGTAAAAGTGTCATCATCGCGGCTGCGGCCCTCTAGAAACAGCTACAACATGTCCAAACCCTCCGAAGAGGAGCCTGTCTTTACACTGGGCGTTTTCTCACGCTCAGACAATGCGGAACTCTGGCGAGTCGAAAAAGTTATTGCAGCTCTCCCACAGCTCGATCAACAGGTTAAGCAGCTGTCGGCTTTTAGTGCGAAGTTGCCCGACCGCTCCATCTTCAACGGGCATTCCCCCGCCAAGGTGGACACGCGGCGTGCTGCTTTGAACTCTTACTTCGAAGCCCTTCTCGATACGCCCATGGATGAGAATGCAGCGTTGACTTTGTGCCAATTTCTTACCACTGACGCCATTGAACCTCGGGATGACGAAACCAGCCTCTTGAAGGGCAAGCAACAGGCTGGCTCTGAAATGCTGCGTGGTCCGGATGGGAAGCCCAGGAAAGAAGGTTATCTGACCAAACGAGGCAAAAACTTTGGCGGTTGGAAGGCACGGTATTTCGTTCTCCATGGTCCTGAGCTTAAGTATTTTGAATCGCCAGGTGGTCCTCACCTCGGAACTATCAAAATCTATAATGCTCAAATTGGAAAGCAGTCACAGAGCGCAAATGGACAAAACAGCTCCCCTTCGCGAGCGGAGGAAGATGTCGACAATCAGTATCGTCATGCTTTTCTTGTCCTGGAGCCCAAGAAGAAGGACTCTTCTGCGCTCGTCAGGCATGTTTTGTGCGCTGAGAGCGATGAAGAAAGAGACGCTTGGGTCGAAGCGCTCCTGGAATACGTTGAGAGTCAGTCGGAAAGTGAAGGATCCAATCACGGATCTTCAAAGGGACAAACGCCGATTACCAGCAAGCAACCAGTTAGCAACTCTACCATCACACCTAATATATCATCCAACGGAAGCAAGAAAGGGAACAGGGGCATTGATACGGCTGGCGCAGAAAGCCCCGATACGGTTCAGGGGTTTAGCTACGACGACGCTGTTCCCGCCGAGCCTCCAATCTTTGGACCAGCCTCTGAACAGAGTCCTGTATCCCCCCTGCTTGCTCCTGGGGGCTTAGCAGATTCTGGGGATGCAAACCAGGCGGCGAACCCTTCGCCGGACCCCAATCAACTCTCGTCGCGTCTCATCTCCGGCCCCACTAATGGTGCAGTGATCCAGGATGCTGGGGCCTGGGGAAACAAGGCAGCCAATAGTGCCAAAGAGAAAAAACGAAGCATCTGGAGCTTCCGTACCAGATCATCGATTGACCTTGCCTCGCAGCTTCATGCAGTCCACGATCTCCCAACACAGCAGCCTCATGGGCATAGTTTAGGAGATAGAAGGGAGTTCGTGAGGCCGGTATTCGGAATCCCTCTGGCCGAAGCTGTTCAATTTTGTGCACCACAGGGCGTGGCCGTCAATCTACCGGCTGTCGTCTATCGTTGCATAGAGTATCTCAAGGCCAAGGATGCAGCATCGGAGGAAGGAATATTTCGGTTGAGCGGTTCAAATGTTGTTGTTAAGGCTCTCAAAGAGCGGTTCAACACTGAAGGCGATGTTGATTTCTTGGCCGATGATCAGTATTACGACGTCCATGCCGTTGCATCCCTTTTCAAGCAGTACCTGCGGGAGCTCCCTACAACGGTTCTCACCCGCGAGCTTCATTTAGAATTCCTTCGAGTGCTTGGTAGGTCTAGATATGCTACCCTCTTCCTCTCGATCTTTTGTGCTAACTGCTATGATAGAACTTGATGAGAAGCAGAAAAAGCTCGTGGCATTCAACTCGCTCGTTCACAGGCTCCCGAAAGCGAACCTGACCCTGTTACGAGCACTGGTCCAATTTCTGATCAATATCGTGAATAATTCGGATGTCAATAAAATGACAGTCAGGAACGTCGGCATCGTTTTTGCTCCAACGCTCAACATTCCGGCACCTGTCTTTTCAATGTTCCTCACTAACTTCGAAGATATATTCGAAGATCCCCCAAGCTCCGGTTCGACCACAGCGGAATTCAATGCCAGTCACTCTATCTCCCCGGGAGACGTCCGTTCGCCGCGCCGACAGATGTTCCCCGACATTTCAACGCCAGGTTATGGCCAGACAGCCTTCCGTAAAGAAGAATCTCTTGATGATTTCAATACGCATCAAGACACTGGTTTCGTTTCCATTCAGCCGAGATACGAAAACTCTAGCCACAAACAAGTCCTCGCTAATGGAGACGAAATGTATTCCCCGTCTATGTTAACACCGGCAAATGAGTCTTCTCGATCTGCTAAGGCTAAAAGAAGAGAGAGTTCCATGCTCTTTATGGAACTTAACCATCAAAGCAACTCCCCTCCGCCATATTAAATCGAACGAGGTTAGTTTCTGTGTAATTATTTGCCTTCACAATTCGTTCTCAGCTGACGGTGGATGTAGCCTAAGTAGTTAACGGCTCTACGACAGCTCTACGGCCATTTAAGGATGGTATCCGTGCAGAAAGTCATACCGGGAGTCCTCCTTTTCTTCTGCTTCTTCTAGTCCTCCTTCTTATCCTCTTTCTTTCTTCCGCCCACTCTGTTTCGTGGTCCCATTATGGCTGATCAAGGTCGATGATGAATCTAACGCAAATGAAATGACAAACGCTCAAAGTCAGGCCACACTCGTTGGCGAGTGACTAGTGATAGTAATGGTAATTTGCTAAACTCTTTTACGAACCTAATTCTGAACTATGTTTTTGCGCCCCATGTTTGATAATTCTGTCCGCTGTTGTGTTTGATTTGAGTTCATCGATATTCTGCTCCAAGTGATTATTGTCATGGTTTTGTACAGATGCGTGCTGGTTCTCTTTCCTCAGCCCTCCTACGTTGCATTTCATAAATAACCTTGAATGATTGATATACCCATTTCTTCCTATCTTGATGTTGCTTCAAAGCCCGAGTGAAGTCCCGTCTGTTCATATCCTCCATTAATAACGTCACTTTTTTGCAATATATTATCAGCTAGCAGACCCACGAAAAGGCCGATGCCGTTCTTACTGTGAACGTACATGCCTCTGACCCCTCAACTCTCTTGTTAGGCAAGTCATTGGAATATATAGATTTGACATGATGTTTAGATAATGACTATAGATGACTCGAATAGACAACAAGATCGTCTGATAAAGTTCCTTCGGCCTAATCTGGTATGTCACAAAGAACGTTTAGAACCGTTTCGAGTGGTCTCCTCTCCAGAAACCCATTAACTCGCCGTTTTCCCTGACCCACTCTCGAGTGCCATCAACCAAAGCCTTTGCCATTCCTTTGTTCTTGCTCTTCCCTTCCGATGATAGGGCATTATTAGCAAACCCGGCAGTCGAGGCATGCTCCCCCGTAGCATACTCGGAGCCCATGCTAGGCAAAATATTCTCTCCCGCACTGAGGCTGACGAAAAGCGAAAAGGGCACCAGCCACACACAGAGCCCAAAGTACGACGCGACCTCAGTAAAGGTCGGCATGTCATCCACATCCACCTGATATGGATTGCGCCAGTTGGTTCCGGCTCGTGATGAAGGGAGGGGTTTGGAAAAATGGCGAAACCAGAGCCAGTGGTTTAGTCCGACAAGAATGCAGGACAGAATAAAGAGGGGATCCGAGAGTTTGACAATGGGGAACCGTCGTAGGTTGCTTGCGTAGACCAAGTGGGAGCCGATGCTGAGGAGAGACAAAGAGAGTGGGAAACGGTCGACGACAGACAGGAGGATCTGGATGATTATGACGCTGTATATCAACCGAGTCAACAGTCGGCGGGCAAGGACTGTATGTTCCTCTACGAGCTCGGACAAGTAGTAGAGTCCTGAGGCTGGAGAGGGCGTCAGTATCAAAGCTGATGACCATTGTTGCGGGGAAAAAAGTCGCTTCTCAGAACAAGCCTCATGGCTATGGCGCTTACCTATCGCAAGCGTCAGAAAGGAGAACCCTACGATGACCCCCAGGTATCCAACCAAAGGCAGTATCCACATGCTGTCGGAGCAGTATAACAGCCGGGGTTTGCAAAAGTGGGACTTCCTAGAGAAAGGAAGAGAGAAAGGGGAATAAAAAAGCCAAAGAAAATTGACAGAAGATGATGGGGTGAGCGCGTGGGATCCGAAAAGTAAAAGGGTTGCGCCCTCTATCACTTAGAAGTCATGGTAATATGTAGAGATGGCGGAATGGCCAGACTGCAACTGCGGAGGACGGCATTACCTTTATGCCTCAGGCATCAGCGGCGTACCGAATCTTCGGCCGTCCTTCTCTCGTCGTTACGGATAGATGCCAAAATTTTTGCCTCACAATCCAGTAAAAGGTTTGGGGACTTTCCCTCATATTGCTCCCCATCATGTCGCGCCCCGAAGATATTCTGTAAGTTTTGAACTCTCAGTCTTCTGTCTCCATCGCCTTTTAGCTTTTTCTTTTGATTTTCTGTCTTCTCTCTGACCACTCTCCCCACCAAGACCACCGGACCTCTTCTATGATGATAATGAATCACGAAAATACACTACTTCCTCCCGCATTCGTAACATCCAAGCTGATATGACGAATCGGGCGCTGGAACTTCTCGACCTGCGATCCCCGTCTCTCATCCTAGACCTTGGTTGCGGCTCCGGACTTTCTGGTGAGATCCTTTCCCAAGTACCTGCGGAGCACGGGGGGCCGCATACCTGGGTTGGCATGGACATCTCTCCCAGCATGCTGGATGTTGCTCTCCAACGAGGTGTCGAAGGCGATTTGTTTCTGGCCGACATCGGTCAAGGAGTACCGTTCCGACCTGGTTCATTTGACGCAGCCATTAGCATCAGTGCCATCCAGTGGCTTTGCAATGCAGAAACAAGCGACGTCAGTCCCGAGGGTCGTCTACGTCGGTTTTTCGAAGGCCTATATGCCAGTCTCCGGCGCGGAGGCCGTGCTGTCTGTCAATTCTATCCGAAAAATGACGCGCAGCGAAGCATGATCAGTGCCGCGGCTATCAGGGCTGGCTTTGGGGCCGGCATTCTGGAAGATGATCCCGGAACTAAGAACAGTAAATTGTATCTTGTTTTGACAGTTGGCGGAGGCGGCTTGCAGGGCGATATCACAGGTGTCGTGCATGACATGGACGACGTCAATGTTCTGGATGCCAGAAAAAGGGCCACCGAGAACGGCAAGGCGCCATCTTCCAGGAAAGGGGACAGGGCTTGGATTATGCGGAAAAAGGAGCAGATGGCAAAGAAAGGCAAGGTCGTCAAATCGAGTTCCAAATACACTGGCAGGAAACGGCGGCCTGCATTTTGATTCGGTCTTACAATCCGGAATGGCTGGCTTTGCCCACCAAATCCCTCGATATGTTTCTTCACGACTTTTTCGCTGCAAACACTACCTTGCACTGAAACGGAGTAGCCTCTGCGTCAAGGATTCCAAATCTTTAGCGCTACTAGCAACATACAGCGATCCCTGTCTGAGAAGACACTCTAAACCACCTTCATCATGTCGGGGGGGAGTATCTTGTCACCCCGCAGTCTGGAATCTGTTGGTTGTTCCAGTTCGCTTGCCTTCAATTGTGCCTTCAATTTTGTGGACCGGTAGCTCGGTACGTCAAGGGCGCGAAAGATGCTTCTTTTTCTAAGATTACACTGGCTGGAAGTGCCCACGGCGTTCAAGGAGACATACCATCTAAGAGCCCAATCGGTAGCCTGCTTGATTTCTCCCCTTCCCGGGCGGCTTGCCAGGGTGGCGTGGCAACTAAACACAGAACAGCACACAGAGCCGAGCAAAGATTACAAAAGGATAGGGTTATATTTCCCAACAATACTATGTAATTGTACACACATCCGTAACCCCCCTCCCTCATGGTTGTCTATGGCAGTAGCAATTGTGTAACAAGACGCCCCCCCGGTTTTCTAGTGGAAGATGATACAAAGACGGGAATTAAGATAGTCAGCACAAAGCCGCCAAAGCATCGCGCTGCGGTAAACATCCCCTCGTCATCGTCTTGAAAGAATTCAGCGGGACGTAAAGAGCGCAAAAGCCGGTGGTTTACAAAGCGGTCTCCATCTTGTCCAGGACAGCTCTGGTGAACTCGTGCGTAGTCGCCTGTCCACCCATGTCACGAGTCCTCGTTTTGCTAAAGGGGCAGGCAGTACGTATCAGCATAGACACAAAGATGTAGGGATTACGGGGCCACTTACCCTTCGCCGATGACGTCGTACACGGCCTTTGAGATTCTGTTAGCGTGGTCATCCAAGCCGAGATGACGCAGGAGCATGGATCCAGAGAGAATCATAGCGCTTGGGTTGGCCTGATCCTTTCCTTTGATGTCAAGGCCGACGTGACGGCAGCCAGGTTCAAACACGGCAACGTCTCGGCCCATGTTGCAACCGGGAACCAGGCCCGGTCCGCCAACGAGAGCGGCACCAACGTTAGAGAGAATGCCTCCGTAAAGGTTAGGCATGACCATGACGTCGAATTGCTGGGGCCGCGAGACAGCCTGCATGGATGCGTTATCAACGATCATGTCGTTGACCTCCAGGGTAGGGTAGTTTTCGGCGACTTTGTGGAAGGTGCTGCGGAACAAGCCATCGGCGAGCTTCATGATATTGGCCTTGTGGATACAAGTGACCTTCTTTCGGTTGTTCGCAAGAGCGAAGCCGAAAGCAAACTTGGCGATGCGCTCGGACTTAGCACGAGTGATGATCTTCAGGGATTCGACAACTCCCTGCACCGATTGGTGCTCGAGACCCGAGTATTCACCCTCAGTGTTCTCACGGATGATGCAAAGATCCACATTCTCGTGGCGTGTTTGGTAGCCGGGAATGTTTTTGATAAGAACGATCGAGGCGAAGATGTCGAGTTCCTGGCGAAGGGCAACGTTGAACGACTGGTGACCCGAGCGCTCGACCGGAGTGAAGAGGATTCCCTTGAGACCCAGCTTGTTGCGGCGGAGAGACGCAATGGATTCCTTGAAGAGCTCTTCCGAATGCTTGTTGCCCGTATCCACACCGCTAACATCAACCTGCTCCCACTCAATGGGCACATTGTCGGCCTTGAAGATGGTCTTGACCGACTCGGCGACCTCGGCGCCAATTCCGTCACCTGCGTACGGTCAGCGACACAACTAGCAAACCTTGCAGCTGGGATAGAAGGTTCGCACATACCGGGAATTAGGGTGACGGTGTATTTACCACCATACTTGGTAGGCTTGAAGATATCCGACTGGACACTAGCAAAAGCTGGAGATTCGCAAGGCGAGAGAAGTCAGAATCCTTTGTGATCACGGTAGGTAGAACGCTGGGTAGAAACGCACATCGCACCGGAATGGAAGAGCGAGCAAGCGAGGTCGACACGGCCGCACGGCGGACAAAAGACTAATTTTTGAATGCCGGGTTAATTCTTCATCCGAGATCAAACCAGAGCAGAAAAATAAAAGGAACGCAAAGCGAAAGAGGACGGGAAGTTAAAAAAACCCGGGGTGAGGGGGGAGGGGGGGAAAAATTGTTTGCGCGTCGGGATTGACCTCGTGGCGGTAATATCGGACGGAGGGATGGAGGTGTAGTGCATGATCCAAAGACAAAGGAATAGAAAACTTGGACGGGAGGGAGGAATGCAGAAGGATGGAATTGCCAGATTGACTTACCTGCGCCGACTGCGCGGTCCTCAAAGAAAACATTTTCGGCGGGTGAGGGAGAGGAGATGGGTATACAGGTATCCTTTTGAGGAAGAGAGGGCCGAGGGAAAAAGAGAAGGGAGTGGGCAGAGAAGAAAGAAACGAGGATGGGAAGAAACGGGGGTGGAGCGTCGAGAGAGAGAGCGATGCACGAGACACCGGAAAAGGCGGCGGATCCTCTCGGCATCCATCGCCTCACTGATCCCGACCCCGATCTTATCTTGGATTTGATCATCAATCGTCGGTCCCCTACCACGTTACTACGGTTGGGACTCGAGTATGAAAATGATCTGGACGACCGAGTTCATCGCAACCCAGTCATTATTGAGAAGCCTCCGTCTCTCCCATCTTGTTAATCCGTTGATCCGATCGCTCCGAGGCCTTGGCCAGCCGCCCTTGACCTATCTGGTACATTAATCAATGGCTTTTATTCACCCGCCTCTATTGATGATCCTTTGGGATCTCGGCTTTCTTTCAAGTCTTCATGCTCTTGATGACTTGGTGACGGTCCTTATTCACCTACACCTTGGACGAGTGGCATGAACCAACTATCTAAGATAGAGGTCGCCTTCTTCTTTGTCCATGAAGCGTCTATTGAAGGTAGGAGATGTGCGCCGCTCCACCCTTGTCTGCTCTGCTGCTTATTATACATCAGATCGATCCGGGCTTTATTGCAGTCTATTGAGAATGGATTTCCTTCACGATTTCTCAATCACTCTCTTATTCACGGCGGGTGGCGCCCATTCTCCCCTGGCTATCCAACTATCCCTAATATGCGCATGAATAAGGCCTGCATTATCGACGAGATGCAATATGGAGTTATGGCTCTCCAGTGGCAGCGTCCGACTTATATAAAATCGGCGATGGTACTCAACTACATCCTGCTGCAGCTAATCCAAGCGACTCAGTGTTTTAAGACAAGAACGCATACTCTCTACCAAACATCCCTTCATTTGCCTTGATTTTATTTCTATATTCACCTAGCCTTTTGCAAAGATGAAGCTTATCACCTTCGTTTTGGCCACCCTTGCCGCAACAACTGTGCAGGCTGGGACCTTGCAGAAATGGTGCCACCTTCCCGGCCAACCCTGCGCTATGCTCAAGCGAGCTGCCGATGCCACCGGAGAAGTTAGACGTTCAGCCGATGCCCTCGCCGAGGCTATGGCAGATGCCTCTCCGGAAGCCATCAGGGTCAAGCGAGCGGCCGATGCCGTCAACGAATTCAAACGCTCCGCGGACGCTCTGGCGGAGGCCATGGCGGCCATTGATGAGGACTAGAAAGGTATGCATCTTACATTATCATACGTCAAGTGGGAATCTACTATCTGACACAGTTTTAGTCACGACATCCAGCCAGGATGGGTATCATTCTGACGCATTCCCAGACAGAATGAGCCGAGAGGGTCGTTGAGACACGTGCACTATGACAGGGCCGCTCTTTGAAGCAGATTTTTCAAGAGCTTGCTTCCTCCGGTCGTTGCAGACATTTCTTTTTTATCTTAGCTTCCATTCTTTCGTTTTTTTTTTTTAGGTGGGTCGATGGAAGCTTTGGGTGGGTCACTGAAAGAAAAGAAACAAAAAGAGAGGGTGCGTTATCGAGGACTGCAGCCAGTTTCCTCCGTTGTTTGGTACAGAGTTAAGGATCGGGACGATCACTCAATGTGTATAGCTGTGAAGCACAATATTGACATTCTTTATCCATACGCATACTCACCCTTCACAGCAGCCTATGTTCCTTGACTGGTACAAGGTTGCCAATTTAGGTATGCAAAACTCAATCTCAGTTTTTATGCGGAAACTAGGATTCCCTATAAGTAGGTCATATGGTACCTCACTAGTACTTTGATTATAGCCAGCTCCTTGTATATGATAAGGATCTGGATCCACCTCAGTATGTGCTAACAAATAATTCCCGGCTCCGCTATCATCTCACATGGTTTGAATCGGACAAACGTGGCCCCAGAGCCATTTGGTTTGTTAGCAGGAAGCTTCGGCTAATCCAGAGTATTCTCAATGCTGAGAGAATGTCAACGTGTATGGGTAGGGGCTCCTTTCGATCTGAGTCACGACCTGGCCAAATGCTCATATCAGTAGAGTCAAGGCACGTATGGCCGGCCTACTTGTCGCTCAAACCACACTTGGTCCCCGTATACCATAGACAGGGTCATTTGCGATCTTGTATGGTGCTCCAGTGGTAGGCTCAACCGTCAAAGACATGGTTGCATGCGCAGAGAGCTCATGATCTTTGTTGACAAGATCTTCATAGCCAGAAACCATATAGGGCTCGGCATAATGATGGGCATCATCATTGTTTTCGTCCTGCGGCTGATCACACATCTCATCATCATAGAGGTCAGGTGGCTGCGGTGTATGGTTAGGCGAAGTCCTCGCAAAAGGAGTTCCCAGGCCTTGAGTATGGCCTCCCTCCATGGCTTCAGCAATGCTCAGTGTGGAATTTTCGGGACATATCTGCCACATTTGAAGCAACCGGGAGCGTTGCTCTGGGAGAGCATATTCGAAAAGCCGGCGTTGCATTGGTGAAAGAGATGAAGGATTAACATTATTACTCATCAGTATCCCGTCCAAGCTGGTGGCTTTAGTGGGCATTAAGTGCTCCTTTGGGACTTCGTCAAGTGTCTCCCGTCGGACTACATGTGAAGAGTGATGATAGTGCTGTGTAATGCTGTAGAGGATCGGTGATGGGCCCTGCGAAGATGTCCCGGATGGCGTTGGGGCTGCCATATTCATCTGCCTGGCAAAGCGTGCCACAAGATCTTCTTGCTCGACCGGATCATGCTCAGATCGTGGAAAATTATACTAGATATCCGTTTTTGGTAAGTTATCTAGTAGGCAGCGGCTAGGTGGGAGAGGGACAACTACCTGATTGCAGCATGAATAACCGATCTGTTCGGCAGGCTGCCTTTGGTCCATGGGCGACTGTTCCCATGCTTGGTACCCTGACAATGTGTACATGGACATGTTTGAGAGACGGAATTTAAGAAAAGTCAGAGCAAGCCAGGCACGTCAGCAGGGAATCGCAAGAGAGCACCAGACACACGATTGAGATTGGTGATCAGTCTGGCTTGAAACATATGGCGACCTGAGGGCAAGTTATTCGAGCCGGGACAGTGGGCGTAATGATAGTTCCATTAAAATAATCCATGGCGCTGGGATGAAGGGCAGCGAGTATTTAATAGGAAAGGGACAAGGAGGGGCTGTAGATGCCCGAAGGTGCAATGATCGTTTCGGGCAGACAGTCATTAGGACAAGTTTAACTGGAGAGCTAGGGTACTCCGCATTTGACCCCAGTTACAGAAGGGTCAGGGCCACAGAAGCGCCGCTTGGGAGAGATCTTTGGGAGATCTCGTGTTCTCTATAAGGCCGCATGGCATCTTCAGTAGCTCTGGATGGTCCGCCGAAATGCGTACACCGATGAGTTAATCCGGGTCAAGAAGTCCTCGGACCGGTCAGGTGACCCTAGTAGGCAGAAGCCCCGTGACGCGAGCTCAGCTGCCAACCGGCTCCTTACGTATCTTAGGTGGTAGTTCCAGTTCCTACCCACCCGTAATTGTATCTTATCTGCGGGAGCTTCCTGCTTGTTACATGACCACACTCCTTCTTCCTAATCCCCAACCTTCCTTCAAATTGTTCATCAGTGCCTCACACGCAGCTCACACAAATACTATTTCAAATTGATTGTTACCCATCATGGTCTGATTCCGCCCCTCAACCCAAGCTCTCTTGGCCTGATATGGGACTAACGCTCGAACAATCCAGACGTCCATCGGCACTGGCTACGATCTTTCGAATTCGGTCTTCTCTCCCGATGGTCGCAACTTCCAGGTATCTAGTTCACCACTACGAACGCGGTACAATCACTCATTAACACTATTCCCCAGGTCGAATATGCCGTCAAGGCGGTTGAAAATGGGGGAACTGCCATTGGTATCCGGTGCAAGGATGGCGTTGTGCTGGCGGTAGAAAAGATCATCACCAGCAAGCTTTTAAAGCCGGGTGCAAACAAAAGAATCGCAACGGTGGACCGCCATGTTGGTGTCGTAAGTATACCTTGATAAGCAAATTGAGCTTGAGATCCAGGCGAACTTTGCGTCATTAACGTAATTGTTTGTGCTAACATGTATGGATTCTTTTATTTCTAGGTATCGGCAGGTCTTGTCCCCGACGGCCGACACTTCGTTTCTCGGGCTCGGGATGAAGCTTCCTCGTGGAGAAACGTGTACAAGGGGCCCATCCCAGTCTCCGCGTTATCAAACCGCCTTGGCAGCTACGTCCAGGCGTATACTCTTTATTCCAGCGTACGACCCTTTGGTGTAACCGCCATTATCGGTGGCTGGGACTCAGAGGCCGAGCTTGCTGTTGACGGTCAGGTTGGAAACGGGCCGAATTCAGGGTCTGGCGGCCGAGTGGAAGGAGCTAAAGCTGGTGGACCGGGTCTTTACATGGTTGAACCAAGTGGTCTCTATTGGGTAAGTTTGTCATGATTCATCGGCTCGGAATAATTGCTGACTTTGTTGAAGGGCTACTACGGCGCTGCCACCGGGAAGGGAAGACAAGCTGCCAAAGCTGAGCTTGAAAAATTAGATCTGGCTTCTGGGGGTCTGAGCTTAGCTGAGGGAGTGAAAGAGGCTGCTCGTATCATCTACGTTGCCCACGAAGACAGCAAGGACAAAGAATTTGAGCTTGAGATGTCCTGGATTAGTTCGCTGGATGGGCCCACCAAGGGCAGGCACGAAGAGGTACCGAAAGAACTGCTCGAAGAAGCCGAAACGGCAGCCAAAAAGGCCCTTGAGCAAGAGGATGATGAGGGTGATGAGACGACGAAAGGCGAGAGCGAGCGAATGGAGGAATAGATCGTGACAAACTGGACACGGGCATAAACGGATACCTTTCCCATATTCTACGTTTCTTTCCTAGCACCCCTACCCTTTACAATTCCGTTGCCGAGGAACAAATAAGCATTTCGATTTCAGAAAAGAAGATGGCGTCCGCCAATAGTACAGAAGCCATAAGTCACACATCCTCGCTACAAATGGTGACCAAACTCATGTCTCCCCGGCTCATCATTGTAGTTCTGCCCTGCGTAGTCTGGGGTGGGAGAACCGAATTCGTCACTAAACGATCCTACCTTCTGCCCAATCTCTCCTTTTAGCCCCGAGTTCAACGGCGGCATTGCCCCAGTCCTCTCCATGATTGTGCATGCCCTTCTTGCCGAGACCAGCCCTTTCCAGGCCCTGCTCTTCGTTGAGCACGGTAAGAACGCCAAAGATGACGGGCACCCCGGTTTCTAATTGAACACGCATCAACCCGTGGGACACCGCGTCTGCAATGTACTCGAAATGCATCGTCTCGCCTTTGATTAGGACACCTATGGTGATGATGGCATCGAAGGGACGGGTCGCAACGGGGGCAGGCGACTGGGGGGGTGCCTTGTTGAGATCCGTGGTGGAGGAGGACAAGAGATCCGTGGCACTGATTCCTCCAGCAGAAGAGGAGCCCTTGGCAGCCTGAAGCTGGGAAGCAGCGTAGAGGCTATATACAGGAATTGAAAATTAACTGTCAAGCAGTGCGGTGAATCGAATGCGGGGTAGGGGTTGGTCCTTACCGCTGGGCTGCGAAAGGTAGTTCGTAGCTGCCGGGAACGGTGAGGGTCGTGATGTTATCATCCGTCACGCCAGCAGCGAGCAGGCTTTTCTTAGCCCCTTCAAGCAGAGGACCAATGATGCCCATGTTCCATCGGGCATGGACGATCGCAATCCTCAGGCCAGAACCTACAAGAAGGTGAGGGGTAAGTGAGCGAGCGGTACGCCAAAAATATGATGAGGAGCTTCTTACCATCATAGGTTTGGGCAGCTCCGGGTCCTTTCAATGATGCCATATTAGTAGAAAGGCATAAACAGTGAGACGAATATAAACTGCTTCAGTTGGTATACTGGATGCGCTTTTGAGGTGTCAAAGTCTACGGTGGAAAATGTACGGGACGGGAGGCAAAGCCGCCAGCTCTTGATTACATATTCTAGGCTCCGGTCCGCGCGTGCTGAAAGGTGTTGGACGACTCCGTTGAATACCAAGGTACTGTTCCCCCCCCCCCCCCCCCCCCCCTGCGCAACTACGAACTCTACAAAATAGCATGTACGTTATCTAGTAAACAACGTACGGAAAGGCAACCCAACCTGATTCGAACATTTATTCCCTTAGGCTTGTGGAAAGGCATCCGGAGGCCCGTAACAATTGCATTCTTCTGGTCCTATAGAAAACAAACGAAACCCATGTAAGAATCAAACATATGACCAAGGCCCTACCCCTACAAGTTCACGAGCCCATCTGTTGAAACAGGAATTTTGGATGCGACCTGTTTACTCGACGGTGACAGACTTCGCGAGGTTTCGAGGGAAGTCAACGTTAAGTCCCTCCAGAACCGCCAGCCAGTACGAAACCAACTGGAGCGGGATTACATTGAGCAGACCCTGAAGACAGTCCACAGTCTTGGGCACTTCAATCTTATCCGTCTGGGCGGTCGAAAACTCGGGGTCGTCGTGGTTACAGATCACGATTGGGCGTCCGCCACGAGCAATGACTGCTGGCAAGTTAGTGCTACTCGAGGTCTGGCAGGCATGTTTAATGGTTCGACTGACCTTGCTGATAGGCATTCAAGGACTTGGTGAAGATGTTGTCCCTTGTGAGGATCATGATGATAGGCAGGTTTTCATCGACAAGAGCGAGAACACCGTGCTTCAGCTCACCCGACATAACAGCCTCGCAGTGAAGGTAAGAAATCTCCTTGATCTTCAGAGCACCTAGAGGTTTTGTCAGTATGACCTATACTGCGTGTACAAAATCATCCGGCAACGTACCTTCGAGGGCAGTAGGGAATTGACTTCCCCTGCCAAGCAGAAGTAGACTCTTCTGGTTCTTGAAGAAGTTTGCACACATCTGTTTGATCGGTTCGTTCAACTTCAAGATCTCCTTGAATTGCTCGGAGACCATTGCAAGGCCCTCCATGATCTCCTCCCGTCTCTTCTGTTTGGACGCCCGGTCCTCGCTCAGGGAGAGCGCAAACATGACCATAGCGACGAACTGGGAGGTGTAAGCCTTCGTGGAGGCAACACCAATCTCAGGGCCAGCGTTAATATGCACACCGCAGTGGGTCAAAAGGGAGATGGCGGATCCGACGACATTGACAATGCCAACTGTCAATGCACCACGCTCAAGGCAGTATCGAAGAGCCATGAGCGAATCAGCCGTTTCTCCCGACTGGGAAACAAACACGCAGGTGTCATCACGGAAGACAGGGGCTTGTCTGTCCAAGAAGTCGGAAGCAAGTTCCACCGAGATAGGGATTTCGGTGAGTTCCTCGAAAACTCCGCGCACAGCCATGCAAGAGTGATAGCTGGTTCCGCAGGCAACGAAAATGATTCTTCTGCAACGACGAATAGTCGAGATGTACTGTCGCAGACCACCAAGCGTGACTTGCTTGTTGGCAGCGTCAAGCCGACCTCTCATAGTGTTCACAACGGACTCCGGTTGTTCGAAGATTTCCTTCTGCATGAAATGGTCGAACTTACCCTTCATGATCTCCTGGAGTTCAAGCTCAATGGTCTGGATGGCGCGAACGTTAGAGGTGCCATCATCCTTTGTCAGTCGATGGATATTGAGCTGTCCCTCATGGATATGGGCGATGTCATCATCTTCGAGGTAGAGCACCTTTTTCGTGTGCTCAACAATCGCAGATGGGTCAGATGACAGGAAAAACTCTGCGGGCTGGGGAACACCATCGTCAGACAAGAAGGCACGAGACTGCGACCGATGCAGCAGCGATTTGTCCGGAGGAGCAAGAAGCCCGGTAGCCGATTTCTTGAGGGCAACATTCTGAGAAGCCTGCTCCGCCGGGAGCGGGCCGTCCTCCGAATATTCAACGTCAACGAAGTCCACCTTCATCTTCTTCGATGTCCTCACTCCAATCACCAGGGGAGAACCTTTGCGAGCGGCAATGACTTCATGGGGATAGTGAACTGATTTGATCAAGAGACCAAAAGCACCCTCAAGTTCTTTGACAACGGCCTTAGCCAGCACCGTAAACTCGATGTCTGGCTGCTGGTCAAACAGGTATTTTGTGAGCTTAGCGATGCATTCTGTGTCGGTCTCGGTCTCGAAGCGGAATCCCTTGCTCTCAAGCAGAGCCTTCAGCTCCTTGTAGTTGGTAATAATTCCGTTGTGAACGATGGAAAACTCCCAGTTTAGATCGGACCTACAGAAGATGGCAAATTATATCAGCCTATGGTTTTGTAGCCATGGTTAAATCGAGGCAGGCAGCATATGCATTTGAAGCTGGCACCCTTACTTACCTGTGGGGATGGCAGTTTTGACGGGAAGGCGTTCCGTGAGTGGCCCAGCGAGTGTGGGAGATACCAGCATGAGACTCAAAGGTCTTTGTCAGATCAGGCTTACACTCCTCGATGAGCTCCTTCAATTTCGCGACCTTGCCAACTTCCTTGAAAGCACAAACTTCGTTCTTCTTGTTGCCATCGACGGCAAGGCCTGCAGAGTCATAACCGCGGTATTCGAGTCTCGAAAGTCCTGTTCCCTGGTCAGAATTCCCACTTCAAAGACACCAGCAAGTCGTGGAGGGCCACAGTCCCTGATAATAGAAACAGGGGAATAAGGGCGCCTACCATTGAGCAAAGTATCGATGATATATTTGCGGTCTCTTTCAACCAGGTAGTTGATATAGCCGAAGATGCCACTGTCAATGGTGATGAGTCCCCGAGGCCAATTTCGCGAAAGTATTCAGAACATACCACATTTTGATTCAATGAAAGGCAGAGAGTGTGATGAAAGGACGAGATGGATGGAGTTTGGCGTTTCTGGTACAACCAGTATGAGGTATATGTGCTCGGTTTTAAATGCCAAGTGAACCCTGAAGCATCAACAGCGTTGTCAACAGGTATCCCACCGTGTGAGGTGCAAGGGTAAGGGAGCAAGAACATACCAGTATTGAGTGGGGAGGGGAATTAACGAGGATGCAAGATGGTTGGGAGGAGAGAGGAGAACAAAGAGGGGGGGGAGGAGAGGAATGTTGAGCAGGATCGACAATCAGTTGGAAGGAGGGAGGGAAGAGGGGGAGCTGCTATGTTTTATGTTGTGAAATCGGCCCACAACAGCACACAGACCTTTTAAGGTAGGAAGCTGCTATGGGCTGCAAGCCCCCCAGTACCGAAGGTATTATTATTAGTGCCAGGAGGCAATGATTCATTATTCAATCAGGCAAAGAGCCAATAATGCGCCCCTTCTGCGCCTCACACAGTCTATCAGCATGTCTCACTCGTGATTCGGGTCAAGACCCATACGTCCATGGCTTGGAACAAGTAGCAGGCACCTTTCTAACCCTTAATGGCCAATAGACCCCCACTTAGGAGGTCAAAAATATCCCACCACTGGACAAAGTATTACTATTATTGTCACCATTAGTCAACTAATTCCGTCTCCCCTTTTCTTTCTTTCCTTCATTTTATTTCAGTTTTCTCTATTTGCCCCTCCGCCTCCGTACAGGAGTACACTGGAGATACTAGATCCACGCCTATTAACTAGTGCTAAGAGTCTTAAAACCCCTGTAGGGAAGTACCGTGCCTATTCCTAGATAGTAGATACCCATAGAACGAGAGTCGATTGACATTCAACGACTCGGTTCTCATGGGGCGCGACAAGGGTGAAACGACCGTATTTGTTTATATCCATGGATGCGGAGTACCTTACGGGGTACCGTACGTACCTAGGTAGGTACCGGTGAACTGTACCATCTAGGGAGGTAGCCTGGAGGTACCTTAAGGTATCTGTGTATAACACCGTACATTCATGGAAAACCAACCATGGAAGCTTTCTTTCCAGCTGTCCCTGTTCGTCGAAATCAAGCAACTCTACTCCGTACCCAGGTACTAACTACATAGCCGCTAGTAGGCTTTTGCATGAGGGAGAATTTCTTGCCGCTCTCTTAGCTCGGTCGGATTGTTACTATTTTAAGGGTTACTATCAGCTACGGTCTACCACGGTTCTCACTACTGAGTAGTTAGTTTTTTTTGCTGGGTTCTGCTTTCTCGCTTTTTCTTCTATGGATATGGTGAATGGAGTATGATGTACGGAGTAGTGCGCTGCTATGCTTTTGTGTTTTTCTTTTTCCGTTCTCTTAACCATTTCCCCTTGTCCTCCCCTTTTCCTTGGGGTGGGTGGATAAATTAAGTCAATAACCCACTCAAGAAAACTACTCCTGTACGCGACTAGCGTCTCGAACGAAATCGTGTTTGTATGGTGCAGAATACTCGGTGTTGTCCAGCTACAGTGCCAACCTGTCCTTCCTCATTACTTCTCGTACTCGAAACATCCATCGTGCTTGTTAGGTATGCGAACTAAGACCTTTTTACGAAAGAATATAGTCTGCCGGTGTAAACCATAACGTCAGAGATTGTAGGTCGTCAAATCGAGATAGTCCAAGACCCCAGAGTCGGGAAGCCGAACAGATGATTGACTTGTTGGTATAGAAAATCGAGCAAGTACGTATGTACTCCGCATCGGGCCACTGGTCCGGCTTGACGGAAGCTTGAACGGTCGCTGTGATCTGGGAGGGCCACTCATGAATTCCCTCCGTAGGAATAACAGGATCCATCCAAGCCTAGGGGACGATTTGGTCTGGAGTATAAAATCGCAATCCATTTTGGATTCGCAGGCCGACCGACAGGCTGACTGACGTCAGCAGCTGATAAGATAGGGACACACCCGTGACGGACCGTAGGGGGAAAACCAAGAGAACCTCCAAGAATAAGAGCCCTTGGGGGTACTGATTACAGTTTCGTTCTCGCATGGCCTGGAAATATAGGAATATTTAGGTTGACCGGTGTAGTGGTCAAATATACAATGGGTTGCCTAGCGAAGACGCTTGTAAAGTGAGTGGTGACCAGCGGGTGAACTGGAACTCTTTTTGCCCTGCCCAGGTGGTAACTTAGGGGAAAAATTCTTCCACCATGCAATGAACAACAGAACGGCCACCCAAGCAAACAACACCCCTTTACACGCGTATAAAAAAACACCTCTTCTACCCCGGACACAAGTTCCCCACAAGTTAACTGCACGGTTACTACTATTTTATCCTCCCGTGCCAGTCGATTATCCTGCGCCTCATCCCTTGCCGTCTCGTTGGTCGCAAACTGACAACGTCGAACCGCCTGTTCTTTTCATTTTGAGAACGCCTCTCGCGCCTCTCCTAAGAGCGCAGAACTGAGCGAGAGAAAGAAAAAAAAGAAAGGGGAAGAACTTCAGGTCTTTCGGCTTACTTTCCCGGGCATATCTTAAACTCCTTTTCACCTCTACTCCCGGAATTACGTGTACAGCCCACGCGAGGAGTTGTTGCTGGCTCTTTACCTGCGCATGAGCTGGTAGAAAGCGTTCAAGGATGCTGTCTACCAGTCGGAGAAGTCTCGGTTTTGGCGTGTAGCCACCTCTCATTATGTCGCGTTCCTCGGCAGGTTTTGCGGATTTCTTTCCAACTGCACCGTCAGTTCTCCAGCAAAAACGGTCCAAAGCAGCCCGGGACCGACCTCGACCTCAATCGCAATCTCAAATACAGAGCGCCCAGGGCGACCAAGGAAATCCCGATTCTGCAGGGGCAGTCCCTTTTGCCACGCATGATGACGGTTCTTCGGAGGCGGTTCAAGAGGTTTCCGCAGGCCATGGCACCGAGAAGTCTACAACCTGTACCAACGCGGGTGTCTCATCTTCCACTCACAGCAGGGCTACAACAAACTCGCTTGAGGTGCATCCCGATACACTCACGCCGGTCACGACAACTGACTTGTCCCCCCCTCGCAAGCACAGCTCACCTCGCGTCATTCCCAATGGGGCTGTTGGAGAGGAAGTCATTGGATCAAAGACAGAGCACCCGAAATCTGAGGTAACTCCTCTCCAAGCACCCCCAACGCCAAAATCGCAAAGTTATCCGAATGGAACTGTTAGTGGCTATAAGTTGATCTACGATCCCGATACCGACAAACGCCTCCAGAAGGGAAAACACAAGAAACCACGCTATGTGGACATCATAACACCCGAACCGAATCATTGCCCACCTGACCCTCGACTTAGTATACCAAATTATAGACGGGGCGCCGGCTGCAAACAAAAGCCAAAATTCCGACCAGCACCGTACACCTTGAAACCTTGGCCATTTGACCCCTTGACAAGCATAGGCCCGGGTCCTCCGGTTCAGATTGTTGTCACTGGTTTTGACCCTCTTACACCCATCACATCGATCAACGCCCTTTTCTCGAGCTTTGGGGAAATTGCGGAGGTAAACAATCGGACAGACCCTAATACCGGCAGGTTTCTTGGAATATGTTCCATCAAGTACAAAGACAATGGATCCTTTCGCGGGGGTGGGCCGGTTCCTGGAGTGAGCGCGGCAAAGCGCGCTTATTATGAATGCAAGAAGGAGCAGCGAATAGGAACACGCAGAATCAGGGTCGAGTTAGACCGGGACGGAATCGTCTCGGAGAGGCTTGTCTCTAGAGCCGTCGATGCGCAGAGGCTGGGACACAAAAGTAATTTGCACACTGTGGAAGAGACAAAACCCGAACAACAGACGAAACAAGAACCTCCGCCAATGGCACCAAAGGGCCCTTCAGGTCGATCCTCCATCCGACCTATCCCGGTGGTTCCTGAAGGACCCAAAGTGAACTTCATAAAACCTGCGGTTCCGTCACTAGTTGAGGATATCCCAATCCTGAGTCAGATCAAGCGCGATCCATACATTTTCATTGCGCACTGTTATGTTCCAGTTCTCAGTACCACCGTGCCGCATCTGAAAAAGAGACTCAAGTTATTTAGCTGGAAAGATATTCGCTGCGATAGAACAGGATATTACATTTTATTTGAGAACTCTCGACGTGGCGAAGAGGAAACTGAGCGGTGTTTCAAAATGTGTCACATGCAACCATTGTTCACGTATATCATGAATATGGAAAACCAACCTTACGGGAATCCCAACTACGAGCGCAGTCCCAGCCCTGAACGCTTCCAGGCAGAGAAACGCGCGAGAACGGAAAGGGAGAGGCTAAAGAAAGAGGCAGACCTCGATGTCGAAGAAGAAAAGAAGCAACGTGCTATTGACCTCGACCCTTGCAAAGAGGTGCTTGCCATCATCGTTCGTGACCTCAAGGACAAACTTCTCGAAGACGTGAAGTCGCGCATTGCTGCGCCGGCCTTATACGACTATCTTGACCCAGCTAGACATGCAGCTAAAAGGAAGAAGCTGGGGATTGCAGAACCAGATGGCATTAGGAGGCCGCTTTTCCGAATTGACTTTGATAGCCGACTTGGGACGCCTGATTCTCGTTCTGAATTATCGAAAGCTGGGAGCCCATTCAATGCACCTGGTCTCAATGTTCTCGCGCTTCCGCGAATCAGGAAGGCTCGCCGTCTTGATTCTACAAATACTGCTTTCTTAGATGAAAGGCGCAAGCAACCGTTGCGAAGGAAAGAAGTTCGGCCACTTTACCACAGGCTGCAACAGTTGCATGAAGACGATGACTCGGATGATGAACAGAGAAATCCATCAACCAAGGACATTGATGAGCAAGAAAGTCGCCCCCCCAGCAGGATGAGCTCAAGATCGTCGGAGTCCGACGACGGCGATGGATACATTTCAACGTTTTTGGATGAGTCGATTGCGAAGAATCTAATACCCGGAGCCGGAATCTCGGAATCTGGTGATAACGATGACACTATCCAGGGTGAATCGTTCGCTATGTCTATTCAGCCAGACAGTCGTGAGCTCTCTCCAGCCTCGCGTAAGAGAAAAAGGCTAAGCGAGGAGCTTATAGCGCGAAAACGACAAAAGGAAGACACGGAAATCTTTGGTGACAGATCTACGGTCAACGTGGAAAGTGAACACGCTGGGCCAATCTCAACACTACATGGGGCCGTTGTTGATAGTAATATGGCGACCGAAGAGGACCTCGATGCGCTACAGAGTCTCTCGGCCCAGGGAGACAAGGATTGGCGGAACGAAGCAACTAAGCCAGACCCAACACTGGGGAGCCTGCAAGATATTGGCATTGATTCCCCTCTCTTCCTTAATGGGCGTCGACTTCTGTTAGATCACATTGACGAAGCCGGCACAGAGCGACGGGAGGAAACAAAAGCAGGTGTTCAGTGGAGCGTTTCAAGCGATGAACCTCGGTCAATTGTCGAAGATGATGAAGCAATATTCATGGACCTTGACGGTTGGCAGGATCTCATCAAGGACGAAGAAGACTTACGCTTCCTCCGAGACGTCTTGATCGAACAGTCAATGACCAATGTTGGAAGCTTGTCGGCATGGGCATGGCGACAAAAAGAGATCAAAGCACTCAATGGGCCTGGAACTGTGGGCCCTGTACATGAGGGAACGATCATTCATGGCTATTATGTGTCCAATCCAACAGGCGCAGCTCGAACCGAAGGTCGGAAAAGAATCCTGGAATCCGAGAAATCCAAATACCTACCACATAGAATCAAGGTTCAAAAAGCACGCGAGGAGCGTGAGGCGAAGGCGAAGAATGATCCACATGCGGTAGCTGCTGAGGCAGCAAGGGCTGCGGCGGCGAAGACTATTTCCAAGTCGACATCCCGGTCAACCAGGGTAAATAATCGTCGTTTAATTGCCGACATCAATGCTCAAAAGCAGGCTCTCCCCACTCAAAGCGGTGATGGTGACGTTCTCCGTTTCAACCAATTGAAAAAGAGAAAGAAACCTGTGCGCTTTGCTAGGTCTGCCATCCACAACTGGGGCCTCTATGCCGAGGAGAACATAACCGCGAATGACATGATCATTGAGTATGTTGGCGAGAAGGTCCGGCAGCAAGTCGCAGATATGAGAGAAAGGCAATATTTGAAGAGTGGAATTGGCAGCAGCTACCTCTTTCGAATTGACGAAAACACGGTGATTGATGCCACCAAGAGAGGGGGTATAGCTAGGTTCATCAATCATAGCTGTACACCTAACTGTACTGCCAAGATCATCAAAGTTGATGGAAGCAAACGCATTGTTATATATGCTCTTAGGGACATTGAAAGAGGTAGGTTCAACAACAATATGCTCGGTTTCGCTAGAGGGCTAACGATTAAGCAGATGAGGAGCTTACATATGACTACAAGTTTGAAAGAGAATGGGATAGCGATGATAGGATACCATGCCTCTGTGGCTCTACTGGATGTAAAGGCTTTCTCAACTAATAATACTTGCCATTTATGCCTATAACCGCATTTCTCCATGTTTGTCGTGATGTTTATTTGATCCGTAGGACGTTCGCCCATTCGTGCTGCAGGTCCACATCATCCATTGGCCTTGGGGGTGCTCCTCTTGCTCGAGCTAAGTTTTGGATTCGGATCTGCATTTGAGCAGCCACAGTGGGTACAGCTGTTATTGACAATTGACGTCGCACGGAAGGTCTATGAAGGCCCTGCAACCATTGTCACATGCGCCTTTTTTTCAACCTAGCAGAAGATGCTCTTTGCTCCAGAGGTCAAAGGTAAGATGTTGGAAAATTCGCGTTCGCTCCTGGCACCGCTCGTGCCCTCCTTTCCACCACGCTCTCGGAAGAGGCAAAAGAAACAGTCTGTACCCATATGGCTATGAACCTATGCCAAATCATATAGGTCGGCCATTGTCGGGGTTGATGATCTCTTGCTTGTTAGGTCAAAAAGATTTTATAGTCCTAGACTGCGGGGAAGGGTCAGTTACTGCAGGATAACTGTTAGGGGCAAAAGGTCTCAGACCTAGATGGCTCGGAAGAAGAAAATTTGCTATCCCCTCCTTGATAAGGTACTCGTGACCACAATTTCCACAAACCAACTTCCCTTCTACCACATGCGTTTCTAATAATAACCGGTGGAGTTCTCTCAAGATCTGTTCATCTTTGAGCGCATCGCCCTCGGGTTTTCTTTCAGGCAACTTTGGGAAACCAAGCTTGAACGAAGTAAGTGTCTCTCTCCCCTCGATCAGGCCAGCGAGGGATTCAGATGCCTACCTCATTCGCTAACACATGTAACCCATCCCAATCAACCCTGGGGACAATATTACATATGAACTCGGGTTGGAACTCAATCTCCTGTAGCTCCAGTTCAGCATCCCGGAAGTGGAGAGGAAAAGATGCGGGTGATGTTTTGCAGTCCTTCACCGCACAGGTCAAAAAGTTGGCCGTCAGTATTTTCATTGTTCTCACAGTGTGTGATCTCAAACAAGTGTTGTCTAATCTGTTCGCTTGCTCTCGCACACTCTCTCTGCCTCTCTCTCTCTCTTTTGGTGGGGGACGGCGGGGTTGAGGGAAGGAAGAAAAAACCCAAAAGAGAAGGCGGAGAATGAGATAGTCACAGGCAGAATTTGCATTTACCCGCTTACATACATTGAGTACTTAGTTAGGTCTATACACAACTCCTGGGCACCGCGCCTGGCAGCGTGGTATGCCTAGAGGATGAATACTTTGTGAACAAATTAACGTAGGGAGAGCTGCTCTATTCTCCAATATCGTCAACCAAGGATGTTGGGCTTACGTGGAGATATCAAAACAATGGTCAACTAGACAATTTGATTTAGAGAACCTTTGGGTTTTGAGAGATATAAGTATACCGTAGGTAGCTGAGTAATTGACAAGGGAGAGTAGGGTATCAAACAGGTGTTCTTGCGGAGTTGGGCGCTATACCTAGAATAGAAGGCTGTGGGCGGTATAAGATCTCTGTAAGTCCTCGATTCGAAAGATGGATGTTCTCTACGCTACGATGTCAACACAGTAGCACCAAGTATCGATTACACCGGAGCCTTCTTTGGCGCACGTCTCATTGGTAGGCCAAAGGAACATATGTCGAACAGGGAGGACAGAGCATAGTTTACATTTAGCTAAGAACATCTTTATTTTATGATAACATCCACAAGGTCATCGTGTGTCATATCATGGTCTGCAGGGCAGGAGTTGGGGTCTAGTCGTTCACCGTCAAATGTAAGATATACGGTCTGCTCTGGATGTATATTGTGTATGTCACGGTAGGCTGCTACCAGATGAGCAATTCGCGTCTGTGAGCCGGCATACATCTCGTAATCCGCATGACCAGGACACTTGAAGACTAGCCTAAATGAACGGCGCTCAGTATTGTCTCCTTCTAGATCCGCGTATTCCTCCAGATGGTGCCCTGACAAAGATTTGGATGACGCCAATGGGTAATTGGGGGCTTGGTCATCCATGACCGCTTCCATGTGGATATGGACGCCACCAGAATCATCCGAAAGGTCATCACGGAATGTGGAGGTTTCAGGATCCCCGCTTCTATGACCTCCAAGGCTTTTGCATGTTGTGACATCAAACAGCCTTCGACCTTTCCAGGTCAAGAACACAAAGGGGTAAAGTGCTCGCGGTAATTTCTGATGTTCACACCATGCTAGACGAACATCCTTTAAAGGCTGATACATCCTTCGCTTGATAACAAGCGGCTTTGTATGGGCAATTTTTGAGGATATGAGGATCTGGACTGTCACGTCCTCTTGGCGTTTGCTGTGGCTGGCCTCCGATTTGGGACGAGGGTCATTATCGCCGTACTGGTCATGTTCATGGGTAGGCGTTGCGAGCAGGTTATTCTGCTGGGTGGTTCTTGGTGTTGGAAAGGGTGTGTTCGCAACACAAGGACTACGAGGTGGCGGTTGGGCCTGGAGTGGTCTCTTAGTCTGGGAGGACACACCAGCCACGCTCATGTCACTTGGCCTGAGAACCTTCATTGAGGAGCTTCTACTGGCGTTGTCCTCACCTGTCTCGCTGTGACCAGTGACTCTGGAGATAGGCCCATCGCGTGGGAGATTTGTCACTTGCGTAGCTTCGGGGGGAATCGAAGATGCCACGTCCTCATGATGCTCGTCTTCCGTAGTATGCTGGCCCCTACTTGCCTTTCCATCTTCCCGCAAGTAATCAGAATCATGATTGACAGACTGAATCCGAGCCTCTCGATTAGCGGCCACAATGTCCCCATATGTTTGGTCAGCTCTGCGATAGAATTCAGGGGACGAGTTCCCGTCTCCGGTGTTGGCCCAGGAGGGCCTTCTGAAAAAGGACCGCATGCGTGATGCAGCCTATGTTGCTTTGAGAATTCGCAGTTCCCAAGATCTTCAGAATACGAGCGCGGGGATGTCCGAAGGCCAAGAAGAACCATCGAAGGTAGGTACTGTACCTTACCGTACCCCTTATACGTACTGTAATGTGATAACTACCGGCACGTGCAAAAGCCAAAAATCCGGTAATTTATTCAGCTCTCGGCGGAATTCATGACTGCCAATGCCTGAATAACCGGCCACACGTTCACATATTGTGTCAGGTAAATGCCAATAAAGCCATAAACAGAGGGAGAAAATGGAGAACGGTACATCATCAGAGGGCAGAGACCCATCTACTTTCCTGAGTGAAATCATCGGTGCTCCTGTCACAGTGAAACTAAACTCCGGTGTTGTGTACAAAGGTTTTATGTCTTCAAACCAGGACTACTCTTGGATCGTATCTAATCTTGGCTTAGGAGAACTTCAATCGGTAGATGGATACATGAATATCGCTCTCGAGAAGTCCGAAGAATATGTGAATGGCAAGTTAAGGCGTGTGTACGGTGATGCTTTCGTTCGAGGCAATAATGGTGGGTTCATTACCTCTTCCGCAAGCCCTCAAACCCACTGGACTGATATATGTCGTTGTCATTTGGTATAGTTCTCTATATCTCCGCGCACTAATGGGGATTACATTGATCTGGAAAAGGACATTTGATTTCTATTGTCACGGGATCCTATGGGAGCAAGGAGTTGATTAGCGATAGGCCTCGACAATGCATTGTCGAGGCATACATGGCGGAGTTTTGGTTTCTTAAATCAATCATGTTCAGGTCTGTGAAGAAGTAACAGGCATTCACAAAACCTCTCCATTTGACCTGCTTTTGGGTCCAGAATACATCCCGCCTCTTTGACAATTGACTCTCTCATCTGCTTGCTGGGTACCTAGGTGGTAGGTACGGTGGATACCTCTCGTACCAAGCGGGGCTCTGTGTTAATTACAAGGTTACGTTATTCGCCTTAGGCATCAAACAGGGAACCCCACCACGCCCAAGTAGAGATTGCGCTTGCCGACTCTGGAACTTTGCCCTGGGTCATTTGTATTCTACTTTTTTTTCTCATTTCCCTGGCTGCTAGAGGCCTACAGAACGCCGACTCGCTAACTCAAGTTATTTATCATCGGCTCAATTTCCCTTCTACAAAGAACGTTTTGTTTTCGGGTACAGTATGAGTTTGCAAGCGATCAAATACCAGAGTGGCAATCTGGCCATTCTTGACCAGCTACAGCTCCCATATGTGGAAAAATACTTAACAATACAGACGAGCGAAGGTGGCTGGCATGCGATCAAAGAGATGCGAGTTCGAGGTGCACCTGCCATCGCCATTGTGGCAGCCCTGGCCCTGGCGTCCGAGCTCCACACACTCATAACGCGCAAGCAATTGCCATCCGAAGCAGAGGACACTCGAGCACTCATAACTGGGAAGCTAGGCTACCTAGTGAGCAGCAGACCGACCGCCGTCAATCTCGGTGATGCCGCGCGAAAGCTTGAAGCCGTGGTGGCCAACAGTGTCGGAAAACCCGAATCTACAAGCCTTAGCGTAGCATCCTCATATATCGAGTCTGCTGAGGGTATGTTGGCCAAGGATGTGGAGGACAATAAGATGATTGGCAAATATGGCGCAGATTGGATCATGGCCAACGCAATTTCTACTCCTGAATCCAAAGCCACTGTTCTAACACACTGCAACACAGGGTAGGCTAATTGCATGTGATCGTGGTTCATGAGAAAGGATGCTAATTCGGAGAATTGACCAGCTCTCTTGCGACATCTGGTTATGGAACAGCATTGGGTGTCATTCGTGCCCTTGCATCAAATAAGTGGCTACAACATGCATACTGCACCGAAACAAGGCCATACAATCAGGGCTCTCGTCTGACAGCATTTGAGCTGGTTCATGACAATCTGCCAGCCACGTTGATAACAGATTCCATGGCAGCTGCACTCTTTGCAAAGATAGAAAAGGGCGTCAACGCAGTCATTGTGGGGGCAGATAGGGTAGCGGCGAATGGCGATACTGCCAATAAAATAGGCACATATGGCCTTGCTGTCCTCGCAAGATACCACGGGGTCAAGTTTCTTGTCGCCGCACCGCTGACAACCATTGACATGGCCACCAAATCGGGCAAAGATATTGTCATTGAAGAACGACCCGCTTCTGAAGTCGCCCAAATCAGAGGCCTCTGCAAAGAGAACGATTCTAGCGGAGATGTGAGACTGGAAACAGTTTGCATAGCAGCCAGCGGAATTGAGATCTGGAACCCTGCATTTGATGTCACTCCTTGCGACTTGATAGACGGCATCATAACTGAAAAGGGCGTTATGGAAAAGGGGAGTGACGGTCAATTTCGACTGGAGGAATTGTTTTGATCGTGTTCAGCTGATGACACCTCTTGGCTTTGGGGCTTAGCATTGGTGCCACTTGACGTCTGTTGCCCGCGGTCCCCTAGTGCAACGAGGAGTTCATCGATTCTGCATTCCAGGGTACTGAGCTGGTCCTCAAGTGCTGAGGCCGTCATCTCACCACTTGATTGAACAGGTCAGATGTGGTAAATTCAATGACGTCGGATTTCTTGATGGTTTCCATACTTAGCAATGCCATGAAATGCCTCCTGTTGGTCCATCAGTATAAACTGTGCAACAGTCTCTAGGGAATGAAGTAATCACCAATTTTAAACAGTCACTGATGTCTTCATTTACAATAATGATGTGGGGGTGCAAGCAGTTTGACTTACCTGTATGAGATTGATATTATCCTGGTTCTGTGACATCGCTGTGGTAAACGTGATAGTGTTATAGCTAGTTATTTGTGATATGATGATATCTCGATTTGACGGGTGTGTAAAAGATACAAATTGAATCTCAGTTGTTGGGTAGGATGTAGGCGGTTTATAATAATTGAAAATAGTTATGTTCGTTTTTGGTGGGATCTACCTACCCGTGGCAGACCAGAGGCTTGGCAGGATGACTTATCCGTGGCTGAGCAAAGGTTTATATTAGGGGTGTTTTGTGTGACAGTCTACAACGAAGCTAATAAAAGACAACTTTGTTTATGATTTGTAATTAAACAATTTTTTTATAAAGAAAAAAAGAACTACTCAATAAAAAAATAAAATTTTTATATATTAATAAAATTAATCTAAATATAAGTTTTTTTGTCACTGGAGACCTTTGTAAGTGTTGTGACGGTCGATGGCAGGTGCCCTTCTATCACCTTCCGTCTTTGGTTTATGTCTAGAATGGAACGTTTAACCATTAGACTATTAAAAGATTAGAATACCAAGGCAATAGACTTGGCTGCGCATCCCTCTATTTAGTGGGTTTTTGGTTAGTTCTAGACCTCGGCATGGAACTTCCACGGGTAGGCATTTTGGTTCCAGACCCGTGGAACAGGTAGACGAGTCCTACCCATTACCCATGACCCCCCTACCCATTACCCACCATGGGTACCCCGTGGAGTACCCGTGAACTACCCAAAAATGCATAACTAACCCTTTTTGGACATGTCAAGCCGCATAAAACTGCTTATTCTTTTGATTAAAATACTGATTTCAATATCTGTTTTGATCATCCTTCAATGCATGACGCGATATAACCACAATATCTATATAAATTAAATATCAAATTTCGAAAACATTATCAAAAGCTTCAATAATAATAAAATGTGTTTATTTTCAATCAATTATATATTAAAATAAAGATAATTTTAAATAATATTATGAGAAATGCCTTGTTGAATGTCTAAAATATATTTGAAAAAAATAAATATATTTTCTTATAAAAACTATCTTTATTCCCTTATGTAATCTTATATTAATTAATTATACCAGAACATTGATAAATTGAATTGTATATTCTATTTTTATCTTTAAATTATTCTTCTATTGATCTTATATGCCTATAATATGCATAAAAGAACTTAAACTATTAAATTTTGTCGGGAGTTGATAAGACTAAAGCATAAAAAAATTGTTAAAATGAAACAAATATCCCGTAAACTACCCGCGAATAGATGAATAATACCCCGCGAGTAATCCACGGGATACCTGCAAATAACCCGTAGAACTCATCAATTAGAATAGCTTATTACTAATATAATAAATCATTTATTCGTATGTCATTATAATTCAAAGTATTTAGAGTTTCCAAATCTAAAACTATCAATCGCAAAATTTACTGCAATAAATATTTGTTTTATTATGTGACTCTATATCACCAGTCTAATCTCATTTTCTTTATTATAATATCTCAATTCTTTCAATTTTCTAACATGTACGCATCATCTTTATATGATACTAACAATCCAAATAATCTTCAAATTATTCAATTAAACGATCTCATTTTCAATTTTTCATTTAACCAACAAACATCACAATCAATTGTTAATTCAGATTTCATTCATCTATCTATTTCCGCTTCTATATTTTTTTCTTTCGAACGTGTCTACCCTAATCAAATTTCAATATATCTTGTTTATTTTGACATGACAAAGAACAATTTTGTAAATTAATGATTTTAGACTGACTTTAAACAAAAAAAACAAATACATTAAAATATTTGACAATAATTTGACATTTGAAAACACTTTAATCAAATGACTAAAACCAACAATGAAACGCCAAAAATCATATATAAACAATATAAAAATATATTTGATCATCTACAATAGTATAAAAATGACATTATAACAATAATTAAACATTTAAAAGGAATTGAATATCATAATCAAAATAGATTTAATATTAAACAATTTCTTCAAAAAATAGTATTCTCTTATGTTATAAAAAATCATTTAACTAATATCTTTTTTTTTACTAAATCACATCTTTTTTAAATAGCCTTAGTTTCATTCAAAAAATCTGAAAAACAAATTTATTTCATTTTATTATTGATTTTTGATTATTATTTCAAATCTTTGAACATCTCGACTTTCATCATTTAACTTATATGACTTCTCGTGTTTTAAAATGTCCACAAATTCCATTTTCAAAAACAATTCAATATCGACTTCAAAACACTATTATCAAACGTCAAAATAATATTTTTTAAAAATTATTAAAGAATAAAAAACTATCAATGATCTTAAACTGCTAAATGTTTTTTTTAACAAACATTTATGACAATTACTGATTATTTTTTCGACAAGAACTGGAATTATCGAAAGATATTTTTTGATTTTGAATCATTACATAAAATATATTTAAAAATCAATCTTAACGCTATTTTTTTAAATTACTTCAGAAATATCAGATCATAAATAAAATATTTACAATTACTATCAACAATGTATCAAACAATAATATTATATTATTGAATATTCAAAATTCTATTCAGTTTTTTGAAATCGACAATTGTATTATAATTATCAAAATTTTTTGTTTCATCCATGTTATTCAATTCAGTCTTAAACAATTTCTCGAACAAATAAAAACAAATCTGAAGAATAATATAATTGAAATGCAATAATCTAAAATACAAAATCAATTGATTTGTTCAAAACAACAAAAACAAAAAATCATTGATATATTTAATAAAATCAATCACTAGTTTTAATATAATGAAAACTTATTTATTTATTCAATTATATATAAATATGAGACTTAACTATTTTTATTAACACAAATTTTCAACGCCTAAAATTATTTTACAAATTTCAAACTATATTAATATCTCTTGTATCAATTCAAAACGTTAAAATATGTTAAAATTCAATTTTTTTTATACTTCAACGTGCGAAATATCTATAATTTATGTTTAATGAGTTTTGCATTAAATATGAATATTTGCATTTAAAGCTTGATCAAAAACAATAACGTCAAATTGATTATTTTTTTATATCATTTAATCTTTTTTTCAATTCACGAATGCACTTTCAAAGACAAAGGATGTTACAATATATTTTATTTTTAATATTTATAATAAGTTTTTTGACCATTTTGAAAGATTTATTAATCAATTTAGATATAAAAAGATAATTTGGAAAAAGATGATGTTAAATGTATTTTATGTAATGAAGACAAAACTTTTTCAATATTATAACAAAATAAATGACATTTTTAATAATTTTTTTGTTATTGAAACAATATTTGTGTTGCAAAACAAGTTTTAATTTTTTTCAAATAAAGATTGAAACAACAAATGACATGATCGATATTGTCAAAATTTTATAAATTATTTTGAACTTTATAAGCAGTGTTTATTATAAAATTAGATATTATCAAAAATTTATATATTCACGATGCAAATCTCAGAATTTGATTTTAAACGAATATTTAAAAAATCTGAATCTTAACAAACAAATCTAACTAAATGGAACGAGCTTATGAAATATTTTGATTTTAATTAATATTATTTTAATTATTTATATGCTTTATTAATAAATATTTAAATATTATTAACAAAATAATTATTCAAATGTTTTAAAAAAAATCATCAATATAAATTTTTTGCATTCGCAAACTTCGCACGTGATATTCTCACAATTCTTGTTACAAATACAAGCGTTGAACGTTTTTTTAATTTTATTCAAAATGTCTGTTATTATTATCGAAATTCATTAAGATCCGAAATGATTCAAGAATTTATGATATATAGATTTACAACACAATTTGAGATCAAAAATAAAAATTTTGCTTTTAAAAAGGATTATCTCACAAGTGAAAAAATCGAGAAAAAAAAAGAAAAAAATCCTCAATTATTACAAAATATTGATTCTATTAATAACAACAAAAAAAGACATAAAAATCACACAAAAATAAGATACTATTTAAAACTTTTTTCATAAAATTTCATTATTCGACAATAAAATTACAAATCTCTTCTCAGAGATTCAACAACAAATTTTAAATAAGAATCAAAAACAAAGACGGAATGATAATCAATTTATTAAATATTAACTATAAAATTAATCCTGTTTTAATTCATTTAATATCCGAGAAATCTTGAATCTTAACTAGTTAATAATTGTATATAAAATACTTAAAATTACAGCTCAAATATGCACAAAATATACAAATAACAGATTTTCATCTGTTTGCATTGTTTAACTACCCGCGGGTACCCAAAAACTACCCACGGGTATTACCCAGCTACCCACTACCCACACGCGGGTAGGCGAACCCTACCCATTACCGCACGTTATCACCTGACGACCGGCCCCACCTGACGACCGCTTTTTCCCATACAAAATAACCCAAGATCACTAACTTTAAAGAGCTACAGTTCAACGAAAATAAGAGATATTGAAAAGATATTTTATATAGATAATTTGTAAGGCTAGTTCTATAAGATTATTATAAAATATTCTTCAAAATCGCGTTGTAAATATATATATAAAAGCTAAGTTTTTAAATAATTAAAGATAACAGTCT